TATATCAGGTAAGGCCCACTCAGCTACGTAGCCCTTTTGTTTAGAAGCGACCTGGTCACAAATGATAGCTCAACGAAGTGACTTATCACGTGGAAATGTATAGCAGCCAAATACTCTAAATGCGGAGGGGAAAAACCGGAGGACTCGAAGAAAAATCCACGCGACCACGGGTTGAACACGCAAACTCCAAATATATCGGCGTCAGGGTCGGGATCGAATCCACGACCTCCTGTATACCAGGCGAGGTAGTGAACATCTCCTAGCCACTGTGGCACCCCCTCAAACCTCACATCTCTGCGATTCTGGTTGATGCCCCTAACCACTTTATATTGCCACGTGCTCGCGCATAACTACACGGTTACATGTGCCCACGTCTCGCAGGAAGTATGGCCATGGTGCGGAGGAGTTGGCCAAATGCTCTATTGGCAGAGGCACTTGGGCCACCCTCTGAGTGGAGGCCATTCCGCCGGCGGTGGCGCAGGCGAGCAATCGCAGGGGCTGCACCTTCGCCTTGTTACGGGCTCACCAGGCCCATGACCGCCGTCAGGCTCTCGTTTTTGTGACGGCGAAATTGGGTCGAGTCTTTCCCCGGCACAGGCGCGGTGAGACCCCCCCCCCCGAACAATAACAAGCGAGCCCTGAACACGAGACAACGCGCGCACACAAACATCTGCGTGGGAGTGTGGGCGTCGGTGTCATCGTCGTCGTTATCATCATCCGTGCTGCGCTTGTCGCGCCTAGGTGAGTGGGCGGGCAGGTAGGGGCGGCGGCGGTGGTGGTGAGGCGGGTGGTGGTGGTGAGGTGGGTGGTGGTGGTGGTGAGAGGGGTGGGTGGTGGAGAGGTGGGTGGTGGTGGTGAGGGGGGTGGTGGTGGTGAGAGAGGTGGTGTTGGTGGTGAGGTGGGTGGTGGTGGTGGTGAGAGGGGTGGGTGGTGGTGAGAGAGGTGGTGGTGGTGGTGAGAGGGGTGGTGGTGGTGAGAGGGGTGGGTGGTGGAGAGGTGGGTGGTGGTGGTGAGAGGGGTGGTGGTGGTGAGGGGGGTGAGGGTGGTGGTGGTGAGAGAGGTGGTGGTGGTGAGGGGGGTGGTGAGGTGCTTGGTGGTGTTGAGAGGGGTGGGTGGTGGTGGTGGTGGTGAGAGGAGTGGTGGTGGTGAGGCCGTTTCGATGTTTTGCGTTGAGTGACGCAAGGCGAGAGAGAGAGGCGGCAGTGGTGGGTGGCGCGCCGTGCTGCTCCGGCCGCAGCTGCCACCACAGCGGCCGCTATTGTCGATGGCATTTCCACTGCTGGATGGATGCCCTCCCCTCCCCACACCCCCACGCCGTGCGGGTCGCGCCAGTGATTTGACCATACTTCGCCAGATCTGCTCAGTGCGGTTTGGTGAAGGTGGGGGAGCGGGGATGGGGGAAGCATGAATGTGGTGGTAGCGTCGGAGTGCAGTACAACGATGCACGTTGCTGCCGCTGCCCTCTGCCGGCAGTGGTAGCTGTGCAGCTGCCTGTAGCACCTGTTAGCCCCGCGTCATGGGGGGCATTGTGACGTTTAGTAACGTGCTGATTTAACCCCCCCTCCACCAACTCACACCAACCCACCCACCCCCCACTCGTTACACCTGCCTCCCACAACTGCACGCAATGACGTGGGCCTTGTGATATTTTTATCCCAGCTGCGCGGAGTTCAGAGAAGGCCCTGACAGGTGGCGGCCTCAACGGTTCACTCTCACTGCATCCCACCCTCGTCTCAATCCCACTCGAGTCTGAGTTTCAATCCCAAATCAATCATAACCGCGACCCCACTCCCATGTGAGTCGGCGTCTAAGCCTCTGGAGCGTGGTACGCGTCGCGTGTTTTTGAGATCGATGATGATGGCGATGATTGTATCGATGTCGCGGTGCTGCCCGCTCACGTCACTCCATGAGCCCAAGCTCTGTGAGCCTGGGTAGCGCTTGGGTGGGCGGCCACCATGCATAACAGGTGTTATAGGCCTCGGAGCTACGTGGTGGGCAACAGTGGACGGTGGAGCCAAATGACACACGTTTGCAATGTCCTCACCACCAACCCGCAGTGACCAGCGTGGCGAAGACGCAAAATTAACCCCCCAGCGACTGCCCGCGCGGCATTGGGGATCGAGGCTCCTCATCCAGCAGCGGATTTGCCGAAAGGGGGGCAGCACGTGTCCACGTACTGTACACGCGCGGCGTTGACCGAGCCCTGTTCGTCGGCACACAGTGCACCGCATTGTTACTTGCTTCATTATTTATTTGAGAGCTCGCAGCTTGAGATGTCTGTCTCCACGATGCTGTGGGACAAGCGGGTGGCATTTGCGTGACAGCTGCGGTGTTGGGGGTGAGACATGGGCACGGGGGGGGGGGGGCAAGGGAGGGGGGGCACGGGGGGGGGGCGTGGGGTGCGGTGTGGGAGTCCGCAAGGCCCTCTTGCGAGACGGAACCTCGATTCTCTCTTGTGGTCCCCTTTCCCAGGTTCCCCTTTCTCTCCTCGGGTCAGGCCCCGGGAATCCCTTTGTTCATTGTTGGGCGTCTTATTCCGAGGCCTGCTTTGTAACCAGCGCAGTGTTTCGTCCGCTCTCGACGGCGGCGGCGGGGGAGAGGGGGCGCAATTGGGAGGCGCAGGAGGCCCTACGGAGCCTTGGGGAAAGCAGCCGGAACCGGTGCCAACAAATGGCCCAAACTCTGCGTTCCCATATTGGAATCGTTGGTCAACTCTGTTCGTACGCGTGGGCGGTAACCGGAGTGCGAACGGGGGCAGCACTTTCGTCTCCGTACAGATTGACTACGGATGGAAATCGACCCGCTTGCCGTACTGCCCGTCGTACCCCCGGCAAGGCAGGGGATGGTGGCGACCTCCAACGCCGCCGCGGGTTGGAGGGCCACTCAACGGCCGGCAGTTGTCGTTGTTGTTGTCCCGGGCCAGTGTTGGCAACTCAGCGACTGTGTCGCTGGACCTCGAAACCTGCTGGGACGAGGGGGGTACCGATGCGTGTTTGAGAGCTATCCCAGGCGCGTTTTAAGAATCCTGCGTCGGTTTACCCACATTTCATAATCGGCAAATCGTCTCGTTGAAAAATGTTTGGCGTGGTTAGAAGTTCTACGCGGCAACATCCAGCGACCGGCGCTTCGTGCTGGTGGGACTTTGGGCTCGAAGGAGTTGGCCACGCGATGTTTACACGCCGCACCAGGTACTCACTTGAGGCCGAGTCGACCTAGGGGAGGCCCAGGACCGGTTCAAACAATCGTCACCGGGTGTTGGCCATGAGCGGGATTCGAACTCGGGTCTCCGGGTTCGTAGCGCAGCGTTGCGCTAACCGCTGCACCACCCCCACTTTGCCACCCCCCTCCTCTCCCCCGCCCCCCAAACTCCTCGCCCCGACACCCCCAACCACCCTCGCGTCTCTCCGCAAATGTCATGGCTGTGTGCGGCGCGCGGGAATGCGCGGCGGTGGCGGCGGCGTCGCGCGGCTATTTATACCGACACCATCACGCCGCCGAGATTTACACTTACGCATAGCGGGGGGCAGGGAGAGGGGGCGACGGGGGAGTAGGGGGGCAGCTGTGGACTGGGGGGGGAGGGTGGGGGTGGTTCAGTGTGGTATGTAGGGGGGTGTGGGGATGCCACATACACCACGGCGTTGCATCGTGGGGGGGGTTCGTAACGGCCGTGGCGGGGACACTGACCCCGCGCTGCTGAGACGCAGCGTTTGAAAGTGGGGGTTCGGACCCACCGCCATAGTTTCGCGCGGTCCTCTCGCTCGCGCGGAGTAAGATGTTGTACGTTTAACACGTAGGAGGCTTTCGCGACCGATATCATCTATAATAGAGGTTTTTTGGATTAGATCGCGTACATATAGAAATGTGTCGTTAAAACCCGCCACCACCCGACACAGCCAAATAGTAAGGGTTGTCACGTAAACAGAACGTGGCCAATTCGAGAGCTTGGCTCTCCAACACACTGGTGTGCTGTACTCGTGACGAATTGGCCACGTTCTGTTTACGTGACAACCCTTACTAGTTGGCTGTGTCGGGTGGTGGCGGGTTTTAACGACGCATTTATATATGTACGCGATCTAACCCAAAAAAACCTCTATCATGGAAGATGCTGTACGTTGCGTACGTTGAACTCATTCTGCACCGCACGTCGCCAGCCGTGCTCATTGGCGGTGCGAGATGCCAGTGTCAGACGGACACCCAGGGCTTGCACGGAGCGACAGCGGCTTGCGATGCGATTGAGACTTGTGACCTCTTGACCCCTCCGTCTCTCTTACTTCCCCAGTGTTCCCACCACACAACGTGTCCTCTGTGTTCCACGTGTCCTGTCCGCCCGGGATGTCCCGTTTGTCCCGTCCTGTCAGTTCCATCTCGTCACTCCCTCCCGTCCCAACCGTCCTGCCTGTCGCCGCCGATCATTGCCCGATGCCTCATCCAATTTAAGTCTTGTTTCTATTATTTATTTGCGTGAATATTTTTTCCACTCCTAAATGTTCTGTCTGTGTGTGGGTGCATGCATTCACGCATGCATGCGTCTGTTTGTTCGTCTGTCTATCCATCTAATTGTGTCTCCCCATCCATCCACATTCTACAGTATCTGTCTGCCTGTTCATCTGTCATCTGTCTATCCTTTATTTCATCTGTCTGTGTGCCTGTCTCGCTATCTGTCATCTGCCTACCCATCTATCTTACCATCCATCCATCTGCCTGTCCATCGGTCTGTCCATGTGATTTCGTGCCTGTCTATCTCTTCGCCATTCCATCTGTTTGTAAGTCCATCTTTTGATCCGTGCATCTAAATGTCTGTCCATCAATCTGTATGATTGTGCGCCCGTTCATCCATCTATCAATCTGTTCATCTGTTTATCCATCTCTTTATCAATTCATCTATCTGTTCATCTGTCCATCCATCTATCTATCCATCCATCTCTGCATTCATCTGTCCACGCACCTCTCCATCCAACCATCCGTCTTATAATGGTCGCTGTTGCCCGCGTGACGAGCAGGCGTGGAAGAAGCGGTGGTTCGTGCTGCGCAGTGGGCGGCTGAGCGGCGACCCGGACGTGCTCGAGTACTACAAGAGCGAGGGCTCGCGCAAGCCTCTGCGCATCATCGACCTCAACCTGTGCGAGCAGGTGGACGCCGGCCTCAGCTTCGACCGCAAGGAGTTCCTGCACTCCTTCATCTTCGACGTGCGCACGCTCGACAGGACCTTCTACCTGGTGGCCGACAGCGAGGAGGAGATGAACAGATGGGTGCAGTGCATCTGCAGCGTCTGTGGCTTCAACCCGCACGATGACGGTGAGAGAGAGAGAGCGCGTGCCGCGTGCAGCCCCTCCGTACAGCGCTCGGTGGGGACGGTGGCGGTGGCGGTGGTGTTGGCGGTGGTGGTGTTGGCGGTGGTGGTGTTGGCGGTGGTGGTGTTGGCGGTGGTGGTGTTGGCGGTGGTGGTGTTGGCGGTGGTGTTGGCGGTGGTGCTGGTAGCGGCGTTTGTGGTGGTGATGGTGGTGCTGGTCGTATTTCTACCCTCCTCCCCTCGTGTGCCGTGCCGGCCTTCGTAGGTGCTACTCGCTAACAGCACTTGTCCCCAACGAGTCTGTTAAAGGCCGCACGGGGGATCCTTGCTTTTAGCTGTGGTGTCATGGTGGCAGCGATGTGGGGAGCGGGTAGCGTAGTAGTTAGCGCGTTGTGCTATGAACCCCAAGTTCGATTCACGCTCACCGCCAACGCCATTGAGGATTATCTGAATTAGACCTGGGCCTCCTCACAGTCGACTCAGCCTCAATTGAGTACCTGGTGCAGTGTGTAAACATCGCCACTGGGGAAGTAAAGGCGACCGGGCGTGGTGCTGGTCAACCACCCCCTCGTGTGCCGTGCCGGCCTTCATAGGAGCTCGCTAACAGCACTTGCCCCAACAGCCTGTTGAGGCTATACGGGGATCTTTGTTTTTTTTTTCTGGTGGTCATGGTTTTGGCGCGGTCATGTTGGTGACATTGATGGTCAGTATTGGGCATTACCCACGATCTTTAGCCCAGCATTGCAATTCAGCTATATTAAAAGAATACAAATCCTGATTAAACCACAGGAAGTAACAAATCAACATTATTCTCTGTGCATTGTTTTCTCTGGGGGGGGGGGGGGGGGGCACGTTGCGTGGTGGGGAGGAGATTGGGGAATTGCCAAAGTGCGCCACCTAGCGGCGATCGCGCGGCTCCGCTGTCGTTTGCATTCTTCTTGCATTGGCTGCTGCTGCTGCTGCTTGTTGTTATCTTGGTGTTGTTGTTGTTGGTGGCGGTGGTAGTGTTTGGTAGCGGCGTTGTTCGTGGTGCCGGTGTTTTTCACGGTGGTGGTGCCGCTTGTCACAGCATCTGCGGCGACGGTGTTGGCTCTGGTCGTCGTGGTGCCAGTGCTCTTGATGGTTGTTGTTGGTGGTTGGTGGTGGCGGTGTTGGTGGTGGTGGCGGTGCTGGTGGTGGTGGCGGTGCTGGTGGTGCCCTGCCCCATGCCATGTGGGCACAGGCGCGTGGCGGCGACTCCACGCGGGGTCGCCCGGGTCCACGGGGCACAAGCGGTTACGCACTCTCCCTCTCTTTCCACTCTCTCTCTCATGCCCCCCCCACCACCTCATCTCTCTCTACTCTCCACTATCTCTCTCCACACTCTCTCCCTGTCGACTCTTCCTCTGCGCGTTTGTTTGTTTCTTATTTTCTGCGCTCCACCACTTCTGTTTTTCTCTGCCTCTCGCGAGGCTCGGAGACGAGACGTCCTCCGCCCCTCGCTCCACCGCGAGACGGGGGGGCGAGCCGACAGCGGCGCCTCTGCCAGGAAACCTTCCGCAACGCGAATCAACGCTCCTCCTCGCCCTCCTCGCCCTCCTCACCACCTCCGTGGTCACTCTGCTTCATCAACACTTCACGCTCCCACCGAAAGACAAAAGATCCGTGTAGCCGTAACAGGCTGTTGGGGCAAGTGCTGTTAGCGAGCACCTATGAAGGCTGGCACGGCATACGAGGGGGTGGGTGGCCAGCACCACGCCCGGCCGCATTTGTCCCCCTCGTGGTGATGTTTACACACCACACCGGATACTCATTTGAGGCTGAGTTGACTTAGGGAAGGCCCAGGACCGGTCCAATGTGGAAACTGCTGCACTCCGGCGTCCACCACCACCACCTCTACCACTCTACCCTTCCACCCACCCCATCTCTGATAATTACAATCACCTCTCCAGGCCCCTAACCACAATCACCACTCTCATCCACACCGCTCCTTCAGCCCCACCCTTTCAAATCCCCACCCATTCAATCCCCCTCCCACTCTGGCACCCTACAAGCATCACACCTCCACGCGTCACACCTCCACGCGTCACACCTCCACGCGTCATACCTCGACGCGTCATACCTCGACGCGTCACACCTCCACGCGTCATACCTCGACGCGTCACACCTCCACGCCTTCCCCCAACTCTTCTTTAGCCCGACACCCTTCCATCGAACCCCACCATATCTTCAGCCCAACCAGTCCAACACCCCTCCCCCCGCCCTCCTCCACCATCCGACTCCCCACACTTCGATCACCCCTCTCTCTACCCCTCTCCGCATCACCCCTACGTCCAGTTCCAATTCTTCAGCACCCCGTCCCCCTAAAAACCACCCTCCCTCACTCACCCTACCAGCCCCCCCTGCCCTCCCTCTCTCTGATCACCCCCTCCCCCCCGCCCACCGTCTGTCTCCAACCACATCACAATTCTCCTGGGCCACTGCCCCCCTCCCCTCTGCAGCTCCGGGGGGGGGGGGGGGGGGTGGGACCCTTCCTAGAACGGGTGCCGGGAGCGTTTCTGTAAACGCCGTGACGCCGCTTTCCTGGAAGCGCCGGCCGTTGGGAGTCCCTTGCAGTTCCCCTCCTGTCCGGCAGCCAGATATCGAATCGCGGTCACGGTCGCTCTCCCCACCCACCCACCGCTCCCTCCCACCACTCCCACCCACCACTCCCACCCACCACTCACATCCACCCACCCACCACTCCCACCCACCACTCCCACCCACCACTCACATCCACCCACCCACCACTCACACCCACCACTCACATCCACCCACCCACCACTCGCACCCACCACTCACATCCACCCACCCACCACTCCCACCCACCACTCCCATCCACCCACCCACCACTCGCACCCACCACTCACATCCACCCACCCACCACTCCCACCCACCCACCCACCACTCGCACCCACCACTCACATCCACCCACCCACCACTCCCACCCACCACTCCCACCCACCACTCCCATCCACCCACCCACCACTCACACCCACCACTCACATCCACCCACCCACCACTCGCACCCACCACTCACATCCACCCACCCACCACTCGCACCCACCACTCACATCCACCCACCCACCACTCGCACCCACCACTCACATCCACCCACCCACCACTCACACCCACTACTCCCATCCACCCACCCACCACCTCCCCACATAACCTTGCTCGGTTGAATGAAGACGGTGAATCTCAATCTCACGGAGATTTTAAATCGTACGCACGCCCCTCCGCTCGGTTAAAGACAGCGAATCCCAATCGTGACTCCTCCGTTAGGTTAAATAAAGACAGCGAATTTCAGTCGCAGCCCCTCCGCCAGGTTAAATAAAACCCAACGTTCCCTGGCGGTGTGAGGATTCCGGCGGTGTGAGGAGGTGAGCCTTTGAAGTTCCCGCTGCCAGCAGCTGAATCGATGTTGTGGAAGAATCGACGGTCTGTCGGTTTGTCGCGGGTCCTGTCATGGGTTCACGTGACCCCTGCAGCCACTCTGGAGGCCGCTGCACGCACCGCAATGTTCAAACCAGGCATTCTCGGTTTCTTTTTAAATTCGTGACCCTGAATCGGAATAAAATTGGGAACGAGAGAAAACATTTTCATGTGTATGTATATATACCGACTTTTATCATATATTCAGGATCAGCACACATATCATGTGATTTGTCATTCATACAACAGCCTGTGCTCTCCTTGGCAGCTTTATCGCTGGTCGTGGCTCACTGATGAGCTCTTGCAGAGTGACTCCCTGAGGGTGTGGTAATTGGCCAAAATTATTGTCCAGCAGGACCCCCTTGAAAAACCATCGCACGCCTCAGCCGAGCCTTTGCTGGGCCAAGAAGCAAACAAATCTCCTTTGTTCCAATTTGTTTAATGAACGCTTTGTAACCAAGGTATGTATGTGCGTGTATGTTGAACTTCTTTTGCACCGTAACCTAGCCAACCGTGGTGCTAACTGGAGGTGTGGAGGAAGGACAAGTGAAGCTTTCATGCATTAGATCTGTCCGTAATAGGGCATGGGGGGGGGGGGTACAATCAATTTTAGAAAGATGATTCAATTTGTACGAAAATCTGGTATAAAGTTCTGTTGCTATGAGGGACTTAATCTAGAGATAACCGGCCAAATTGATCAAACGGTTTGCGTAAAATATTGGGAACGAATAAAAAGAAAACCAGTGCTAAGAGGACCCACCCTGGTGTCCCAGGCCTGCTGGCCTGTGTGCACCCTCCCAGGCAGAGCCGCTAGCCAAGCACCGCAGTCTCATCGCGGCCTACGGACGTTTGGTGGGGAACAGCGTGGGTACCCCCACCGCTTTCAAACGATCCCTGGCCAACGTGACAAAAGTAGGCCAAAATACCCTCCAGAGCTCCCTCTCGGTGGAGGCCGTTCTGCCAGCAGTGGCGTGAGCAGGCAATTGCAGGGCTGCACCTTTGCCTTATTGCCCCCCATGTAATTACCCGAGGTGTGCACAGTTTCACGTGGGTATTTAATGAAGGTGGACCGAGATCAAAACGATGTCACACGGAGGAGACGAGAGCGGGCTTGAGGCGCGTTTGAAACTCCGAACGTTACGATCAAAAGCGACGTACTCGCGCGGAAAAACAATAAAAACGTGGTTCGTTAGTTGCACGTTCCCCGACATGGGGCTGCGAATCGTGCAAATGCGAGCAATTGTCTGATGTCTGTGTTTTAGAATAGGCACCACGGAATACGTAGCACAGAAGAGATTCCACAGAATAGTTAAGATAGCACAGTCGATCGGAAACCTCTTTCCGATCGTCTGGTCGACGCCGAAGAGCCGGCCGAGAATGCCCTCTGGAGTTGGAACTCCAATGGGGTACTGGAGGGGGGCGAGTAGCCGTGTTAGGGAGCGATTTCAGGGCTGCACTTTTACATTTTACTCATTCTCAACGAGCGCTCACCTGCTTAGACAACAGACGGCACCTTGAATCGAATTCTTGTTGCGTGTCCGGCCCCCTCCCCTCCCCTCCGCCCACCGCAGACCAAGTCAAGAACAACAGCGTGGCCGTCAGTAGCGGCCCGCTGCGTCGCACGTCCGCCACGGGGGGGGCGGCCGTCTCCCAGCAGCCTCTGCTGTCGGAGGGCAGCGCGGTGACGTCGCCGCCGCCGCCGTACGCGCTGCCCACCACGGGCAGCGGGCACGGCGAGCCGGAGGCGCCGAGGCAGGACGGTACGAGCGGGGACGGCCAGGAGTACTTCCTGCTGGCCGAGTGCGTGACCCCCTCGTCGTCGGCCGAAGGAAGGTGGGTGCCGCCCCCCCCCCCCCCCAATGCCCGCGAAACTGCTGTGCACTCGCGCATACAAACACACGTGCAGTGTGCAAAATACACCCACTTGTATACACACACCTGCAAAAACACGTACCACCACACGTGTATATTCAAAACATACAAACATGCACATATGTTTACATACACACACACAAGCACACGTGTGTATACAAAACACATACCCCTACGCGTGCAAACACACGTGTACACAAATACACACGCCTACAAACACATATATACACACACACACGTAAACGCACACACACTTCACACACACACACACACACGTGTAATCCCACATCGCAGGGGCACATTACGAAGCATCGCCCCCCCCCCACAACCGACCGCCATTCTCAGCTGTCCCTGTGTGGCACTCGGTGACTTAGCACGCGGCTTGCAAAGGGAGACGAGTCGGCCGGTAGGGAGCGATGATTGCCACGTGGCATTGCAATTTGAGCGAGCCGGGGCTTGGAGGCATTACGGTGTGGCCTGTCGCAATGCACACGTCACCATTCGATGGGTGCGTTGTGAGCTTAGGAAGAATCGATTTGCTGTGGACGGATCGACGATGCGTCGATACTCGGTAGACGTTGCCCCCCCCCCCCCCCACCGACGTAGCCCCCCCCCCCCGACGTTTTGAATCAGTACCCAGTCGTAAAGAGACCTGGGGAGGGGTGATCCCACACCGCACACACAAAACGCACGCGCTTCTGTTCATCCACGATTGTTTTGCGCTTTGCCATTGTTGCTGTTATTTTATGATTTTTTGACATACATTTGTTCATTTTGTTTTTTTGTGTTTCCCCCCCCCCCCATCTGCCCCTTATCCGTTCACCCCCCTCTGTTTTTTCAATATTTTTCTCACATACCAATGCTTTATCTGTCCATTTATGCATGCATGAATTCGTAAATAATTTATCATTTTTACACTCATAATTCACACGCTCAATGTTGTGCGATATCCACGCGTGCATACAAACACATCCACGTGTTAAACACACACACACAACCCTGCAAAACACATACAACCACACGTGTACACACGTGTACACACACACACGTGTACACACACACACACGCGTACACACACACACGTGTACACACACACACACGTGTACACACACGCGTGCCTCTACCCCCACGGCCGTCGCCTGCGCCCGCGCTCCCAGCTCCACGCGCTCCACCGCACCGGCACCCCGGGCGGATGAGTACCTCCTGCTGGGGGACTGCGGTGCCAACCGCTCGCCCGCCGAGTGAGTGCATGCATGCGTGTGGCTGTGTGTGTGTGTAGGGGAGCGGTGGTGTAGCGGTTAACGCGCTGCGCTATGCACCCGGCGACACGGGTTCGATTCCCGCTCACGGCCAACACCAGTGACAATTATCTGAACCGATCCCGGGCCTCCCCTAGGTCGACTCAGCCTCAAATGAGTACCTGGTGCGGTGTTTAAACATTGCCACTAGGGAGACAAAGGCGGTCGGGCGTGGTGCTGGCCACCCACCCCCTCGTGTACCGTTCCGGCCTTCATAGGTGCTCGCTAACAGCACTTGCCCCTACAGTCTGTTAAGGCTATATGGGGGATCTTTGTCTTTGTTGTGTGGCTGTGTGTGTGTGTATGTGTGTGTGTGGCTGTGTGTATGTGTGTGTGTGTGGCTGTGTGTGGCTGTGTGTGTATGTGTGTGTATGTGTGTGTGTATGTGTGTGCAGCTGTGTGTGTGCGTGTGTGGCTGTGTGTGTGTGTGGCTGATGGTGCATCAGCCAATCATCTCGGTCATCTCAGTCAGTCCACCCATGGCACCTGGGTTTGCCCCGTGACCTGCCAGCGAGCGTTCGGCACTTCACGTGCCCTCAAGGGGCACATGGCCTGGCACAAGCGTCGTGGTGACGTCACCACCACTTAGTGGCAAATGGCGGTTGTTGTTGTGTGGCTGTGTGTGTGCGTATGACTGTGTGTGTGCGTGTGACTGTGTGTGTGTGTGGTTGTGTGTGTGTGTGGCTGTGTCTTTGTGTGTGCGTCCGTGTGCTTTTGTGTGTATGTATGTATTTACGTGTGTGCAAATACACGCATGTACACGTATTCGTGCGCTCAAGCGTGTACACACGTGCTCGTGTCCCCGCAGCCCGAGCCCCGTGTGCGACACCGACCTCAACCACAACGCGCCGCCCCCCGTGACCTCCAAAGGGGTCATGAACGGGGTCTTGCCCCCGGCGTACGACCTGGCCCCTGGCCCGCTCTGCCCCCCGCTCCCTCCGCCCCCCTCCGCCGCGGCAGATCTGCTGGAGGCGGACGGGGACCTCTCGGGAGCCATCTACAGCTACCCCCGCAGGTGTGCGCCGCACGATGCCCCTCGCCGCACCGCACCGCCGCGTGCGCCGCACCGGCATGTGCCCGCACCGCGGTCGCGTGCCAACCGCTACACTTCCGCTCCCCATAACACAAAGACACACACGATCACACTGACCCTGTCCCCAACAGTGACACGCTCACGCAAGCCACACCGTCGCCATCACTGACACACTGACACGGTAACACAACTCGCACGCTGACGCCGTCTCTCCCCACCCCCCTCCCCACTGCGCTCCCCGCCCCCCCGCACTCAGCTACTCCATGAGCAGCGAGCAGCCCACCTACGACACCCCCCCGTCGGCCCCCACCTCGTCCTCGCTCTACCAGGTCCCCTGCGTCTTCCGCTTCGACGGCGGGCAGACCACTCCGGCCGCCTCCGCGGGCGGCGCCTCCCCCACCTCGCTGTCGGGGGGCCCCGCGCTGCTGCCCGACGCGGGGACGCCCCCGCCGCGGCCCCCCAAGCCGAGCGCCGGCACGCCGGCCGGGGAGAGGGACGCCGAGGCGGCCAACGGTGGCGGCGGCGGCGGCAGCGCCGGCGTGTACAGCTACCCGCGCTCGCAGTCGGAGAGCGACGGAGGCCTCTACCTGGTTCCGCCGCCCACCGTGGCGCGGAGGAGCAACACCATCTCCAGCCTGGACGGAGCCAAGGCGGCGCGCGGTAAGAGCCGCTCCCGCCATCGACGCTCTGTGGCCTCGACCGCTGTCGGCGCGCGGCCGTCGCCGTCGCCGCGAGCGGCGGGGGTTGCCCGTCGGCCCCAACTGCGGAGGTGCGAAGCGTCGCTGCGAGACGCGGTTGCCTGGGCTTGTATTGTCGTCGAATGTTTTCCAGGTCGCCGGTAAACGGGGGTAGGCCACGGCGGGAGGGTTTACTGAATGTGGTGTGGCAGGGCGCGGAAATATTTTCCGGATCGCCGACCCGGACGGATTAAGCCCTGCTTGTTACCGTCAACACACAGCCACAGTCATCTCCACGAGGTGGGGTCACCGGTCAGTCACCGGTCACCAGTCAGTCACCAGCTGCAGGCTGTGCGAGAGGTCCAAACGGGTTCTGTGTCTCATGACGGCGATAGTACAGTCGACCCATCGTCACCAACATCATCAATTTAAGTCATCATCGTTATCACCATCATCATGGTCGTGAGCGCCGCTCTGTCCGTGCCCCCCGCTGCGTAGACTCGTACCGGCTGGACAGCTACGACTACCCCCGCACGACGGTGAGCGACGTGGGTCACTCGCTCGAGTCCGTGGGCGACGGGTACAGCTCGTACATGGTGAGACTCGCCTACCCGCACTCGCCCACTCACCCGCTCGCTCGCTCAGTCACTCGCTCACCCACTCACCCGCTCGCTCACCCACTCGCTCACCCACTCGCTCACCCACTCGCTAAGCCACTCGCTAAGCCACTCGCTCAGCCACTTACAAACTAGTTTTTTTGGTTTGCTCACTCATTAACCCACCCACTCACTCGTTCACTCAGTCACTTATACAGCAGCTCACTCGCTCGCTTACCCACTGAGTCACCCAGGCACCCGTGCATTCAATCGCTCGCACCTTCCCGCGGTCGTACACTCAAGCACCCTTCCACCGTGTGCGCTCCTCTCCCTCCTCCCCTCCTCCCCTCACCCCCAGCGCAAGAAGAGCTTGCAGGGCGGCTCCGAGTCCGACCTGGAGCAGAACTACGTGGCGATGGTGCCGAGCCCGGGTCACGAGATCGACTCGCCCGTGACCTCCGACACCAACTACATCCCCATGAGCCCCGCCCACGTCGAGGGCCTCTCCCCGCCGACCTCCCAGGGGGGGGCGCCCCCCACCGCAGCTGCCACCGTTGCCGCCCCGGCCCCCGGCTCCGGCCCGTCCGTGGTGCCGCCCCCCCCCGCCGCGCCCAGGAGGGGCTCCAACGGTGGCCCCCCGAGGCGTGCAGTGGTGCCCGCCGAGGTGCAGCTTCCGCCCCCCGTCAACCGCAACCTCAAGCCCGACCGCAAGGGGGGCGATCGCAAAGGTAAAGGGGGCGGCTCTACGTGCACACTCACACGCTCACACACTCACACGCTCACACACTCACACGCTCACACACTCACACGCTCACACGCTCACACACTCACACGCTCACACGCTCACACGCTCACACACTCACACACTCACACACTCACACGCTCACACGCTCACACGCTCGCACGCTCGCTCGCTCACACACTCACACACTCACACGCTCACACGCTCACACACTCACACACTCACACACTCACACGCTCACACGCTCACACGCTCACACACTCGCTCGCTCACACGCTCACACGCTCACACGCTCACACACTCGCTCGCTCACACACTCGCTCGCTCACACACTCACACGCTCACACACTCACACACTCGCTCGCTCACACACTCGCTCGCTCACACACTCGCTCGCTCACACACTCACACACTCACACACTCACACACTCACACACTCACACGCTCACACGCTCGCTCGCTCACACGCTCGCTCACACACTCGCTCGCTCACACACTCACACGCTCACACGCTCACACACTCACACACTCGCTCGCTCACACGCTCGCTCGCTCACACACTCGCTCGCTCACACACTCGCTCGCTCACACACTCGCTCGCTCACACGCTCGCTCGCTCACACACTCGCTCGCTCACACGCTCGCTCGCTCACACACTCGCTCGCTCACACACTCGCTCGCTCACACACTCGCTCGCTCACACACTCACACGCTCACACGCTCGCTCGCTCACACGCTCGCTCGCTCACACACTCGCTCGCACACTCGCTCGCTCACACACTCGCTCGCTCACACACTCGCTCGCTCACACACTCGCTCGCTCACACACTCGCTCGCTCACACACTCACACGCTCACACGCTCACACACTCACACGCTGACACACTCATACACTCGCTCGCTCACACGCTCACACACTCACTCGCTCACACACTCACACACTCACACACTCACTCGCTCACACACTCACACACTCACTCGCTCACACACTCACACACTCACACACTCACACACTCACACACTCACTCGCTCACACACTCACACACTCACACACTCACACACTCACACGCTCACACACTCACTCGCTCACACGCTCACTCGCTCACACACTCACTCGCTCACACACTCGCTCGCTCACACGCTCACACACTCACACGCTTACACACTCACACGCTGACACACTCATACACTCGCTCGCTCACACGCTCACACGCTCACACACTCACTCGCTCACACGCTCACTCGCTCACACGCTCACTCGCTCACACACTCACACACTCACTCGCTCACACACTCACACACTCACTCGCTCACACACTCACACACTCGCTCGCTCACATGCTCGCTCACACGCTCGCTCACGCGCTCACTCGCTCACTCACTCACTCGCTCACACATTCACACGCTCACTCGCAGAATAGACAAAGGTCACCCCGTGTGTATAGCCTAAACAGACCGTTGGGGCAAGTAACTAGTGGCACCTGTGAAGGCCGGCACGGCACACGGTGGGGGTGGGTGGCCAGCACCACCACGCCCTGCCACTGTTGTATCCCTCCTGGCGATGTTTACTACACACTGCACCAGGTACTCGTTTGAGGCTGAGTCGACCTAGGGGAGGTCCAGGACCGGTTCAGATAATCGTCACTTGTTTTGGGCTTGAGCGGGAATTGAACTCGGTCGCTGGGTTCGTAGTGCAGGGTGCTCACCGCAACACTAATGATCGGCCAAACGCATACAAGCACATTCGTATGCTCGCACGACTTTGACTTTATACACTTTATACACGTACACGCCGGATGCATGCGTACACACATACACACACGCGCAAACATGCAGCCCCTCGCGAAGGCAGCGGAGCGCAGGGGAGAGGATGCACGATACCGTTATAAACAAGGAACACAAAGCATGCATAGGCATGGGATTATTTACCGCTTATCCTCGGGGTTATTTTCTTCCACTATCGCGATGATAGTGTTGCGGTTCCCAGTCCCACCACGAGATGACGTCAAACGTGACACCATCGCGATGGATCGACAAAGGGCTGCTGCTTGCTGTTTAATCGTTGCGCACATGGTGTTACGTTTGCTTTCGAATTTCGACGCTCACCTCCATTGGGGTGAGCGTCGAAATAAGCGCGCAAGAGGGCGTTCGGTCAAGTAACGCGAGTGCCTTCAAATACGATTGTTTTTCTCTCGCGAAGTGGAAAGTAAAAATACTATCACTTGACCGACCGGTTGGCTTTGGGTCAAGGAATTTTTATTTTTATTTTTTTTATTTAGTCAGCTTAAAAGTCAAATTATTGCGTTCCTCTCCACAACGGAGGGGCGCGCACAAAAACAATTCCTGTTTTTACTATTTCCACAAAACCCGTTTGCACTTTTTTTTTTGACCGAACAAAAGAGGAAGGTTTCGGAATTGGAGAACTCAAACGTGCGCCCAAAACAGAAGTGAGGCGAACGTTACGCAAGCGCCGCGGGCACCCGTGGCGGTTAAGAGGGGAGACATTGCGTTTCTCTGAGGTCGAGACGTGACACCCGGCCTCTCGGTGCACGACGTATTAATCTCGTCTGCAAGATCCGACCGTGTCCGTCCGGCGCTCACCGAGCCGCGTTGGCTTCCGGTTGCCGAACGAACAGGTTGCGAGGTCGCACTCGTTACACACACAAAGCGCTTGCCGCAAAACAACCACGGTGCCTCGCTGGTCTCGCCAAGGGGCGCAAACCGTCGCGCGAGCTCCGGTCATCCCCGCAGCGGCTTTTGGCTGGCCGTCACCGCATCGCGCGCTTTCAGATGCGCTTCTGCGGCCGTCTGGAACGCTCTTCCTTCCGATATTAGGAAGCCACTGGAGCTACGCACTTTTAAATGTAGATTGAAAACTCATCTCTTTAGAACTGATTCTTGTGTTCAGTTTGTTGTCCACCCCCCCCACCCCGCATTTCCGATTAGCAAAGTTGGCTACGTACGGTTCGAAAGAAGTTCAGAGTACATACATAGCTACTTGTCTCACGGTTTTATCCCCGACCGTGCTGTCGGCGTCGTGCCACGCGACGGAGTGCCCTTACGGAAGCTCACACAGAGGGAACGGGTCGCGACGCGTATTCCTGTTGCTAGCCAGGCGACAGTGCTGGCTATGCTACGCCGCGCGTGGCTGCCTGTAATCCGGCAGCGCGGAGGCGGCAGCGAGGGTCGCCAGATCACCGTGCGCACATGCTGAGAAATCTTCCTTCCCGTGTCGGCGTCGTGGAGGTGCCGTACCTTGACTCGCCAGGAGAAGGCGGCGGCAGCAAGAGTGCAGATGCCTCCTGTTCCACCTATACGGGATCGAGTGTTTCCCCCTCGCACGCGTGGGTTTTTCCCAAGGTCGCTCCAAGTTCTCTCCCACGCGCAGACACTCATTAATTGGCCGATGACACCTTAGCATGCAGGGGATCGCAGAGCTCGGGCACTTTTTGGTGCCGGCTCACTGCGTGGCTGTCTCTCCGCTTGTCTGGTTCCTTCTTACGCCGCTGAGTCGTTCTCTCTGCATGAGAGCGAGCACCCCCCCCACCCCCTCGTGTAAGAGCATGGCCTGCGGTAGTTGATAACCTCCGAAGCTCCCTTCAAGCGACCTTCCGGTTCACACGGCAGGAGTCGGCACCTCCCCAGCAGCTTTTCCGCTGAGAGTTGACGCTCGACGCACGGCGACTTAATTTTGTTACTTAACCGGCTGGGTAGCCTCATTCGCACGAGTGACCTGGGGCATTTATTTGCCAGCGGGGGGTGGGGGGGGGGGATGATTGCTGGCTTGCCAACGTTCATTAAATCTACTCCAAAGTTGTTGCGCGACGGGCTTGTTTTGTGCGAGAGGCCGGTTTACTCACGGGCAGCCGGAGCCTGGAGGATCTTGAAGCTGGTGAGCTCCTCATGCTCCGAATGAGATTCCCGTTACTGCCTTGGCGCTAACAAAACTTGGTGTCGCGCGTTCTTCCCCTCTCACTGGGCCCCCTCACCCCTGTCTCTCCCACCCCCTCACCCCCCAGGAGCCAAGCCGCCCCCCCTCGTCATTAAACCGGTCGACGACATCGATGGACTCATGCAGGCGCCGGTGCGATCGCCGCTCACCAAGACCTACGGGTGAGTGGGGCTCACCGGGTGAGCGCAGCAGCGCGCGTTCCGCATAGCCTTGACGGACTGTTGGGGCAAGTGCCGTGAGCTAGCACCTATCGAGGCCGGCTCGACACATGGCGGGGTGGGTGGTCAGCACCACGCCCGGCCGCCTTTGTCTTCCCCGGTGGCGATGTTTACACACCGCGCCAGGTGCTCAGCTGTGGCCGAGCTGCACGCACACACGCACCCACGCACCCACGCACGCACCCACGCACCCACGCACCCACGCACGCACCCACGCACCCACGGACACCAGAGATGTTTGCAATGTGCGCATACTTGCTTGTCGTGTCTGGAACGAGCATCGTGGCGAGCGGTGCTGTGGCTGGGAAACGTGCGGTGACAAATGTCGTGGCTGGAGAGAGAGCTTCGTGGCGAGTGTTGTGGCTAAGGAGTGCGCGGCAAGCGGGGACTGTTTGCAGCTTTGGGAGCGAGTGTCATGGCGAGAGAATGTCGTGGCCGGAGAGAGAGAGCGGTGGAGAGTGATACGGCTCGGAGCGTCGCACCCTGCCCCATCCCGTTCTGACCGCGGACTCCGTGTCGATCTAGGCCGCAGAAAGGCCCCTCGTTCCGCTACAGCCGCAGGCCGGACTCGGTGCACAGCACGGCCTCCAGCTCAGGCTCCGAGGAGGCCGACCCCCCCTACATCCCCATGGTAACGGCTCCAGTAGCCACCCCCCCCCCCTCCGCTACTCCTTTCCTCTCTGCAGGACGTCGTTCACAGCCTCCTCACCTGCTCGGCTCCTCCTAATGTTCACTTTGTGAGTTTCCTTTCTCAGTTTCCTTTCCCTGCGATTTCCGCTGGATTCTACCGCTGCTGCCGCCGCCATTGCTGCCACTGCTGCTGAGGAGTCTCGTTCTGTCGGCCTCGTTTCTCCGTCTCTCTCTCTCGCGCGTCTGACCGACACTGTTATCTTTTTCTCGAGACTTCCCGTGGCACGTCTCTGACATTCGCAAGGGTCACGTCTGCCGGCGTTGCCTCTGCGGAGTTGGGTTAACGCCTCCTTTTGTCCGCAGCGGCACGCTCCGCGGCCTTCGAACTTTTGTGTCCCCCTTTGTTGACGTCTCCCGTCGACGGCCGCCTTCAACATGGCCGCCTCTTCTCGCTGTCTTTTTTTCCGCCTCTTCCCTTGCGCGTCCTGGGAATTCTCGCCTCTTCCGTTGCGGCTGTCCCTCTCCGCGCCGTGAATCCTCCTTCTGCTCCTCCTCCTCCTCTCCTCCTTCGCCTCCTCGCCGCTGCCATCACCGTCGCCTGCGTCCAGTGACGAGACGTTTTTCTCGTATTACTGCACCTCGCTGCCCACGCCCACCGACACGGAGAGTGGCGATGAGGTGAGCTGTCGGTGGCGATGAGTATCCGCGGCACAAGGATGATAATGACGGCGGAGGATGAATGAGATGAACGGCCCGGGACTCGTTTTGTAGTTGGGAGAAACCCCATAGTCCAGTGATTAGAGCGCCGCGCTAGAAAGTCATTGAGCTGTGTTCGATCCCAGGCCATGGATACACGCTTCTGCGGCCGTCTGGAACGCTCTTCCTTCCAATATTACAAGCCACTGGAGCTACGCACTTTTAAATCTCGATTGAAAACTAATTTCTTTAGAACTGTTGTCTGTGTTTAGTTTGTCCAATAAAGACGGTTGGCTACGTACGGTGCGAAAGAAGTTGAACATACACACCATTAGTGGCGATTGATATCTGAATCGGTCCTGGGTGTAGCCACATCTCGTGAACGATACGGCACGGGGGGGGGGGGGGGGGGGGCGTCATCCAGCAGTGGATTGACACGGCGGCCGTCATAAATCAAATCCTCAATGAGTCTCGGGGCTCTTCTTTTTCGATGTCAGCGGCCTCGTCATTGGCGGCGATGGCATCGTCGCCCGGTCGGTGCTGCTTCACCGCTCTATGGAGGGCCTGAGATTTTTGAGCAGGCATCTCCGAGGCGACGGCCGCGACGTCGCGATTGCAATCCGACCAAATCGATCAAAGGCTTTGGCCCAATTCTTGGGATACGAACCAGTGCCGTAAGGAGCTGCCCCGGGGTTCCGACATAGCTGGCCGGGGGTGACGCCCTCCCGGGCAGAGCCGCTATCCGAGCCACGTGGTCTCATCGTGGCCTACGGGTGATACCTCTCGTGAAGATTATCCAGTACGAATGAAACTTTCAGCTTGGAGTTGCGTTGCTATTCGGGACTCAGGCTAAAGACAACTGCCCACATTGCTCAAAACTTGGACACTCAAACCAGCACTAAACATTATTTCAAATATGCAATCACTTTTTTATATTTTTTTAATTTGAAAATTAAACAAAGTACCTCCGAGGACAAACGCACGCTGGGTAGCGTTACTGAATCCAAGCGTAGGCATGGCTTTTCTTCCTTGCTTTGTTTTCTCCGACCCGTTCTCTATCGCCGTTCCCCGTCGCCTTCCGACCAGCGCCCTAACCGCGCCTCTCCCCGCTCTCCTCCCTCCATCCCTCATCCCCTGGTCCTCCTCCTCCCACCTCCGAACCCCCCCCCACCCCCCACCCCCTTGGACCTTTGAACCCTCTGGCCCGCGACAGAAGAACCAGCCTGCGAGTGCGTCGCCCACGCAAACGGCGTCGAACGCCGGGAGCCCCATGCCGCCTGGCGCACGCGATTGTGTCGAGTACCTCAAGCTCGACCTGCCCGGGTCGCCCGCTTCTACCAAGCAGGTGCCAGCGTCGCACCACCTCACCACCTGCACCACCTACAGCACCTGCACCACCCGCACCACCCACACCACCCGCACCACCCACACCACCTGCACCACCTGCACCACCTACACCACCTGCACCACCTGCACCACCTGCACCACCTACACCACCTGCACCACCTGCACCACCTGCACCACCTATATCATCTGCACCACCTGCACCACCTACACTACCTGCACCACCTGTGCCCTTTGCACCACCTACACCACCTACACCACCCGCACCACCTACAAAGACGAAGATCCTCCGTCTGCAATAGACTGTTGGGGCAAGTGCTCTTAGGTCGGCACGACACACGAGGGGGTGGGTGGCCAGCACCACACCAGGTACTCATTTGAGGCTGAGTCGACCTAGGGGAGGCCCAGGACCGGTTCAAATATTCGTCACCGGTGTTGCACATTTGCGCCACCTGCGCCAACTGTACCACCTGCACTGGCTCTTGTCACCAATAGCCACGACCCCGTTAAGTCCGAACGGCGTGTGCGGAGGCCCTCATCCAGCAGTGGATTGACAAAGAGCTGCATACGTGCACACGTACAGACTCGCGTTGTTATTAGCAGCTGAGTCAATAGGATAATAACAGAAGCCAGCCCGTCATCCCTCCTCGACATCAGACTCTCCATCCAAGGTGATAAACTAACTCCATCGGCGTCGCAATAACTCGCAGATCTACAAACGTGTTGGGGATTTATATTTGTTATTAATTGTGCTTGTGCACCACTACCAATGCAGCAGCGTCACCAAACATCTTGTTCCATCATCAGATTAAGCCGAGAAACTCCCTGCTACATTTGTCTTTGTGAATATATGCATTCGTGAGTATGCCGTACACATATACATGTATGCACCTGCGTATGTGTTCACTATTGGTCACGTGCGTGTGAGCACATCCTTGCAACCGTGCGGGCCTTAATATTTGCTCGGACTCGCCCCAACACTCTGTGGGCTACACGGAGGGGGATTGCTAACCACGTGCAGCCTTCTTCACACTCGTCCTCTCTTGTCCACCCTTGTCCACCCTTGTGCACCAACTGCGAGCAGAAGTCGGCCGCCCCGAGCCCGGCGCTCACGGAGGAGAAGGTGGACTACGTGACGGTGGACAAGGAGAAGACGCTGGCGCTGCAGAACACCAAGGAGGCGTGGCAGGACAAGCGGCAAATATCGGAGAACGACGTGCCGTCCAAGGGCACCAAGTGACGCCGTCTCGCCTCCCACCACCAACCCCTCGGCCCCGCGGCAACTCGGACTCGAGAGCTCAAAACTTAAAACTCTAAAAACGGAATAAAAACTGAAAAGCAAAACGCGCTGCGGAGTGCGAGGAGGAGCACTGCCGCCCAGGATGGACGAACGCGCAGCGCCAGTTTCGTTTTTAATCTTATCTCACCGGCGCCAGCGGTCGAGTTTCTATCATCCTCTTGGCTCGCGGTGAGATGTGAGCGAGCGAGCGAGCGAGGCCGTGCGATGATCACCGAAACGGGGCGATGCAGCTGCGATGGCGGTGGCGTTCACGGCTGAGCCCACGCCGGTGCACGGCCCGCTGCTTGGATGAGAGACGGCGCTGCTGGACGCTGCTGGGGCTGCTGGGGGCTGCCACGCCTGCCTGCCGGTGGGATCTCCGTTTGTCCGCTGGGCGCCAGCGAAGAACCACGTTGATGCAAATCGCTCAGCGCCGGACTGTTCCGAGCGAGCGAGCACGCCACCCACCCGCCCCTCCCATCGGCGTGGGATTTAACTTTCAAATATTGTTTCGTACTTTATACATCAACTGTCGATTTTTTAACTCTACACAGTTTCTACTTGAGCAACTGCTGCAATCGTCGCCGTCTCGTTTTTTTATGTTATTTTGTACTCCCCGAGTTGTTAATTTTATTGCCCGTGGTGAAAGTTGTGGTGCAAACCGGTAACAATGCAAAAGGGAACACCCTTCACAGCTGATTTTTTAAATACAGCCTGTATACAGTCTACATATATATACACAGTATTTCATCATGGACGATGACTTCTGCGACAGTGGGCGGCAGAGCCATCGCCGGCCGTACTCGTCGCCATGGCGACCATCACCGTTGAACTCATCGTCCACTCCGCCCGGTGGAAAGGAGGTCGCCCCCGATCGCTACGGCAACACCTCACGAACTCGCAAAACAATCTGAGGGCCGGCATCCACCATCCGTCAGGGTGGACTTTGCCGGTCAAGATGAACTAGTGGACTTGATTGATCAGGGTGGACTAATGGAATGTCCATGGAAGATGGACCGCCTTGATCGGGGAGGACTAATGGAATGTCCATGGAAGATGGACCGGCTTAGTCAGGGTGGACTAATGGAATGTTCATGGAAGATGGACCGGCTTGGTCAGGGTGGACTAATGGAACATCTCTGGTCAGGGTGGTCTATTGGACTGGCTGATCAGGGTGACTTTGGTGGGCGAATGGACTCGCGGGTGAATGTGGACTCGCTGATTATGGTGGACTAAACCATCTGTTCAGGGGTGGAATTTCTCGTCGAGGTCGAGCGCCTGGTCATGTCGGTCCTTTAGTTGAATCGTGGTAGACGCAGCGGTCAGGGCGGAGATCTCCTCCCAAGGTGAACTCGCCACTCTCACGATGGACCTGCTCCAGCGATGATGAACCGGGTGGACGAGTCCAACGCTGGACTCGCGGATTTTCCGGTTGGAGTGGAGCTGTTCTCATAGGTCAGGGTGGACGTTCCGGATCGAGCCATGGGGCCGTGCCGGGAACGGCGAGTGACGGGGAGCTTTGTGCCGTGACCGGTCGTCGCTACGTCACCCGTCTGCCTTCTTAACCCCCCGCCCCCCGAGCCCCCCGCCGCGCGTGCGCCTGCCCGAAGACGCAAAAAAATACTCGTGAAATGACAAAAAAAAATGAACAGATTTGTAGAAAAATATATATAAGGATAATGCTGTGGTTTTACATAACGATTTCAAATTTTGTTTTGTAAGAAAGACGTGGCCTTGGTTCACGTTGTCGTTCGTCGTTGTCCATCGTTTTGTCCGGTTTGTTTTGTTTTACAGAAAACAGGAGGGAGTTGTTGTTGTTGTTTTTGTAAAAATGGTTGAAGTTGCAGTTTGTCTCATTTTAGTATTTGCGCGAGCACTTGATTGGGGAGGGGGGGGGGGGATGCTCGTATTTTGAGGAGGGGCTGTCATGCCTCCCCCCCCTCCCAACCTCTCCCCCCCCCTTCCAACCTCTCCCCCCCCCTCTTCCTGCCACGTCGTCGCCCTCTCACTGTGCCCCCCCCCCCCCCCCCACAAACAAAACCACCAACTCCATTGTAGCCCACGTGAACCCTGACCCCTGGGGTAAAGGTCGCCAAACACAGCGGTAAATTTGTCAACAGTCGCAACAAAGGAGAGGGTATCCCGGGCCGAATGATGTCGGCAGAAAGGAAATGCCAACGAGAGACAAGACGTCGCCTCTCCCCCTGCCGCGTGCTGCTGCTGCTGCTGTGGGACCGGGTCTCGCCACGTGTCGTTCGGCGACGATGTCCGACGTTTCGTTCCAACGTGCCCGCGGCCGGGAGCTTCTTCGGGATCGGAGAAGCTTTCCGGCGCGGTGAGTGACACGCCGGATGATCACGCCGAACGGTGCCGCGATACATCCCGAAACACATCGGGGGGGGGGGGGGGGGGGGTATTAGCTGAATTACGTTTGGCTTATCCGATAGCTGATTGGACAGTGGTGATGATGACGATGATAGTCGGAGTGGAATTTCAATAATTTATCTCTAATGTACGCGCGCGACCCTTTTTGTCAACTCCGCCGCTGGACGAAGACCTCCGCGTGCCGTGCGTATCGATGGGGGGAGGAGGTGGGTGGAGGGGGGGTGGGGGGCGCTTGTTTGACCATACTTCACCACGCCTGCCAGGGCGGACTGGCACGCGGCGCCAACCCCGGGTGAAGCGGTCGGTGGCGGTGCCGTCGGTTGAGATTGTGCGCTGCTGCTGCTGCTGCTGCTGCCTTTGACTACGATGGGTTTATTTTGTATTTATTCTCGACCGCGTGCCGTCGACGTCGCTAGGAACGGGGAGGTGCGCGCGTGAGTCGCGGTATTCGCGAGGTCAGGTGACCTCTGCCCCTGGGGGGGGGGGGGGGTCCAGAGAAGCTATGCAACAGCCCCTCGTGATGAGGTGCTCACAGTTGGTCCTTGAGAAATTAAAATTGAGCAAAAAACAACAATATTAAAAACAGCGGCACCAACAGCAACGGTAGTAAATAATAAACATCCAATACCATTCTCAGCCACGCTCTCGTGCACCCTGTGCACGGTGTGTGTGTGTGTTCTTTTTCCAAGACGCCTGTCCCGAGTCTGTATGTACGTGTGTGTGCGCGCGAGTCTAGGTGTGTGTGGCTGTCTGTATGATCTGAATGTGGCCGCGTGTGTGTGTGGCTGTCTGTGTACAGCGCAGTGGAGCGGTTGCGCCACGCTGCGCTACGAACCCGGCGTCCCGAGTTCGATTCCCACTCACGGCCAACACCCAGTGACGGTTATATGACCCGGTCCTGGGACTCCTCTGGGTCGACTCGGCCTCAAATGAGTACCTGATGCGGTGTTTAAACATGCCACTGGGGTGACAAAGGCGGCCGGGTGTGGTGCTGGCCACCCACAACTTCGTGTGCTGTTCCGGCCTTCATAGGTGCTCGCTAGCTAACAGCACTTGCCCCAACAGTATTTTTAGGCTATACGGGGGATCTTTGTCTTTTGTTTTGTATATTGTACAGCGATTGGGGGTGCAGTGGTAACCGCACTGCACCAACGCCCCCCAACCCAGAATGATCCAACCGGCGATGAGCGAATTCTACCCAGGGCCCGGGTCTCATGCACACGCGAAATAAATAAATGATTCGGGCATTTAAAGTTGTTTCCAGGCACGCATTTTAAATCAACTGCTTTAATTAAGTGTCCATTGGAGTAGGGTCACAACCTTTCGGTTGCAAAGGCACGCAACTCTATTGCTGTGATACAAAAAATAGAGCTTTGCCACCCACAAACAATGATGATGGATGGAGCTGGTGGACAAGGGAGAAGTGGGGAATCAGGAATTCATTTCTCACTGAAATATATTCAGGGTCACTGCCAGACTCGACTGGACGTGGTGGTGGTGGTGAGAGGCACATGAGGACGCGTAACCACGGCCGAAACGAGAGGTAATCATGAATGTGGTGTGCCGGGTAACGGAATGATGTTACGGTTAACTAACTCGGCCGAAACTAAAACTAACTTTTTTTCGATTTAAAGCTTTCGTGACTGCAGGGATTCATCTTCTTGGTTCTTTCGGTAAAATCACGTAGAAGGGAAGTAATAAAATAATAAAAATAAAACATAATAAAATAATTCATCCAGACGCTGTCTCCCCGACAGACCTGGTCGTCACCTGAGGACGGCTGCTTGCGTTGTGGCCGAAACGTGAGAATTATTTTATTATGTTTTATATTTATTATTTTATTACTTCCCTTCTACGTGACTTTACCGAAATAACCAAGAAGATGAACTTTTTTTATTTTACCAGGTAATGCCCTCTGAGCTACTTATCTCTTTTTCAGAAGCCACCTCGCTATCAAAAAATCATGATCCAACGAAATGGCTTACGTGTAAATGTATAGCAGCCATATTCTCTAAACGCATGTTTCTAAACGTGGAGGGAAACACCGGAGAAACCCGGAGAAAAATCCACACGAACACAGGGAGAGAGATACACGCAACTCCAAACATAGAGCAGGCGTCAGGGTCGGGATCAAACCCACGAACTCGTGTATACCGGGCGAGGGAGTTAACATCTCCTTAGGTTTTTTCGGTAAAGTCACGTAGGTAAAAAATAAAATTTAAATTAATAAAAGTAAAATTAAAAAATCACGACGTTTCGGAGGCAACACAAGCTTCCGTCTTCAGGTGGAACCGTCACAACACGATTGATGTATCAAGTAAAGACTTTACCGTCACAGCACGATTGCTGTATCAAGTAAAGAGGAAAAAAAACCTAAGAGTATGAATCCTTGCAGTCACGAAAGCAACAAATCTAGAGTTAACATCTCGCCAACCGCAGCGCCTCTACGGTGCAATTTAATGGAATGTTAACAGTGATAATTGGTTGTTACGATTCGAACCCTCCCTTAATTGCGTATTGAAAATGGAACGCATCGCGTTACACGTTGCTACGTCAACTGGGTGCAGTAGGCGAGAGGAGACGCCAGGGGGCCTCGCTGGCTCGAGAGAGGAGGAAGCGACGCATGGCCTGGAACGGCACAGCCTGGCACGGCACGGCACAGCCTGGCACGGCTCTGCACGGCACGGCACCGACAGAAAACGTTTTGAGTGTCTTTGCGAGCACGTGAATTCGGATTTGCGACATTCAAATTGAGACGTGTGTGTTTTTACGTATGTCAATGTAGATATATATATTTATTTGTTTTCCTTTATTCATTCTTAGATTGGGATTATACGTGGCGGCCAAGCGCCCCGCTGTCAATTCTTGGCAAGAATCTCTTCTGAAAAAGAGAAGCATCATCATAATAACAATAAACTATGTTCATTATTCTGGCTGGTGGTGTACTTAATACTTCGCGGTCTGTGACATTCACGTGTGTCTGTTTTCGTGCAATTATAACATTAAATACACATTAAGTTAGAAACCAGCAATCCGTACTAAGGGGCTGTCCATAAATGACGTCACGCGATTTTGGACGATTTTTGACCCCCCCCCCCCTCGTCACACGGCGTCACAAAAAGTCAGACCCCCCTCAAATATGACGTCACAAAGCTCTGCCCCCCCCCCCCGCTTTTCCCAATTCACTGCTGGATGAAAGTGCCTCTCTCCAAATCGCAACCCAGTTTTAATGAGCGATAATTGTTTTTAAGGAACGTGAGCTGTGACGCACATCGGCAATGGGCGTCACTGTGAATGCAACTTGCGCATGACGCACACCCCCGCAATGTGGCTGCAAAAAAACGTTTTTAGCTTTACGATTTCATTTCATTTGTCACTTGAGTGACGAGGGAAAGAATGTGGAAGAGAGTACCGCCCGCACCTATGTCGCATACCTTCATGTAGATCGTTTCATGAATGTAACGTTGGGAATTGATTGAGAATTATTCGCGCACTGTCCACCGAGCTGATGAAGCGATGACATCAGCTCTTGTGCAGGTGCTCAGGTGGATTATAGTAAACTATAAACTAAACTATTTTTTTTTTATTTCACCAGGTAAGACCCACTGAGCTATGTAGCTCTTTTTCAGAAGCAACCTGACCACAAATGATAGCTCAACGAAGTGGCTTTTCACGTGGAAATGTCTAGCAGCCAAATACTCTAAACGCGTGATGTTGATTCTAAATGTAGAGGGGACAACCGGTGGACCCGGATAAAAATCCACGCGACCACGGGGAGAGAGACACCAAAAACTCCAAATATACAGCAGCAGGCGTAAATGTCGGGATCGAACCCACGACCTCCTGCACACCAGGCGAGGTAGTTAACATCTCCTAGCCACCGTGATGATGATGAGAGACAGAAACACGCAAACTCCAAATATACAGCAGCAGGCGTTAGGGTCGGGATCGATCCCACGACCTCCTGTATTGCAGGCGAGGTAGTCAACATCTCCTAGCCACCGTGATGATGATGAGAGAGACACGCAAACTCCAAATATACAGCAGGCGCTAGGATCGGGATTGAACCCACGACCTCCTGCACACCAGGCGAGGTAGTTAACATCTCCTAGCCACCGTCATGATGATGAGAGAGAGAACATGGAAACTCCAAATATACAGCGGGCGTTAGGGTCGGGATCGAACCCACGACCTCCTGTGTACCAGGCGAGGTAGTTAACATCTCACACTATTACAGCGCCCAGCGATGTCACATTGCTGGATCGCGGAGTGATGGAGGCGGCTTCGCGGGAGGCTCTCATCCAGCAGTGGATTGAATCATGGATGCTGATGATGATTACGATGACTTGGTAGGAAACTATTTGCCTCCAAAACCTGTAGTTGGGTGTGGCAGAGTCCGTGACCAGCGCTGACACTTTGGGACGTCCCTGAACAGCAACTGCATCCTCTTGACTCATTGGCGGCCCTGTGAGTGGAAACGAAACAATCCTTTGTGGTTCTATTTGTTTGTATTTGTTTCATAACAAATGCAGTAGTGTACCAGCGGTGGTGGAGCGGCTAGCGCGCTGCGCTACGAACCTGGTGCCCCCCCCCCCCCCGCTCACGGCCAACATCGGTGACGATTATCTGAACCGGTCCTGGGCCTCCCCTAGGTCCACTCAGACTCAAATGAGTACCTGGTGCGGCGTGTCATCGCCATTCGGAAGACAAAGGCGGTCGAGCGTGGTGTTGGCCACCCACCCCCTCGTGTGCCGTGCCGGCCTTTATAGGTGCTCGCTAACAGCACTTGCCCCTACAGCCTGTTAAGGCTACACGGGGGATCTTTGTCTTTGTGTCAGTTGGTGGAGCAGAGTGGATCCATGGCGTGCGGGTGACCCGGGCGTGCCGAATGCGACGTGCAGCATCGCGTCACTCTCGACGGCGCTGTGGTCGTGGTTCAGAATTCGGGTTATTGACGATAGGGTTTGGGGTGATTTCTATTGATTGGGTTCGACAGAGGGTAAAGGTTAGGGGTTTAGGGCGATTGATCAGGTTGATTCTAGGTATAGGAATAGGGTAAGAGCTCGGGTTAAGGTTAGTGGTTCGGATGGAGTTAGTTTTAGGGCTATGGGGCTAGGGGTAGAGGTTTGTGTAATGATTAGGTTAATGATAGAGGTTAGGGCTCGGTTAGGGGTAATGCTAAGAAAAGGTTTACGCGAGGGTTATGGTGAATGATGCGGTTAAGTTTAGGGCGATGCGTGGTATTCATTCAGGTTGAGTTGAGTATCGTGATGAGTTGAGTATCGTGATGAGGTTAATTATGCTGCGGTTCGGGTTAAGAGCTAAGTTAGGATGAGTACAAATGAATAATGATAAGGCTAATGTTGGTTATGGTTTGCTTAAAAGTTCGGTCTTGGATTAGTTATTGCTCAGGTCAGTAATGGTGTCAATGCTATATAATTAGATTGGTTGTATTCGTGTTGGGGTTAGTGTGAGTGTCCTGGTTAGGTTTAATTGTACGGTTAGTATCAATGCAAAGTCTGTGGTTAAACTCACGGCTGAAGTTAGTGTTGCGGCTAGTCTCCTGGTTAATATTAGGAGATGGCATTAGGGGTAGGGTTCGTGTTAATGTCAGTGTCCACACAAAGCTTCTGGTTAAAGCACAGGACGAATGCCAAGGTGAGTGTTACGGGATAACTTCGTGGCGATCGCTTTGTGCTCGAGGGGAAATGGAAGGTAAGTGACCTTGTAAGTGGATGGTTGGACACTGGTGTCACCATCAACCGGCATCAGAACACGAGCGGGCCCAGGTGTGTTGCACATCTTCCCCTTGAGTGGAACATTCACGGAAACAAGCCGCAAGAGTGCGACTGTGGCCATATAACCCGCACACAACCAGGATGTTTCTTTTCCTGGGGGAATCCGATGAGCTGTAAAGCTCTTTATCACAGGTGTCCAGCGAGACAGGTAAGAACGTTACAACAACAAACAACAACAACAACACGATAGGAGTGCAAAGTCCAATAAAGGTAAACAAATGACCCAAACATATAAATGAAACTAAACCATCCCCATCCTTCCAGACAATGCCCACTGAGGGATTAACTTATCGTTTCAAAAGCCACCTGGCCACAAATGATAACTCAACAAAGTGGCCCGTCATCATTCGGACATTCATAGCGGCGAAATCATCTAAAGACTGCAGTCTAAGCGCGTGTCTCTAAATGTGGAGTGGGGAAAACCGGAGGACCCGGAGAAATAAAATGCACTTGACCAGGCTATGGGCCCTACAAAACGTCGCCGTGGTATTGTTCGTGTTGTTGAGTCTCACGGAAAAGACAAGTGAAAGGCAAACAGTGCAGATTAAAAAGGTGTGCAGGTGAGGTTGGAAACCCAAGAGGGCTTCTATGTATATACAAAACAGATTGTTCAATAAATTAAACAAAGCATACTCATGCTAATTAAACTTGTTCAACTAGAGGTGTTGATGCGCTCGTTCAGCAGAGGAGGATGAACAGCAGCAAATCTGGCTGTGACGGTCCCACCTTATTTTATTTTTTATTAATTTCAATTTTTTACCTACGCGACTTTACCGAAAGAACTAAGAGTATGAATCCTTGCAGTCACGAAAGCTTCAAATCTAGAAGCAAAACCACAGCAAATCTCTCTGCTGAAGTTCCCCCCCCACCCCCCTCGACATGACCCTAAACGTGAACACATGACCCCCCATTCGCAAGAACAAACCGCAGTGGATGAGTACACGTACACATTCTTACGTAAACCGAACAATTATCTTCAGGAATGCAAAGAATCTCTCGGGCGACTATTTTTACCGACAATATCAGTATGACTGGGAGAGGAAGACACCTGTTTAGTCAAAGAATGCTTTAAAATCCACCCCGAGCCGCGCCTTGGTGGCCATCCATTGAGTGCGTACGCAAAAATCCGTCAAAACTTGACGCCTCTCTCCTCCCTGTACGCACGCGGTCTTTTCATACCCCCCCCCCCACCTGCGTACGTTCGCCTGACGCAACCCCCCCCCCCCCCCACCGTATCCTAAAGAACGTCCGATACTTAATCCACGCAGAAACGATCAAGGATTAATAATATTGACGTGTTTAAGCAAACAGATAGTCCACCGCCGGACTGTCTAACTCATTTGAAGGCCAATGTAGACAAATTATTATCGAGGCTTCACCCCCCCCCGTTCCCTATGCGTACACTGTCAGTAGACCCCCCCCCCCATACGCCAGCTACGCGTTTGGGTGAACCCCCCTCCCTGCGCACGGACCCCATGCATGGCCCCCACCCCTCCCCCCTCCATGCATGGACCCCCACCCCTCCCCCCTCCATACATGGACCCCCACCCCTCCCCCTCCATGCGCACCTCCTCCATGCCCCCCCCCCCTCTTGTTGCGCTGAAGGCGTCCGAGTCCGTGTGCCGCTGCGGACTGCGGGGCCCTAGGGGCGCGGTCTTGGCCGGGACTCGTGGATTGGGTGTGCAGGTTGTGTGTGTACCCCCTTCATGGGGTGTGGGTACCCCCTTCACGGTCTGTGTGTGTACCCCCTTCACGGTGTGTGTACCCCCTTCACGGAGTGTGTACCCCCTTCACGGAGGGTGTGTGTGTACCCCCTTCACGGGGTGTGTGCCTACAGGTAAGGGTACCCCCCCTCTCGGCATGGTGTGTGCCCCTGTCGGGGTGTGTGCCTACAGGTAGGGCCCCCCCTCTCTCGGCAGGGTGTGCCCCCCCCCCTCTCGGCAGGGTGTGTGCCCCTCCCCCTGTCGGGGGCTGTCTCCGGCGAGGCGGGTCGCTGGAACAGGCGGGCGCGCCTCTCTCATAAACGCGAGGTCGCCTCCCTCGATCCTCACTCGGCTCGCTGCAGCTCCCTGCACTCCACTGCACCTCCACTGCACTCCACTTGCAAGGTAAGAAGAGCGCACGGCTCTTATTATATAAATAAATAAAGATCTCCCTTCCCGTCAAAGTATTTTATATTTGTATTTGTCTGGGTCGGGAATCTTGGCGCTGTCGCGAATTTCGCGTCTCCCGTGACCGGCAAGACGAACAGGCGGAGGAGAGACCAAGACAACTTCACGTCCAATTGTGTTTCGGGGTTGGCTTTTTTGGGATTCCCACCCAAATGCGTTTTTATCCAACGTCGGTGTGGGGGGTAAGAGACATCGCGAGGCTGCGATGAGACGAGGGTTGGGACTGTGCCTCTTGATTTGAGATTAAAGTTTAGTTTTTATTGTGGACGCACGTGCGGACTTTGATGTGTTGATGCGCACGGCAGAGCGTGTCTATCGATGTGCGTCGCATTCAATGCGAGGAGCGGTGGCGCAGCGGTTAGCGCGCTGCGCCACCGCGGTTAGCGCGCTGCGCTACGAGTTCGATTCTCGCTCACGGCTAACACCGGTGACGATTATCTGAACAGATATTGGGCCTCCCCTAGGTCGACTCAGCCTCAAATGCGTACCTGGTGCGCCGCAAGGGAGACAAAGGCGGTCGGACGTGGTGCTGGCCACCCACCCCCTCGTGTGCCGTTCTTCATAGGTGCTCGCGAACAGCGCTTGTCCAAAAGTCTGTTAAAGGCTACACGGGGGATCTTGGTGTGCCACCCATAGGGTGTTAAGTGTTCGATGTTAATACGTGGGTGTGGTTTTGGATTGTGCGTGTGTGTGACGTGGTGTGGTGTGTATTGTGGGGATGTAATCACGTGTCAACAGTATTGTGTTGTTGTCTGGGCGCGGTATTGCGTATTGTTGCGTGCCCCTACAGTCTGTTAAGGCTATACGGGGGATCTTTGTCTTGCATTGTTGTGTGTGTGTGTGGGCCTATGACTAAACCACTCGGAATGCGCAAAATCTCACCCAGATCTTGTAAGCTCAGCAGGGTCTGAGCCTGGATGGTGCTTGAATGGGCGACCGCCGGTCCATGTCGCGTTGTCTTAGGCGGTTGCGGAGCGACGTGGCACGGGCAGTAGACGGCAGTGCAGCCAAATCCAGTGTTGGACTGGACTTCTATGCTCCCACGCCTACGCTCCTCACCTTCGTGGACAAATAATCGCCACGGAACCGCACGATGTAGGGGGGGGGGGGCCTTCATCCAGCAGTGGATGGACCAAAGGGGCCGTACACGTCTATGCGATGTTGTGTGTTGTGTTCTGCGTGATGTTAGCCATGAGCCTGGCGATCAAACTCAGGTGACAGGGCTTACAAGTTTGCTGAGCACTCCGTCGCCGCCCTCCCTCCCGCACCCTGCAGGTGCTCGCTAACACGTTGCAACGTCTCTGTGTTTGTCCAGATGGCTTTCAAAGGCTCAAGCTCAAAGCCCCGACCCCGGTCTGCGTACGGTGAAAATGGTGAGAATTTTGTTCACGAAAAAAATCTTCAAAAGCACGGGTGCGGAACTTACGGCCCCCGTGAGCAGCGTGCCATTTCCATAGCTGTCAACCCCTCATCGGTGCCCGACGTTATTACCGACCAATTCAGACATTATTGGTCACCCCGTGTCCATATAAATCTCAACGTTCATCCTACAAAGTGCCATCACAAGGGTGAAACACAAACAAATAGACAAATAAATTCAAATGTTTTTGTTCCCGTACTGAAACGTCTGTACGCCGTATGGACGTGAAAACTCAATGTCCCTGTACAAGAATACGGGGTAAACCGTACGGGTTGACAGCTGCGCATTTCCCGTGGCCTAAAGAATTTTATTTCACACATCCCGAGAAATGAATTACCAACGACCCGACACTTCCACGGAAGCGACACCGAGACTTCACTTCACGCGACTCGCAGCGTCATTCCACACGGCCTGCTGCTTGTGGTCTCGTGGCCACGCGCAGCTCACAACTTAGAAGAGAGTCGACAAAACGATGCTTATCCATCAGCGAAAGCATCTCAGCCACCACCACCTTGGCCGCACTCATTGGGTGCTGGAGGGGATGACGTATTCGACATGGGCAATGCTGCGTTTCCCATCCTCGCGTTCGGTGAATTTCTCACCGCTAGGGCTCCTTTGCTACGACAGCGGTGACTGATCTGTGCGGCGCAGTGTCCACGTGTGGACGCCCACCACCAGCGCTCTCGGGTCCCGCACCCTCGTGCTAGAAGGCAGACGAAGCCCGGTCCCTCCCCAGCCCGCGTCTGCTGTGGGGGGCTACGTTTGACCATACTTCACCATTTCGCTGCACTGCGCTCTGGTGCCCACTTCTTAGCCCCCCGCGACCTATGACCCCTACGGTGCATGGTGGTTGTTCATCCAAGCAGCACGAATCCAGGGTCATCCTTGCTTAACTTTCCGAGATCTAACCAGGTCGGATAAGTTCAGGGTGGTTAGGTCGTAGATGTTTTTGGCCTTGGGGTCGTGCTATGGTCATCGTTTCAGGCTGCACAACAATTGGGGGGGGGGGGGGGGGGTGAAGGCAGCTGTGTGGAATGTTGCATCACGGGACAATGAATGATGGCGATGGCTTGGGGAGGTCTTCATCCAGCAGTGGGTTGATCATGGGCAGCGATGATGATGATAGTGACATACATTATAAAGTGGATTGTTCATGGCCAGTGACGATGATGATGATGATAGTGACATACATTATAAAGTGGATTGTTCATGGCCAGTGACGATGATGATGATGATAGTGACATACATTATAAAGTGGATTGTTCATGGCCAGTGACGATGATGATGATGATAGTGACATACATTATAAAGTGGATTGTTCATGGCCAGCGACGATGATGATGATGATAGTGACATACATTATAAAGTGGATTGTTCATGGCCAGTGACGATGATGATAGTGACATACATTATAAAGGGGGTTTATGTTTGTCCCCGTGTGTCCGTGAGCAGGGAGCCCACAGACGGAGAGGGAACGGTCCGACGCCATCCAGGGCACAAAGTTCCGCACCTCGGTGAAGGATGATACCAGCTGGATCAACCGTGCCGGTGGACTCAACGAGGACGAGGGGTAGGCTCCAATACAAAACAAAGACAAAGATCCCCTGTATAGCCTTCAGCATGCTGTTGGGGCAAGTGCTATTCGTGAGGAGCACCTATGAAGCCCGGAGAGGCGCACGAGGGGGTGGGTGGCCAGCACCTCGCCCAGCCGCACCAGGTACTCATTTGAGGCCGAGTTGACCTAGGGGAGGCCCAGGACCGGTTCAGATAACCATCACTGGTGTTGGCCGTGAGCGGGTATGGAACTCGAGTTGCCGGGTTTGTAGCGCAGCGCGCGAACCGTTGCACTACCGCTCCTCACTACATACACACACACACACCTCCCGGCACTGTGCAAATACCATCTTCACACACAACAGCAACAACTACAACAGCTGACGGTGACATCACCACAGCGCTAGTGCCAAGAAAGATGCACTTTGAGGCCACAGAGACTCCCGAAGAGACCCGCTGAGTAACTGGAATGTGCTAGCAGTGGCTTCATCATCAGCCCTTTCTTCAGCTCCCACAGCTCCCATTGAGAATTGGTCTGGTGGAGCCCTGCACTCGTGCAGCAGCATTATTACCACCCCCTCTAGGCAGGATGCGTGCCCCGCTCCTGTTGGGGTGTGTGCGTGCAGATAGGGGTACCCCCTTGGCAGGGTGTGGTGTACCCCGCTCCCAGACAGTGTGTGTGCAGGTGGTGGTGTGATGTTAGTGGGGAGCGGTGGTGTAGCGGTTAGCGCGCTGCGCTACAAATCTGGCGACCCGGGTTCGATTCCCGCTCACGGCCAACACCAGTGACGATTATCTGAACCGGTCTTGGGCCTCCCCTGGGTCGACTCAGCCTCAAATGAGTACCTGGTGCGATTGTGTAAACACGTCAGGAGCAGCAGAGTGGTGTGTCGCTGTGATATCTCCTTCGTATTTGTGGAACGGGGCATTGCACTGTTATATGTTGTTGTACGGTTTGTTCTGCACACTGGATAGTTTTAGATCTTCCAGGTATCCGCATCTGCCATGGTTCGTGCAGTGGATGCGTTTTAAAGTGGGACATGAGCTAAACCGTCACATTGAAACCTCTCCGATGCGTCGTTCGGCTCGTGCCGCGCGTTGTTCGGCACGAAGTACGGCACGACGTCCGACGTTTCGCTCCGCGTGCCCAGGAGCTCCTTCACACAAAAAAATACCCCAAGGGATCTGAAGAAGCTCAGAGCGCGCGGCACAAGCCCGAAAACACAGAGGAGAGCTCGACAGCACGAAACCGCCAATACCTGCCCAGTAGCATAACTAAAGCCATGGTCACAGCCCCGGGTATGAACACTCTAAACACTGCCACCGCCCTCACCTGCACGACAGGTGCTCCAGGGAGGCAGGCAGGGAGGGGAAGGAGAGGTATGCGTGAAGGAATGTGGAATGCGTCGTTGGGCGATGACAAATAGATTGATTTCGTCTTTTTGTTTGTGCCTCCGTCTGTCTCCACACCCAAACCTACCCCCCCCCCCAAAAAACAATTTCCCCCTCTCTCCCTCCTACCCCGCATTTGCCCCCCCCCCCCCACCCCTCTCTCCACGACCAGCGAGGAGCCGGGGCTGATAGACTTCGGCGACAAACATCCGACCTCGCCGCTCTCCCCGACGTACGCAGGCACCAGGTGAGCCGCTCCGCGGGCGTGTAACCAGCGGCGTGAGCTGTAAGTTGCCGGGGCGTGCAGGCGGTACAACTGCGCCGCTGGTGGGGGGGCCTTACAGCAAAAATACGGGCACGCATCATGGGAAGAGGAATAAGAAGTTGGAGGAGGATATCTGACAATACGTGGAAAGCGGAGAACTCCATGCGAATGCATTGGATATTGAATGATTTGGGGATGGCTTACAGAAAATTCCCAGGATGGCTAACTCCTCAAGGAGAGCGCAATATTGGATCGATCAAGGACAGGTGGCAACGCTAGCCCATGGGCTACAGAGGGATCCCATGTGCTAGGTTACCAAGAGTGGGGGTGGGGGGGTTGGCATATCATTCCTTGTACGAGGATCCATGCCAACCGTGCCACACCAATGAATCCGCCCTATTCAGCGGTCTTCACGCCTGGCAACCCTGTCAGTGTCGAGGAATTGTGAGCGAGCGCTTATTTAAGTCATTGCCGGCATGGGTGTGCTGTGGTAGTTTTGGACACGTGTGGGTTTTCTCCCGGCTCTCCGATTCCTCCCGCGCGGAGCCGGACGCTCGCTCGCGGAATTGGCCAAGCAGCCCAATGCAGGACCCTCCTGCAAAACGAGCCTTGAGACTGGGTGAGGCTTTCCTGGTTAAATAATTGGCATTATTACGATGATTAAACCGAGGTAGACTGTTGGTGCAAGCATTGTTACGGGCACACATGAGTAAGTTGAAGGTGTGGTCGCCACTCATTCACATAGAGACCCATGGATTTACACAGAGACCCATAGACTTGGCTAGGGTGAGTTACGATTAAACGGGGCTCTAAAGTGTAGCTGAGTTGATGGTCTTAGCCCTGGTCAACAATGACTCGCACACAGACCCGTAGACCTACATGGAGCCCGATCACCAATGGCTGCACGAACAACAACAAAAATGACATTTGGTGCCACGTCACCACGCGTACCTCGCTCTACCCCTAATCTCTCAAGTACCTATGACCTTGCACCCTGAGCCTAACCCTGCCCCTGGCCCTGGCCCGTGCAGGTGAGTGCGAGCTGCTGGCTCGTTCACAGCCACGAGTTGTCTCGTCTGTGCTCGATATTTGTTTACCGGCCGAGAGGGCAGTCAATTCCTCGCATTCCTGTCAAGGACGGGCGCGGCCCAATTCATCAATTCGAAGCCACCCACACCCAGCGCGCTCCTGTGCCCTCGAGAGAGACGTCATGCGACGGAGCCTCCGTGACGTCGCTCGACATGAATCACGGACCAAGACAAAGATCTCCCCCTCCCTCCCTCCCTCCTTTTCTTTTTCGATCAGACGAGAAAGATGCTCAGTCTTTCGGCACTTTACTTCGTTCATCATGTCGTTTGTTTGTATTTTTTTCCAAAGATATAGCGCGAGTTTCCCGTGTAACATTAGTCCCATTGTGTGTTACTGTGTTCATAGACACCGACAAGAAAACAAATCACCCTCAAAAACCCATCACCAGATCCCCTGCTGCTGTGCTACCAGCATCATAGCGGCGAAGGCACCTCCCTCCCCTCCCCTCCCTCCCCCGTGTAGCCTTGACAAGGTTGTTGTGGGCGAGTGCTGTTAGCGAACAGCCCCTATGAAGGCGAGAACGGAGGCGGCGGGGTGGGGGTCCCCCTTCTCTTACGCCGCCCGCCGTGACCCTCTCGTCTACCGCCCCCCCCCAGCCGTTCGTCGAGGCAGCAGCAGCAGGAGTGGGATGATATGGATTCTCATGCCGCGTCAACGAAAGGAGCCAGGGACTCGTCCGGCGGCGGATTCCGGTCGTCGACGCAGAAGTGGTACGTGACCCCTGTCAGGGATTCGCTTCGCCGACGACGCTGTTGGGAGGGCCAACCTGGAACTCAGATTTCCGCCTTAGATACATTCAGCTGGGGAATTAGTTTTTTTCCTTCTTCAAGTTATGGGCCACGGTGTTTGATAATTGTGCCCCGGTCATGTCACTACAATCAATTTTTTTAAATATTCCTATTATTACATTTGTTTATCTGGGAAAACCTCACTGAGTCTCAAGACTTTTTCAGGAGGGTCCTGCCAGGTTTTCTTTCTTTCAGTTGGTGGTGGGGGGGGAGGGCATCGATTGCTTGCTGTATAATCCCAATTGAGTAATTTGTTGAGACGAGTGGTGCACAAGAGATCGATGGCTCCCACAACGGGGCTTCGGAACCTTGGGTCGTGCGGTGATTGCTGAACGACGATGGGACTCAAAGTAGCCAACGGCTTCTTCCCCTTGTACCGGGGAAAGAGCAGCTTGCACCTGGTGCATTGATTGGTGCATTGATTGGTGCATTACTCTGTCGCATTGCTTGGTGCAATGCTTTGGCCACCAACCACCACCGCAGCCATGAGAGGTGGCATCAAAGGCATTGGCCATGGTGACACCTTCATCTTGCCGTCTGTAAACAAACATTGCCAAGCTACAGCGTGTGCACAATTCTTAGGCAGTGATGCCGAGCTTCAGTGGCTTCCGGTTGCTGAACGAATCCATTATTAGGTGGCACTCATTACAAAGTGCTCGCCGCAAATGAACCACAATACCTTGCTGATCTCGTCAAGGAGAATAAACCATCACACAAACGCCGGTTGTGCTTGCAGCAGCGGCTTTTTGGTTGGCCATCGGACAAAGACGGTCATCGCAACGCGCACATTCAGATGCGCTTCTGCGGCCGTCTGGAACGCTCTTCCTTCCGAGATTAGGAAGTCACTGGAGCTATGCACTTTTAAATCGTTGAGACTGAAAACTCATTTCTTTAGAATAGATTTGTATGCTTAGTTTGTTGCCCTTCCCCCGCAGCTACGATTAACATTGTTGGCTACGTACGGTGCGAAAGAAGTTCAACATACAGTACACACAAACTGACACCATCAGTGATGGCAGCTTGAGGGGGGGGGGGACGGGAGGGGGTTCGGGAGCTTTTGATCTTCCCCCCCCAGCCCTCGCCACTTTTTCGGAATGTCACCAAGCGACTAACTTTGCCTGGGGCCCTCGAGAACGTAACTCCAAGTTGGCCACCCGGCCCAGCCCTCCCTCCTTCCCTCCCAGCCCTCCCTCCCTCCCTCCTAGCCCTCCCTCCCTCCCAGCCATCCCTCCCTCCCAGCCCTCCCTCCCATCCCTCCCTCCCTCCCTCCCTCCCACGCTCTGGCCCTCCCCAGCCGCGCTCGCGGCGCACAAGAAATTCGCCACCCCCGCCGGGAGAGGTGGCTAATAGTAATGTGCTAAGCGTGTTGAACTTCTTTCGCGCCGTACGTAGCCAACCGCGCGAATCAAGAGGTGCCTGGGGGGGAATTGACAACAAACCAACACGCAAAAAAAGCAGCGATAAAGAAATGAGTTTTCAATTCAGACCGCAAAAAGGTGCGTAGCTCCAGTAGCTGGCTTCCTAATATCGCGGGGAAGAGTGTTCCAGACGGCCGCAGAAGCGCGTGTGAATGCGCGCGTTGCGGTGACCGCCGTTTTTGTGCGATGAGTGGCCAAAGGCAGGAGTTCGCACGGAGGTCTACGCTCCCTTGACGAGATCGGCGAGGTTACTGCGGTTCGTGTCTTCGCAAGCACTTTGTGTGTGATGAGTGCGAACCATTGGAACCACGGATGAACCACGGCCTCGCGTTTCACGCAAGCTGCGGTGGAACGAGCGTTCGCGTGATTCTCGGTGCTCGAACATGACTTTGATTCCCGTTTGATTCTCACGGCGAAAATCGGTGGCGAGGGATATTTGAAACGGTCTTGGTACCATCCCCACCCCCCAAACTGACCCCGACAACCGAGGCGATGTGGGGCAGGCCTTCATCCAGCAGTGGATTGACAAAGGAATGAGAGAATCACTATTATTAATTACCTGTACAGTGTAGTGAATGTATAATTGATGATGACGGCTGTGTTACGTTGCTGCAGGTGTGACCGCTGCTGTCCGAAGCCGATCATTTATATTTCACGAGCTGACAAGAGATAGCTTGGAGAGAGATATATACACAGAAAATACACGGGAGATTGAGAGACGGATAAGAAAAAGACAAAGAGACAGAGCGGCACAGAGGGAAACACAAAGCGCACGGGTTCGTAGCGGTGGCGTTGCCACGGCGCTTGTGCCAGGCTAGGTGCACCACAGATCCTTGAAAGAGATACACACAGAGACAGAGAGACACCAAAGGCGGCACAGAGATGGACACAGAGAGCGTTCCGCATGTTCAAGGCAATTCAAACTTTATGTCAAACACACGGCACAATGCACTGGACAATGTAAACAGGGACGGAGGGGGTAGTTTTTGCTCGGAACACAGGGGAGTCAAATGCACTTGGGAGCGTGTACCCCACGCTGCATGCTGCAAAGCAACAACATGATAATTCGTTTTTTACCCTTTTATCTGGCAACTAAACTGACACCTTTTTTACAAGGAGTCATGTTTGCATAGACCACAATACCTGCAGTCATAATGCAAACAAAAACATAACTCTGATAATGTATGCACAGTCCTTGAAGTTGATTGGTCCACACCTGAGACAGCTTTCCTTAGAGCCTAGTCTCACATGGTGTTCGACCAGATGACGCCAAAAGGCGCACAACTCAAAGACAATGTACAATCAGAGTATGAGAGCTCGGGATAAGCATTTACACCATTGGAACCTCCTTTGCCAGTGAAAAATATGATCATTGGTTTTTTTACCCTTTTATCTGGCAACAAAACTGACACCTTTTTTTACAAGGAGTCATGTTTGCATAGACCACAATACCTGCAGTCATAATGCAAACAAAAACATAACTCTAATAATGTAAGCACTGTCCTTAAAGTTGATTGGTCCACACCCAAATGCATACATTATCAGAGTTATGTTTTTTGTTTGCATTATGACTGCAGGTAATGTGGTTTATGCAAACATGACTCATTGTAAAAAAAGGTGTCAGTTTTGTTGCCAGATAAAAGGGTAAAAAACCAATTATCATATTTTTTACTGGCAAAGGAGGTTCCAATGGTGTAAAAGCAAGAACACTCAAGAACAGCCTGTGAAGCGGTGAGCTCATTGCTCGTACTCAGCAGTCCCTCCAGAAAAACGCGATTATGCGATCGCAAGATTCCACGCAAAATCAGCCAAAGTCCGCATATTTATGCGGGGGGCGCGTTTTTTCAAATACGCCGCACTTTCGCCGCATAAATTGCAGATTTCCGCGCGCAAAATATGCGGGCTTGCATGATTTCATAATCCCCGCATTTTCGTTGCAAAAAGTCATATACATGTTAGCAGAAAGTTGAAAAATGTTGCGTTTACTTCACACAAGCGCAGCCATTTCCTCTGTTGCCATGGGAACGTTATGAAGTGTTAGAGGCTACGTAGTTAGTTTTATTCAGGAGTTTATGCAACTTTACAATTGAAAGATTGCACTTTTTTGTTAGTAGTATGTAAATTTACATTACTGTAAGACTGTACTGTTACTGTATTGCTTACGTTACTGTGCACTGAAAACACTTATTTTAACAGAAGATGTCTGTTTTGTATAGCTACCTCTGTAAAACAGGAAGCACACATTTTATTTTTTAATATTTTATTTATTCATTTTTACAGAAGTTGTAGCATATTCATTTTGTAAAGCTACAGAACTTGTTCGACTCAATGTTCTGTAAGTTTGAGCCATCTGTTTGTTAAGGTCTGAAATAAAACAAGATGAGAACTTAAATATTCCCAGCACTTTCTGTGATGTAGTATGCTTGCTTATCATAGGAAGTAATAAGAAATGACTCTTTACATTAAAGTAGTAGCCTAGTGAATAGGGTGTTTGGGGGAATCACTTTTTTCTTTTTCATCAAACCGCAGTTTTTGCAAGTTCCCGCAATTTAATCGCATAAAATTGCATAAATATCCCGCATATTCCATCGCATTTTTTAAGAAAACGTGCCGCATAATCAACGATTTTTGCCCGCAACAATCACCAAAAAACTCCGCGTTTTTCTGGAGGGACTGACTCAGGGCCGGATTAAGGCACGGAGCTTTAGTGGCTGCAGCCCAGGGGCCTCCGCCAGGTGGAGGGCCTTCAGAGATGAAGTGAAAAGTTATTTAATTTGTGAATGCTGAATTGTATTTGTAGTTAGCCTTGTTAAAATACATTAAAAAATTTTCTTGGTTCTTTCGGTAAAGTCACGTAGAAGGGAAATAATAAAATAACAAAAATAAAACATATATTATTTTATTATGTTATATTTTTTTATTCTTTTATTATTTCCCTTCTACGTGACTTTACCGAAAAAACCAAGAAGATGAATCCCTGCAGTCAAGAAAGCTTTAAATCAAAATTAAAACTTTGTTTTTCTTTGGAAAATATTACTGGAGGGGCCTCACAGTGCCTGTAGCCCAGGGGCCTATAACATCTTAATCCGGTCCTGCTCCTAACTACCGGGGTTTAATTTCAGGCGGATCTGTTGTGGTCAGCAACCCGGACATTATTTTCTCACCCAGCACGCAACACGCAGCATATCCTCTCGCTATGGCTGTGGCGATTAGTCGCATGCCTACTCCAGTCTGCCAGCAATCCATAGAACATTCAGTGAGAAATTAACCCCTGCCTGGGGCACAAAAATACAGGACACGAGTGACGTTTTCAGTCATGTGACGAATCTGGTCCGAACAGCTTATGAGCAGACAGTCAAAAGCCATTTGCTGTACACCAAATGAGGCCGACATTTCAAACCCATGATTTTATTTTGACTGTGTAGGCTATCACAATCGATTGATTGATCGTTGTCAACCGACTGCTGCATGAAGGCCTACCCTAAGCCATATCGGTCATGGGGGTTGTTTGACCATACTTCACCTTTCATGTCACTGGCTTATATGTTGCTTCGTTGTGTAAGGCAATTCTAATGCGCATGGCTGCGCTGTTACCATATTGCGGTGGAGTGGGGGGGCGGGGTTGATGTATTCTGCAAAAAAACTTCATAATTCATCTGCACAGCGATTATTCAAATATTGTTGCTGCTGTTGACGTTGTTGCCGTTAATTTGCACAAGCTGAGAGACAGCGACACGGGAACAAATCATCTCACTGCCACGTGACCTCGTGCATGCCATGGATCATTAAAACTGACTTCACTTGAGAAGCTCTGTGCTACCTAGAGTCGCCTAATCGTTGACTGGGCCTTGCGGTGTTCCTCCCCCGGCAGGGACAGCGCGGGACCCGAGGGATCTTCGTCTTTCTCCCGCGTGGAGATCACCGAGACGGAGACACGGCGAGGCGGCCGGTGATTTGCGCATTGCACCTCGCGCGCTCGGACTCTCGCTCGCTCGCTCGCTCGCTCGCTCCAGCAGTTGTTTGGAATGGGTGTAAAATGCTGCATGGACAGCCCCTTTGGAATGTTAGCTGTGTGTGTGTGTGTACAAGTACATTTGTGATCGGATTACGTGTTAATGTTGTGCTGAAAGGCACCTGTATTCTGATTACATGTTAATGGTGTGTAGAAATCCATTTGCAGTCAGATTACATGTTACTGTTGTGCTGAAAGGCACATGTACTCTGATTACATGTTAATGGTGTGTGCGAATAAATGCGTAGTCTAATTACATGTTACTGTTGTGCTGAAAGGCACATGTACTCTGATTACATGTTAATGGTGTGAAGAAATCCATTTGCATTCTGATTATATGTTAAGACCGCATAGATAGCCTTTTTTAAAATTGCTAACGTGGGAATAAATTTAGCTCCTTGTAATGTGATCACAGGCATATGTGGTTAATTTATACACTATCATTGAAGGTCGATATAGATGGGCCTTTGCAGTATTATAGCTACGTAGTTTCCCCGCTTTCTGGGAAATACAGCGAGGGCTCAGAGAACGCAGACCGACCGACAGACCCCGATTCATCATGGTACTTGGTGTAACTCGGACTATCGTTACCGCGCAACGGGGCGGCAAGCGAGGGAGTCAAATGAGCCCCCAGCCCGTCCGCCCGCCTGCCATCACGCGAACGATGGATTTGACGGCGTTGTAACTCTATCGCCCGTGCAAGGAACGAGTTAAAAAATAAACGATCATGTTCTAATATAGTGTTCATAATAATAATGTAGTGGTCATAATATAGTTTTTTATAATGTAGTGACTCCTCGTAAAAAAGGCGTCAGTTTTGTTGCCAGATAAAAGGGTAAAAAAACAATTATCATATTTTTTACTGGCAAATGAGGTACCAATGGTGTAAATGGCGTTTTGTTCACGTCACAAATTCCTTTCTAATTGGCTGTGGTGGAGGGTTACGACACATTTAGACTTACGCGATCTAAGCCAAAAATCTTTATTATAAATAGTATAGAATGTTGTTGTTTGTTTGTGCTTGTGCACCACTACCAGAGCAGCAGCATCACCAAACAACGTGTTTACAAGATATGAAAAAAAATCGTTTCAAGTCTAACAATGTAACGGAATTACATTGTTAGAATCTAACTCTAAGTAATCCGATTACATGTACGGCCAGCCTAACCCTACGCGCGTGTGCTCTTTACCTGGTAAAATATTTTGGTGATTTGCTTACCTTTCTATTATTTGCACTCCTATGTTGATTTTCTATGAATTGTTATGGTAACTTTATGACCCGCCCCTCCTGGTCATGTGTGCAAAACAAAGAGCTTTACAGCTCATCGAATTTCACCTCCAATTTCTAGATTCTGATTCTAATGATTCTGTGTGTGTGTGTGTTACATTCAGCAGTGAGCCGTCTGGACCCCCGCCACCTGTCCCTCGCAGCCGCTACTCCGGCAGGTGTGAACCGGGGTTCCCCAGGGTTCAGGGGTCAGGGGTCAGAGGCGTAGCTATCCAGTGGCGCGGGCGGTGACACTGTAAACGGGGCCCGGGTTGCGAACAGAGCCATGGAAGAGCGACTATGGGAGATTCAATACTGAGAGCTTTAGCTGGTTCCATTGCTGTCAGAGTCGCTGAATTGCAGATGGATATTTGAGGCAGTGCAAAGTGCGTCCGATTTACACCCGACGGATAGGGCCGACGTTGCATAGAGGGGAGAGGCCAAATATTCACTCCTTGCACCAGGAGCCACGTCACGCGGTTGGAGTGAGGGCTGGGAGTGGCTGGGTGGGTGATCACGCCGATCCACAGTTGTGTTCGGGTTGGGCCGCGTGGTGGTAGTTTTACGTCAAATTGCTTGTCATTAACCCCACCGCAAGCCGACAAGATTGCCACGTTGACGGCAAATAAAGCTCCGCCCCAGTGGCTTAAGTATTTTCAGAACTGACGATATTGCTGCTGCTGTTGCTGCCGATGATTCTAATGACTGATTGTTTTGTCGTTGGGATGTTTGTCTTTTAGCGGAGGACAGAGCGGAGGGCAGAGCGGAGGTCAGAGCGGAGGTCAGAGCGATGTCAGCAATTCAAAGGATACGTCTGTCACCCGCACTCGCTTCAGCAGGTACACACAACTCACGTGTACGTGTGTGTGTGTGTATGCAGGTCACCAATTTGTATACATACAACTCCTCTACATGTACACGCATCGCCTATACGTACGCACAACCCACTTGTACACGGCTCACCTGTGTGTGTGTGTAAATGGGCCACCTGTATAATACACGTGACATACAACACTTGGGGAATGCTAAAACATAATCCATCAGACCTCTGTCTTTCCACGTTAAAAAAATATAGAGCCTCATCATATTCCGTACCAAAAATCATCCATTTGCTTTTTTTGTTTATGCAGCTGAACTCTGGACCAGCTTTGACACGTTTTAGTTCGCGTCAGCAGCGTAAGGCTTTGTTCAACACAAATACTGCTGCGTTATCAGACTCCATTGGCAATAGCACTCCCCGAAAGCTTGGAGGGTTTTTTTTTTGTCGAACCCTCTTATCACTTTGCATTTTTTATATTTACCCCGGGCGTCGTGCACACACACACGCACACACACGCATGCACACACACACATGCACACACACACACGCACACACACACACGCACACACACGCACACACGTAAACACACACACACGGACTTTGTGATTCACACACAGCTGGGTGCGGCGTTGCTGATGTGGTTGGCGCACGTTCCGTGGTCGGGGCGGGTCTCTCCTATTTTCTTTCAAGTTTTCACGCGAGGAGACCGTCTTGTTCTCACGGTGACCTCCTCTTCCGTCCACTGCACCTCCGCGAACAAGAGCTTCATAGCTCATAGGATTCCTCCGGTATAAATACGTATTCTAGTTATGTTTTTGTGAGTCTCCAAGTATTCTCTATTCTTTTCTCTTTCACCTCATCCTCATCGCCGTCCCCACTCTTATCATCTCTCTGTCCGCCTTTTTCTCACCATCTCATATTTCATCCCCTCTCTCATCCCCTGTGTATCATTGCCGTCCTCCCTCTCTCTTCATATATCTGGCCTCTCTTTCTCTCTCTGTCTTCCCTTTCTCCTCGATCTGTTCCCGCTTCTCTCACTCGACCTCACTTTCATTGTGCAATAATCTCCTCTGCTCCCCGCCCCTCCTTGTCCCAAATGCAGAGCACGGTTGGCTACGTACGGTGCGAAAGAAGCTCAACGTACAGAATGCACACAACGCCCGACTAAGTCTCTCTCTCCCCGTCTCTATCCTCCCACTCTCTAAATCTCTCTGTGCACTCTTCCCAGGCCCGTATCGTCGTCGTCGTCGTCGTCGATGAATGAGCAGATCAACGTGACGGAGAGGTGAGAGACCTTTGCACGAGGTTGTGATGCGTGCATCCCCGGGGTACGAATCCATTTTCTATAGGTAGGTGCAGAAGCCTCAATCAAAGTAAAGACAACAACATCCATAGCCAACTGCAAACCCTCGCGTCTTGCTCCGGCCACCGCCCCCCCCTGTGCCGATGGCGAGAGAAAGCGTCGGTGACCTGACTGGGGTTCGGCATCGGTTGCCTTCGGCTACGACGGCCAACATTTGGTCACCTCGAGGAGGTCACTCTGTGTTCAGTGAAACACGCCAGCCCCCCTGCCCCTCGCCACCCGCACACAATTCCATCGCAATGAGCTCAACAGACGAAAGGCTCCGATCCTTCTCGTCCTGCCCTCTGCTACCGCCCTCACAGTAGCAGTGACTCCTCTGTGAGCAGCAGTAGCAGCAGCTGCCGGCACCGCGTTCGACTGGTTAGGCGAGTTCCATTTAAAACTCCCGTACCCTGAGGGTTGGGTGGATGTCAGGAGTGAGGGGAGGGTTATGGGGTGGGAGGGAGGTGTTGTGGGGGCGGGGGGTGTAGGGGGAAGGGTGGTAGGGGGAGGGAGCGAGGGTGGGGGTGTGTGGAGAGGGAGGTGGAGGGTGTGGACTTGCTCTCCAACACACCGGTGTTGCTGTACTAGCAACGAATTGGCCACGTTCTGTTTACGTGACAACCCTTACTGATTGTCTCTGTCGGGTGGTGGTGGATTTAACGACACATTTGTATATTTACGCGATCTAACCCAAAACGCCTCTATTATGGACGGTCGCGCAAGCCTCCTACGCGTCAAAGCGAGGTTCGGGGTGTGGGAGCCTCCGGGAGTGCGGGGTGTGGGAGCCGACTCCCACGCCCTGCACCCCCCGGAGTGCGGGTCCCAACCCAGATGAGCAACGGCTTCTGTGGCGCCGCGAACCTCCGCGTGTCACTGCCCCCCGTCTCGAGTCTCTCGGCATTGCGCGCCACCGCCTTTGCGATCTTCCCGACGTGGAACGGCATCAAAGCGCTCTTCTGTCGGAGGAGGGGGGGGGGGGATACGCGCTCTCCCCCTTCGTCACTTTTTGCGACGGCATTCGCCTTATTTTAAAACAACGGTGCCATCGTTTCTCACATCACCGGCACATCTGTCCAGCCCGGAGTATGTGTGCGCACACTTGGGGACACCGTAGCGAGTCAACCGGCAGGTCGCGTAGGAACGGGGCAAAGCGTGGATGCTTCCCACCTCTTCCAAGAGTCGGCCCAATTCTCAAGAGCCCCCATCTGGTGGAGTCTCCTTCCGCCGGCGGTGCCGTGAGCGAGACATTGCAGGGCACAGCGGACGCTGGAGTCGGTGGCCAGCACCTGCCCGCCTTTGCCTCCCGAATTACGATGTTTTCACGCATCGCACGAGGTTACTCATTTGAGGCTGAGTCGACCGAGGTGGGGGGGGAGGGATGGCGGGGACCCAGGACCTGTTCAGATAATTATCGCTGGCGTTGGCCATGAGCGGGAATCGTCATCTCCGATGAGCACGCTTGGCCACGTAGGGCGCGTGCAAGGAAGTTCAACATGCACACGAACTCGGTCCGCCACTGCGCCGCCGCTCCCCGCGAATTCGCAGCGCGTTTTGGGAACTGACCCGACGACGACGGTGCCCTCCACGGCGACGCAGCGCGCACCACACCCAAACGGGCTGCCGATATCCGAGGCTCACGAACACCTCGTCCGTCCAGTCAGACGAGTCGAGGCGCGACGCTTCGTGCGTGCGGTCCGTCCTCACGCCCAGGAAGGGGGTGGGGAGAGGAGAATTAATGCGTCAAAATAAGACGCCGGCCCTCGAAGGAGACAACGCGTAATGGTAATAATATCCGTGCCGCTGCTGTTTCGGGCTTAAGTGAGCCGGGGCTCAGTGGAACGAATATGCACATTGTGTGTCGTATGAATATGAACGCGCGTGCATTGTGTTTTGGGACGGTGCTCACAATGGGTACTTGAGAACGACGAAACAGGTATCATCGTGGAAATTGCTCAGCCGCTGTGAATTGTTTACTTTGAAAACAAGTCTTCGAATTCACTGGGCCTTGAGACTCTGAAGCTAAAAGATTCATCCTGTCAGTCCTAAGAGCTAACAGAGGTTCAAGACCAGTTGTCAGGATGGTTATGTTTGAGGAAATTCTGTTTTAAAGGGGTGTTTTAGTCTTCTTGGTTCTTTCGGTAAAGTCACGTAGAAGGGAAGTAATAAAATAATAAAAATAAAACATAATAATAAAATAATTCTCACGACGTTTCGGCTACAACGCAAGTAGCCGTCTTCAGGTGAAGAATGAGACACCTGAAGACGGCTGCTTGCATTGTAGACGGCTGCTTGCGTTGTAGCCGAAACGTCGTGAGAATTATTTTATTTGATTATTGTTTTATTTTTATTATTATTTATTATTTTTATTATTATTTTATTACTTCCCTTCTACAGTGACTTTACCGAAAGAACCAAGAAGATGAATCCCTGCAGTCACGAAAGCCTTAAAAAGGGTGTTTTAGTGTTGGGTGGACACTAAAGTACAGTACTTGTACTGCAATGTCATCTTCTAGATTTAGTCTGTGTAGGGTGAGACTAAGGGGAATAACTAGAGTCGGATTGAGTGGGATTGCGACTCAAAATAAAGTTGGATTGAGACTCAGACTAGAGTGCAATTGACACTAGAGTAGGCTTGAGATTCAGAATAGAGTGAAATTTAGACGCGAGTGAGATTCGACTCAGATTAGGGTTCATTTCCCAGCACTGTACAGCCGAGTGCCAGAGTTGGTCCACATTGTTCCAGACACAGACAAGCCCCCTCTCTCCTGGAGGGGGTGCGGATAACGAGTTAGGCATTTAGTTCTCAGAATCGTGACGGGTACACGTTTCGCAATGTTCCCATCTCACTTCACCGCGGCCGTTCACGGGGCGAAAGTCTGGCCCAGACTCGGTCACTTATCGCCCTCCTCTGGCTAAACTTCACAATCGCGCTCTCAACTGCAAGCCGTGCAAATCTATCCCCGAGTCACTCCAACTCCAGTCCGTGGGGAACGAGCCACATGTCCGTTCGCCTTCCAGCATTTACCAGTCTTCTCTGTTCAAATTTAAGTTGCGTGTGTGTGTGTGTTTTTTTTAACGTCTCTCACCCTTAACTGATATCTGTAATAACTAATGACTCGCTTGGAAAGAGAGGTCATTTAGTCTCGGTGGGTGACTGCTGGTAATTTACAACGCTTTGACAATCCACTGCTGGATGACGGTGACCTCATGTAGTGTCGGACCTGGGGGTCGTTTGACCACGAACCGTTCGACTGTGCTGATCGGTGTGGCTTCGGTGGCGGGGTGGAGGGCAGGTCAATTGGATAGGCCAATGGGGGTCTCTGTATTAAATATATCATAGGTTCTCTGTATTGAACAGGTGCAAGGAATCTGTATTGGATAAGTTAATGGTTCTCTATTGTACAGGTACAAGGGTATCATATTGGAAAGGCCAATGGTTTTTGTATTGGATAAATTAAGGGTTCTGTTCCCGGATGGGCGAGGAGTTCTGTATTGGGTGGCTCAAGGCTCGTCTGACGAGTCGAAGATTCTTCGTCGTTTCCAGCAGAATCTCCGATGACGCGTGCACCAAAAACTGCCTCCGACCAACACAAATCGAAGGCACCGGGATTGATATATATTTATTTATTCTAAACGAGTCGCCGATGACGAACCGTCAAACCGTCCACGTCCCTCAGCAGGGCCACGCTGCCGTGGGACATCGCTCGCTGACGACGCGCGTTTTTCTTCTTCTTCTCGCTCGCCAGGAAAGAGGTGTACGGCACCAAGTCTGAGCTCGAGGATACCGTGACCACCGACAGCAACAAGGAGAACCTCTGGTAAGGCCGTCCCTGATCATCACCGAAGTGTTACCTTCCTCACCTGCTATGCAGGAGGTCGTGGGTTCTATCCCGACCCCGACGATGCCCGTCGTGTATTTGGAGTCCGTGTGATCTTTCTCGCTCTCCCCGTCGTGGTCGCATCGATCTTTCTCCAGTTCCTCCAGGTTTGCTCTCCACATTTAGAACCGTGCATTTATAATATTTGGCTGTTGCTATACATGCCTAGATGTGACTGATTACATCAGTCACTTCAGTGACCTATCATGTGTGGCCAGGTCACCTCTGAAAAAAGAGCTAATCGCTCAGTGAGCTTTACCTGGTAAAATAAAGTAGTTTTCGTTTTTTTAAATCATAATAATTAACCAGTACATTTGCTATTTGTGCCATTTCTCTTATCACAATGGTTATCATGAAGGTGCTATGTTTCACACACAGGTATAGTCTACTAGTAGGGGCAATGTTTCTATATCGTCTTCACCCAATTAACTATATTTGCAATTATTATTTTTTCTTTTGGACTGTGACGCCAGCACACATGCCCGACTCATTATCGGATAAAGTCAGTGGATTTTTTATGTTCGCTGTGAGCCGCATGGCCCATACTATTTTTTGTTAATGCTTCAACAGTATTAACTTGGGCGGCTGCTGGGCTTGAACCAGTGAGTGAATGAATGAACGTGTGAATGAATTAGTTGATCATTTGTGAAATGACGAAGGAATGAGTGTGTGACTGAATTAATGAATGCGTGAATCAATAAAAGAGTGAATGAGTGCATCGATGAATGAGTGCATCGATGAATGAGTGAATCGATGAATGAGTGAATCGATGAATGAGTGGATCATTCACCGCTGTGCCCTGCATCTCGTCCTGACAGGGAGAATGCGTGGCGCCGGTGCTCGCGATGCAACCACGCGCTGGGCAAGAGAGCCAACTCCTACATCCTGGACTACCTGGGCCTCTACTACCACGAGGCCTGCTTCAAGGTATCTCCACCTAGCCTGGCACGGCCACGCCAGACGGGCCAGGGGTGTCACAGCCTCCAGGGAACGCACATCAACCCTTCGTCTCCCTCACCACCTCCTCACCAGGCCCTCGCCTGCACCGAGTTGGCCCCAATAGGGGCTCGCTAACAGCAGTTGCCCCATCTCTCATTTAATGGCAACACGAGGGATCGTCGCTTGGCAGACTATGCCCGTGTGTGAACGATAGCACCCTCATGATAGCCATTGTGCTAAGAGAATCAGGCGAATGTCATGTGTAGCGATTATTACGATGATCACGGACGGACGGCACTACCGGAGGTTCTTCTTGTTGCTGTTGGTCGACACGGTCTCCTCCAGCTCAGACTTGGTGCTGTAGACCTCTTTCCTGGTGAACGAGAGGGAACACACGTCGTCAGCTAACGACGCTCCACAGCAGCGTGGCCCAGCTGATGGACGGGGAAAATTAGACGGCTATGGGCGCCACAGTGGCGAGATGTTAACTCCCTCGCCTGGTGTACAGGAGGTCATAATTTCGATATCGACCCTGACGATGCCTGTATATTTGGAGCTTGCATGTCCTCCCCGTGGGCATGTGGATTTTTTTCCAGGTCCTCCGGTTTTTCCCTCCACATTTAGAATCAACATGCGTTTGGAGTATTTGGCTGCTATAAATTTCCCCATAAGACACTTTGTTGTACTGTTTGTGGCCGGGTCACTTCTGAAATATAGCTCTATATACTCTAAGGTTATTTCGGTAAAGTCATGTAGGTTAAAATAAAATCTGATATTTTTATTTTTACCTACGTGACTTTACCGAAAGAACCTCAGAGTATGAATCCTTGCAGTGACGAAAGCTTCAAATCTAGAATTATAGCTATATAGCTCAGTGGGCCTCACTTAATAAAATAAAAAATAGTTTCGTTTTAGTTTGTTGTCCTTCCCCCGCATCTCCGATCAGCATGGCTGGCTACGTATGGTCTGAAAGAAGTTGAACATGCATACATACGAGTCATCCGGTGACTCAGCAGTTCATGGCGAACGCATCATCTCAATATCTGCTGGAAATGACGAAGGATACGCGGCGTGCGTGTGTGCAGTGTGACGGCTGTGACGCGGACCTGGGTCACATGGGCGGCGGGGGCACGCTGCACATCGTGGCCAAGCACGTCAACTGCGACGCGTGCTACCAGAAGAGCCTGCGCTCCGGCTCAGGTGCGGCAACACCACGGGGACTTGCGCTGTGCCGCCACCATCTGGATTTAGCCTATGAGTAGGGCGACACTTAAGTGGGGATTGAGACTCAATCTTAGAGTGGGAATGAGTGGGATTGAGACACAGAATAACGTTGGAACGAGACTCGGAATGGAGTGGAATGAGACTAGAGTGGAATTTAGACTCAGGCGGGAGTGGAAATGTAGACGAGAGTGGAATTGGGGTTGCCACGGTAGGAAGATGTTAACTACCTCGCCTGGTATGTAGAAGGTCGTGGGTTCGATCCCTATCCTGGCACCTGCTATATATTTGGAGTTTGCATGTCTCTCTCCCCGTGGTTGCGTGGATTTTTCTCTGGGTTCTCCAGTTTTATCCTTCCATATTTAGACACAATATGCATTTAGAGTATTTGGCTGCTATAAATGTTCACATGATGATAAGCCACTTTGTTGAGCTATCATTTGTGGCCAGGTCGCTTTTTAAAACGAATTCAAAGCTCCGTGCGCTTTACCTGGCAAAATAAAAAACAGATTTTAGTTTGTTGGGAGTGTCAAGCCAGCACCGCCGAGATGCTGGGCTTGAAATATGGGTTTCATCCGCCCCGTGATTAAACCGGGTTCTCTCAGTAATATTGTTATCTGTGAATGGGATAACTATGATCTTCATATAATGGGGTCTTGTGAAGAAAGCGGTTGTTACCGGTGCAACCCACCCCTGACTGAACCCGGTACTCCGAGGGCACATTTAAATAGGCTAACGTTTAAGGCAATGAGCCTTTTTGAGAGAGGCGTGCGGAAAATGAGTAATGACCGCTGTGTGTCCTGTGTCTCCTTTCAGGGCGCTAGTGGCCTCAAGGGTGGTGGCGGCTGGGGTGTGGAAGTGTAGAACGAACTTGACTGGAAACACCCCCCCCCACATCCTCCCCCCTCCCACCTACTCCACAAAAACAGAGATGAAGCAACTTCAATCCCAAACCACAGCACACGCAGCTACCCAGACAAGCTGAACACCAACGCACCACACACACAGCAGCAGCAGCAGCAAAGCAGAGCCTCACAACAACCGCTATAGCCACGTCCAGGCTTTAATTTCTCACTCATTATTGTCCAGGTCGTCGATAGACCGGAGTGGGTGGTACGTGACTAGTAAGTAGCAAGTAATAATAATAATGAGCACGTATGGTACCTGTGCCATTCTCATACCACAAGCCTATCTCGAAGGCGCTGTGCTTGACAGACGAATATGGTCTGTCGCTTGAAGGCAATATCGCCTTGTGGTTTTTACCCAATTTAGGTAATTTGCGAATGCTTTTTCAAATTTGGCAAATTTGGGAACGCATGGCCTGCTCTTTTCGAATAACGCCACAGGTTTCATAAGGGCCCACTGTGAAACAGATGGCTCGTAGTTTTGGTTAATACGCTCGCAGTATTAACCAGGGCGGCTGGCAGGCTCTTTTATACTGGATGTGTTGCGCCGGATGCAAGCAATGTTCTCCTGGTCACCGACCCGGCTGCGACAATGAAGCCCTTGTCTACGTTACACAAGTCAACACAGGCCCGCAGCATGAAAAGTATTCACACCGCTCTGCATTATGGGAATAATATAATATGTTTTCCTTTTTATTTTTTGTAACAAACGAATCTATTTCCCCATTAATGAGCTAAGTTTTAACGACTGGGGTTGTTTTTCGTGTCGGTATGGTTGTGGGTAACGACGGAATATTTGTTTTAATGCTTTTTAAGGATTGAACAGGTCTTGGTGTTGACATGGGACAAATGGCAGCACTTAATTGCATTCTTAATTACGTTAGTTAGCACGTTGCCTCAGCGCGGAACACAATTTACTCTTAAATAAAGACACTACCAGCCAGCTGTCTGCTGCGTAGGTTTTCGCACCCGTGCCGTACGGCCCTCTGACGTGTTTTTTTCTGGGCTGTGCCGCTCGGGCGTTCGGCACGACGATGCCCGACGTTTCCCTCCCGATGCTCGGAGCTTTTTCCAGCACGTGGAGAAAAACGGCGGAGATCGAAGGAGCACGTCGGAGAGCCAGGTTTCTGTGAATGCTTCTTTCAAAGCCCAAACAACAAGGTCACTTTCTGGGCCTCATCGGCAGGATTCGACCCGTTAAACAAACGCCTCTGGATCGCCTGCTGTTATAGACAATAGCCCTCTACCAACACTGTGGGGCCGTTAAGCACAGCCGGATGAGGGCCTCCCAACACCGGTTCTGCGGGGGTTTATTTGTCCGTACTTCACCGCGCAGATTTGGTGCCCCGCAACCTATAACAACCTGTTGTGCGTCATGGGCACCCATCAAAGGTTGCGGGTAATTAAATAACGAATATACATGGGAATATCGGTTTCACAAAAACCAAAACATTTACTTCGATAAGCGGAATCCAAAGCAGCACATGTTTAAAATAAATAAATATGACAGTGGACAGTGAATTGCCTCCGTGAAGGTGAACTATCATTTGCAATACTACACTCTCACCCTAAGCAGGATTTGAACTTGTCACTTTAAAGTAAGGGGCCAGCTGCCTACCACAAAAGCCACATTATCCAATGCAATGCTCTTGTGAATAAATAAGTCAAATAGACATTTTTACAAGCAGGGCTTTTGAAATATGTATATCAATGTCGGGAATATTTATCGTATTTGCACAGCATATTATACCGGGTTGTTTACGCGGTTTGTGAGAGTTGTCTTTCTTGCGTTGCGATCACACCTGACGAGTAAGCTGATGTCTTGCATACAATTCTTTTCAATCGCTTGTCCTAAAAGATGTGACGATAGTATCTGAAGCACCCGCATTCCTAAACACTGGCCTCACCATTGCCGTCAACCATTGTTTATCCACTACTGGATGAAGACCTATCCACACTGTGGTCATCCGTCAAATCTTAAAACGCCACAATCCAACTCACTCCTGCACGTGAGCTGATCTCATTGTTCCATCTCCGTGCTGGCCATCCTCTCGGGCACGTGATCCTGTTTTGTTTCTCTCTCAATCCATCAGCAGTTCCGTCGATTGACCGTCATCCATTCTGGCCACGATGTGTCCTGCCCAGAGCCATTTTGCTTTCCTTTAAAGTCAATGTCTCGAATGTTTGTTCTATGCTACATGTGTTTCTGTCCGTCTCTCTCAGTGTAGTTCAATTAATGCACTTTTTCATCCTTCTTTATGCACTTTTGAGGTTGTGTTCCATCTTATTTGTTCACGATTCCAATTCAGATATCATCGTGGGTAATTTGCACTGATTTAAGTCCATTCTTGTTCGGGTAAATTTGTACACTAATATTAATTATCAAGCTCGGCATTCCCAAATGACTCTCATGAAACTCCAGAGACCCATCAAGGATATCGCCCTGCGCCGCCCTGGCAGAGTGTGAGGTCACGCAAAAGTAAATGTATGGACAGCGAAGGTGAATGCAGATGACGTTTACCAGGGGTGATTGCTGCGTAAACCTATGGAAGGGAAATAGGTTGAACATGGGGTTTGGTTGGTCACGTTATACGTGGGATTAACAGATAATAGCTTTAACTAAAGGGTTACAAGCTACAGAACTTTTGGTAATTAGTAATTGCTCCGGCGTAGTATTGTTTGTTAGGATTTCAAGTCCTCTATTTGTACTGCAATTGCATGTTTTATGGTTTGAAAATAAACATTTAGCCACGGTTTGTGCGAGCTTGTGGCGCTGACTAATTGCAATCAACAAAACACGTATGTTGAAGAAATAAGGAAACGCCTGTGGGTCGCTGATGCTATTGTGAAAGGAAAATGGATCCAGTGGAAAGGGGGCTTCTTCATAGCCCATGCGACTTCTTCATAGCCCATGGAACTTCTTCATAGCCCATGGAACTTCTTCATAGCCCATGGACTTCTTCATAGCCCATGGGTCTTCTTCATAGCCCATGGGTCTTCTTCATAGCCCATGCGACTTCTTCATAGCCCATGGACTTCTTCATAGCCCATGGAACTTCTTCATAGCCCATGGCACTTCCTCATAGCCCATGGCACTTCTTTATAATGCGTGCTTTAAAGAAGGCCCATAGCAGTGCGATTGTCCCCATTTATCCCAAACTATGCACCGTATTGTAAACCAATACAGTCAACGCCCCTTCAACGGAGGAGGAGGAATAACAAAACTACACGAACTCTCTCCTCAAGCCCTCTCGCCGTGGCTGCAAGTACTCAAGATTGGCATTTGCTGACATCGCGCGCATAGCAAATAGAAAGCATGCTGCTGTGGTGGGGGGCGGGGGGGGGGCATGGAGATTCGTGGTCTCAAACAGTATCGATTTAAAACTTCAGAATTTTGATTGGCGTGCTCAAGAGGACCCTGCACAGAGCCCGCTGCTTGACTCTGGTCGCGATGCAATGCACTGGGAAAAAATACTTTTCAAAGAAAACGGATATTATTGTCATCACTAGAGCGAGTTGTTTGCCTGTTCACCACAAGTACCGTTGGTGGTTCCTTGATTCCTTGCAAAAGGTTTCTATTTGGTGTTTAAACATCTTAACACACCTTCTTAGTTATTTCGGTAAAGTCCTTAGGTGAGGACGGCTGCTTGTGTTGTGGCCGAAACGTCGTTAGAATTTTATTTTATTATGTTTTATTTTTATTTAATTATTTTATTTTATTATTTCCCTTCTACGTGACTTTACCGAAAGAACTAAGAAGATGAATCCCTGCAGTCACGAAAGCTTTACATCGAAATCTTAACACACCTCCTGTTTCATGGCCAGAAAAGGGGTAAAAAAAAAACTAATCTTATTTTTTTCACAATTCAATGCACCGTGTTGATTATTTTCCATTTGGCATTTGCGCGGCGTTGTGGCTGCAGGGAACCGGCGAAGAAGCGGTGATGTTGAACGTCTGTTGCATGCGCAGCGCCGTTGTCAATCGGCTGCTGGATTAATGAAGTCGTCCTTCCCACGCCCTGTCGGTTGCGAGAGCTGTTGAACCACGACGCTCAAGTGCGCTTCTCAGTGTTGGCTCGGTGAAGAAGATAGGACAGGAAAGATTCCAAATTGTTAGGTTTTGTCGGTAAAGTCACGTAGGTAAAAAACATTAAAAAGTAAAATAAAATAAAAATCACGACGTTTCGGAGGCAACACAAGCTTCCGTCTTCAGGTGGTACCGTCACAGCCACGACAGCTGTATCAAGTAAATGAGAGATTGCAGAAGCTACCACTCCGTTTATATAATGGTTGGAGAAGGTGGTGGGGCAAGGGCCGCATACTTTTATTAATATGGTAAGGTGAGGCTTAAGACTAATAATAGACTGCATAACAAAGGCTGAGCCTTTGTTATGGAGAGGTGCGGTTTGTGACTCAACCTGTAACAGGGAGACCACCACTAGACATGGTAAAACTGTGATGGTTGTCTGTCAAATCTATAAGGAAAGATTCCAGTTATGGATCATCGCTGTGATGTTCTCGCATTGGCTGGCAATCGAATTCAGGCCGCAGTGTTCGTAATACAGTGTGCTAAAACCACGGACCCCCCCCCACCTCCCACACAGTCAATCAATCAATCCATCGTTGTTGTATGTGCCAATATCGCCATCAATGTATGTATGTCGAACTTATTTCGCACCGTGCGTAGCCAACCGTGCTAATCGGAGGTGCGGGGAAGGACAACAAACTGCACTCAAAAAGCAGTTAAACAAATGATAGATTTGAAGTTTTCGTGACTGCAAGGATTCATACTCTGGTTTTTTCGGTAAAGTCACGTAGGTAAAAAAATAATAAAATAAAATAAATGAAAAAACAACTCAATTAAATCACGACGTTTCGGGCGCAACACAAGCCTTAAACAAAATCGGCATCGATGCACATTACAACGGAGCTGGAACGGTACAGGGGCATACAGCCAACGTACATGAAAGTAAAAATAAGGAGTCTCCAATGCAGTAGATTATTAACAGCCTGGCTTTCCAATACAAACCAATGACGCGCATCATCTTGTGTCAGCAAACCAGGCAGACAACTCCACTGTTACTCAACAGCTACGAATAGGTCACTATTTATATGCCAATTAGAACAGGAACAGTTCGTTAGGAAACATTTTTCGAATATTGAATTCCCATAATGTCCCATGATGTAAAGTGCGGTCTCCAATTCCTATCCACTCTATCTCTCTTGCCTCTCTATTCGTGTGCTGTGAAGAAGGACCATTGCCCGAAACGTCGCCCGTCATATGCTTCGAAGGCGACGGTGTTACTAACGAATGTGTTGATTGTTTTTCTTTGTTATTTGTGCAATGGTGGCGAGCGTGACTCAAGTATGAATGACAACTTTACTTTCCTATTTGAACCGGTGGTGTTGAGCGTGTCCAGGCTGTGATTGACAGGGAGTTTTATCCAATGAGAGTCGGCGTCGTTAGCTCTTTAATTAACGAGGCGTTCCGCGATTCAATACGGATGGTCGTGCTTAGCACGGCGTCCAGAAACAGCCCAATGTGCCTATGCGTGGTCTATTATTCTCTCTCGACAAATGGCTGAAAATAAGTATTTTTTTCCATTTAAAGGCAGTGTTCTTGAGGAATGTATTGAGTCTTCGTGCTTGTGAACCACTGCCAACACAGTAGCACCAAATAATTAGTTGAATTTGGTCGTAGGTATGGTTAAATATTTTAATATATCGCCTACTCTGTTGGGTCCATACAACCAAACAAAGGTGGGCGTGGTCACATATTTGATTGACACCCACCCTGCCCCAAGCAACACGATGGTGGGTGGGCGTGGCCACACGTTTGATTGACACCCACCCTGCCCCGTGCAACACGATGCTGGGTGGGCGTGGCCACACATTTGATTGACACCCACCCTGCCCCATGCAACCCGATGCTGGGCGGGCGTGGCCACACATTTGATTGACACCCACCCTGCCCCAAGCAACACGATGGTGGGTGGGCGTGGCCACACATTTGATTGACACCCACCCTGCCCCATGTAACACGATGCTGGGCGTGGCCACACATTTGATTGACACCCACCCTGCCCCAAGCAACGCGTTGATGGGCGTGGCCACACGTTTGATTGACACCCACCCTGCCCCATGCAACACGATGATGGGCGTGGCCACACGTTTGATTGACACCCACCCTGCCCCATGCAACACGATGGTGGGCGTGGCCACACGTTTGATTGACACCCACCCTGCCCCATGCAACACGATGGTGGGCGTGGCCACACGTTTGATTGACACCCACCCTGCCCCATGCAACACGACGATGGGTAGGCGTGGCCACACGTTTGATTGACACCCACCCTGCCCCATGCAACACGATGGTGGGTGGGCGTGGCCACACGTTTGATTGACACCCACCCTGCCCCGTGCAACACGATGATGATGGGCGTGGCCACACGTTTGATTGACACCCACCCTGCCCCATGCAACACGATGGTGGGTGGGCGTGGCCACACGTTTGATTGACACCCACCCTGCCCCATGCAACACGATGGTGGGTGGGCGTGGCCACACGTTTGATTGACACCCACCCTGCCCCCTGCAACCCGTGGGTAGGCGTGGCCACACGTTTGATTGACACCCACCCTGCCCCATGTAACACGATGTCGGGTGGGCGTGGCCACACGTTTGATTGACACCCACCCTGCCCCATGTAACACGATGTCGGGTAGGCGTGGCCACACATTTGATTGACACCCACCCTGCCCCCTGCAACCCGTGGGTAGGCGTGGCCACACGTTTGATTGACACCCACCCTGCCCCCTGCAACACGATGGTAGGCGTGGCCACACATTTGATTGACACCCACCCTGCCCCCTGCAACCCGTGGGTAGGCGTGGCCACACGTTTGATTGACACCCACCCTGCCCGTGCAACACGATGATGGGCGTGGCCACACGTTTGATTGACACCCACCCTGCCCCCTGCAACACGATGGTAGGCGTGGCCACACGTTTGATTGACACCCACCCTGCCCCGTGCAACACGGTGATGCTGGGCGGGGTTTACCGGCACGAGGAGGGAGCCGAGAAAAAGATGGCGTCCGTCCGCTAGGCGGTCTGGCAGCGGCGGCGGCGGCTGCGAGATGCCCTCTCCTCTCGCATCATTTGTGTCGTCTCGCTGCCGTCTCGCCGCCTGTTAAGAGCGACGGTGGGTCGCTTTGTCGGTAAGGAGGAGGAAGACGAGAAGGCGCTACGTTGGTTGAGGCGACAAGAATGTCAGCCCTGGACATGTTAGGCGAGCTCGGATACGTGGCCGCGGCTGGAGGAGGAGGAGGCGGCGGCGGTGGAGTTGGTGGTGGAGTTGGCGGTGGAGGCGCGGCCGCTGGTGGAGTCTTTGGTGGCGTCGGAGGTGCTGCTGGCTTTAGAGGAGGAGGAGGAGGCGGTGGAGTTGGTGTTGGTGGTGGCGGCGGAGTCGGTGGTGGTGGTTATGGAGGAATTGGCGGTGGTGGTTATGGAGGAGGAGGAGGTGTAACTGGTGGTGGTGGAACTGGCGGTGGTGGTGGCGGTGGCATCAGCGCCGAACTGGAGGTGAAGAAGCTACAGGAGCTGGTGCGCAAGCTGGAGCAGCAGAACGAGCAGCTGCGTAGTCGCTCGGGTCCCCTTCATGGACCGAAGGCGACCAAAGCTGCGCCCCAGGGCCCCCTCCGCGAGCTGCCGGGCACCCACCCCAGCCCGGGGAACGGCTGGGCACGGCAACCCGGGCTGGCCTGCGGGGTGAGCTTCCCTCATACAGATGACCCCACCGCAGCAGCAGCAGCAGCAGCTGGTCGTGGTGGCACTTGCTATTTAGCTCTCAGCCGTGACTAAAACTAGACGTTGTGGTGGTAATGTTCAGCGAAAGGTGCCTTCAAAGCTGTGAGGGTGGTTGTCGTGGCCTCAAATGATCGTGGCACTTGCTATTTTGCTCTCAGCGGTGACTAAAAACCAGACATTGTTGTTGTAATGTCCACCGAGAGGGGCCTTCAAAGCTGTGAGGGTGGTTGTCGTGGCCTCAAATGCTCGTGGCACTTATTATTTTGCTCTCAGCGGTGACTAAAACCAGACATTGTTTTTGTTGTTGTTGTGGTAATGTCAACCGAGAGGTGCCTTCAAAGCTGTGAGGGTGGTGGTTGTGGCCTCAAATTCTCGAGACACTTGCTACTTTGCTCTCAGCGGTGACTAAAACTAGACATTGTTGTTGTTGTAATGTCCAGCGAAAGGTGCCTTCAAAGCTGTGAGGGTGGTGGTTGTTGTGGCCTCAAATTCTCGATACACTTGCTACTTTGCTCTCAGCGTTGACTAAACCCAGACATTGTTGTTGTAATGTCCACCGAGAGGGGCCTTCAAAGCTGTGAGGGTGGTTGTTGTGGCCTCAAATGCTCGTGGCACTTGCTATTTTGCTCTCAGCGGTAACTAAAACCAGACATTGTTTTTGTTGTTGTGATGTCAACCGAGAGGGGCCTTCAAAGCTGTGAGGGTGGTTGTTGTGGCCTCAAATTCTCGAGACACTTGCTACTTTGCTCTCAGCGGTGACTAAAAACCACACGTTGTTGTTGTAATGTCCACCGAGAGATGCCTTCAAAGCTGTGAGGGTGGTGGTTGTGGCCTCAAATTGCTCGAGGCGGTTTGAGAGGGGACGCGGTGCCGTTATTTCGTAGTGGAGGCCAGCGTGCACCGTTACTTCTTCTATCGCCTTAAACTTTAAAACGCCTTCTCTCTCTCTCGTCTCTCCTGTCATGCGAGATTTTTTGTGTTTTCACCCGGGGTGTGGCAGCAACACACACACATCACACACCACGCCTGTGGTTAGCGACAGCTTCCCGGGGCATTCGTTAGTGGCTCGCGCAGAATTTGTAACACAAATAAAACACCCCAACCACGTTGTTTGGGCTGGGAGAGGGGCTATGATGTGATAGCACCGCAAGTGGTGGGGGGCTCATTAAGCCGTCTTGTGATCACCCGCGATGGCCGAGTTGTCATATGTCTCTTGTGAAGAATAAAAATTAATTCTAGACTTGAAGCTTTCGTGACTGCAAGGAATCATATTCTTAGGTGTTTTCGGTAAAGTCACGTAGGTAAAACATCAAAATTAATAAAATAATAAAATAAAATAGAGATCACGACGTTTCGGAGGCAACACAAGTCTCCGTCATCAGGTGGGACTCGCTTTTAAGGGATTACATCTTGAATCATTGCCTCACTTGATGCAGCTAATCTGGCTGTGACTGTCCCACCTGATGACGGAGACTTGTGTTGCCTCCGAAACGTCGTGATCTTTATTTTATTTTATTATTTTATTAATTTTGATGTTTTACCTACGTGACTTTACCGAAAACACCTAAGAATAAGAATAAAAATTGTACATCACTACAGCCCTCGTGGATTTGTAAACGCTATCGTCGATCATGTTTTGTTCCATCGCAGACCTTTCCTCGGTTTCGCTTCATTTAATATAAGGGAGCCGTTGCTTCTTTTAAGTTTTTGTTTTTTACAAAGGGTCAGTCTCTTCCGAAACGTTTGGCCGGCATGGAAGAGTAGGCCAAATTACCCTCTAGGAGCAACAGAGAAGGGTTTGCTCGGGCAGTGATTTCCAACCGGTGTGTTGGTGTTGGTATTGTGAAAGAACTGAATTGTGAAGGAAAGAGAACCTTGCCACCCGCTCGCTGACAAGCGCAAATTCTCATTTGCAAGGGGGTGTGGGGGATCATTGGGGTTTTTTTGTGTACATTACTGTAATTTTATTTCATCTATGTATGTTGGACTTCTTTCACACCATACGTAGCCAACCGGGCTCATCGGAGGTGCGAATCCATGTAATCGGTCGGACCGATGTTTTCATTTGAAAGTCTTCTTTTGCATGACGGGGAAATGTTTATAATGGGATATCTAGTTCGGCGATCCATTCGATGGCTTCCTGAGATGCCGAGTGGAGTACTTGAGTGCCTCCCGCAACAGATGTTAGTGGGCAGGTTGATGCTACTTGGGGGTCATCCCTCAACTTCCACTTGTGATGCAGGTGGGCGCTTCTTCGCCCCGTGGTCCGTGCGGATTCGGTTGAGTGCCCGTCCACTGCCTTCGAGGGAGGGTTGAAGCCAGGGGGGCCTCTGCTGCTGTTGGATCGTTGATGAGGTGTTGGTTATTTATGTTGCGTGAGTCCCACGATGGTTTGAAAGTGAGGTGCTGTGGAACAAGAAAGGTTGGGGCAGCACCGCTGTTGACGACGTTTGAGTTGAGGCTCTTTCTGTCGGCAGTGGCGTGAGCAAGACATTCCAGGGCTACAGCTTTTTACCTTTTTAATGATAATGCAATTCATAAGGTGCACTATGTCACAGGCATAAAATTACCGCCACTCTTGAGTTAAGCAGTTGATCTTTTGCCATGAATATGCGGGACAGATGTCTCGTTCGGAATTTTAGGATTTGGGGAGACAATTTGGCTTTGATGGCTAACGTCTCTTGTATTAAACACTGTTATCAGAGCTTGGAAAACACGATGGAAGTCGAGCAAGGCTAGGTTAAGAGGTTAAGAAGTATTTTGACTTGCAGTTTGGTGCTTGAACATAGTATGGATGAGACGAAACTGTACAGAGTACGAGTAAAGTTCACGGGCAATAAACATTGCAGTCGTATAAAGAGGCGACTCACCACCGGTGAACGAGTAACTGGAGTGAATTAGTGAGTGCTGGATCTTCTTCAATAAACCCGGACTGTTTTACGTTGAATTCTGTCAACTACAGAGATGTAGGAACTTTGATCGCGACTGTGTAAGCTGGCCCAAGATTGTAACGTGGTAATTATGGCTCTTGTTGTGATGGAGTTAAAACAAATATTTCCGGCCTGGTGTTTGAGCGAGAGAGCGAGTGGCCCTTTATCAGAATGTTGCAAGTTCACTTCCTGGTTTGAGGTTGATTTAGCCCATTACCCTATGGGGTCGATAAAACAAGTACAGTACCACTGTGAGGATGTCAACAGTGGTTTGTCTTATAATAGACTTTCCTGTGTTATGGCAATGAGGAGTTTCGACCACTCGCTCAGGGCTGCAAACATAAGATAAGCAATGCCTTCAGTGCTCATCTGAGCAGGAAATCACTGTGACTCGACTGTATTAAGTAATAGAACGATTCTGTTTGTTTGACTTGAACCGACTCCCCCCCCCCCTTTGCGTCCAGGCCGACCCCGACAACTGTTTTGGTGGCGGCTTCACGAGCAGCCCCCGCTTCGGTAGCCCCGAGTTGGGCCGTCGGGTCCTGCGAGACGGCCTCGTGATGAAGGCCCAGCCACAGGGTGGAAAGAACTCCCCCATTCTTCCTGCTGGCACAAGGACGGCGCAGGGCGTGAGCGAGGACGAGGACGGCGGCGGTAGCAGCTGGCAGCAGCAGCAGCGGCAGCATCGGCAACCTCACACTGGACGAGGTGGAACTGCTAGGACCTCGCCAGCCTGAGCGGCGAGCGCGAGGAGGACAGCTGGTGAGGAGAGCAGATGACTGTACCCTTGCATTAAGTGGCTCATTTAGCATCGGGCAAGGGAAAGGTTGTAGCCCTGCAATTTACTTGCTCGTACCACTGCTGGGGGAAGGGCCTCCATTTACACAATAAGCAGCTCATCTGCATGTATGCACTTTAATCAATTCCTCCCAGACCGCTCCACCAATCGCGATAATTGAGGACACATATGCTTTCATGACCAGTAATATTATTAACATTTTACATACGCGATCTAACCCAAAAAAGCTATTTTGACTCACTGACACATTTTTACCTTTGCCCCGATAAGGCTAGTACTTCATATCTCGCCCAGAATTGTTTATCCTATCTACCATTGCAATATGTCTGGTGGATGACGTGAGCTCGAATCAGAATCATACCGTTGATCGGTATATGCCATTCGGTAGGGGTGTGTGCAGTGGGGCATGGGGTGGGGAGCTGTGGAATCTGAACATGCTTCCCGCTAGCATAATGTAAGAGAGAGTGATGCACCCTGCAGTTGAACCTTATGGCGGTACCCCGGTGTACCTATAGTACCCCGGCTCTCGCATAATGTCCGTGATGCAGTCATTCTTAGTTTGTTGATGGTCGGCGATGCGGTAATCGACTCATCTCGACGAGCTGTACACGATGCACTATGGAGCATACGAAGCGTTCAGGGTTTCGGCGAAATCGTCCTCGCTGCGTTTCGACATCGCGGATTGGCACTGATTTCGGATTGATTGGTACCCCAGTCGCGGAGTTAAGTACACCCCTGGAAAAAAGTGTCCCAGAAATAAAATATTTAATTGCCTCAGCCATTTTGTATTATTTGGTACCCCGTGGTACCGCCATAAGGATCCGTTGATCGGTAAGGAAAGGTCACATGTGCTCCAGCTGGTGAGAAGGATGCAAAATCAGACAAGTGGCCAATTTATATAAAACAAACATGGTCACTGCAACGCGCTCTTTCAGGTGTGCTTCTGCGACCGTCTGGAATGCTCTTCCGGTATTATTAAGAAGCCACAGGAGCTATGCGCTTCTAAATCTACGTTGAAAAATCATTTCTTTAGAACTGCTTTTTTCTGTTTAGTTTGTCCATGCCTCGCACCTCCGATTAGCACGGTTGGCTACGTACGATGCGAAGTTCAACATTCATACATACGTCTTAGTTGGAACTTCTTTTAGTTCATGCTGGTTTTACATTACAGTAGCAAGGGGAAATGCCATGTAAGGTCGTTTATAGGCATGTTACACTTTACCCCCTCCACTCCAACCACAGTGATGCAATAAACGAATTACTTGGGTGACGGTCATTATTCTAGTCATCAGCTTTTTTGTAAAAAAAATTCCCTCACATTGGTACAATTTTCCAAAAATGTCCAAAATGTAACCCCGGCATATTATGAGAATATAACAATGGATTTTAATCGATTATTTGACACATCCTTGTTTGCTGAAACGTGTCAGAAGTGGAGTAAACATAACTATCTTGTACAGTACAATGTACAACGTTTTATATGGGCTTTGAAGAGTTGTTGGCAGGAAGGGTTGTTGTCATTCCTTCCATTGGGAACATGTTTTATGTTATGTTGGTGCTTGTTGAGTCGACATTGCACGAGCTTTAAGCAGGTTACATCAAACACATTGTTAAATTGAAGTTACAAAATCTGCTTGCTTTCAATGCATGTAAACTGTCGGTATTTATCCATTTAAATATTTCAGATAAAAGATTGTGAACCTCTTCTCTTCATTCCTGGCATTGTGAAACGAGTGAATTTCACGATGTAGCGTTGCGTCAAAGCATAGGTGGAATGTTTAGCACGCTGTTGTACGCACTCGCTCTTTCGAGTTCATTTCCTTGCCAAGGATAACCTCGGTGGACAGCAGCATCTGAGCCAGTCCTGGCACACTGTACCAAGCCACACTAACCAGCGTGGTGAAGCATGGTCCAACAATCCCCACGACCGACATGGCATGGGGAGGCCTTCATTCAGCAGTGTATTGACATAGAAAATAAGTATACGCTTATTTAAATTCCTCTGCGATGACAAGTTTACAAGACCGTGGTAATTGTGATTTTTATTTAAAGTCAAGGTGAAGTGTTACGAATACTGAGGTTTTCGCGGTCATGCCACATTGGCTGTCGGATATTGTTTACGGGTTGTACCGCGTGCTGTTCGGCATTACATCCAACGTTTCTCTCCACGTGTTGGAACCCGGTAACCTAAGTTTGATTCGGCCACGGCTAAACTAAACTTAAAAACTTAACAATTTTTTTAAACCAGGTAAGGCTCACTGAGCTATATAGCGTTTTTTCAGAAGCGACCTGGCCACATATGATACATCAACAGAGTGGCTTATCTTCTTGGTTCTTTCGGTAAAGTCACGTAGAAGGGAAATAGTAAAATAATAAAAATAAAACATAATAAAATAATTCTCACGACGTTTCGGCCACAACGCAAGCAGCCGTCCTCAGGTGAAGACCAGGTCTGTCAGGGAGACGCTGTTCTCTGCTTGCGTTGTGGCCGAAACGTCGTGAGAATTATTTTATTATGTTTTATTTTTATTATTTTATTATTTCCCTTCTACGTGACTTTACCGAAAGAACCAAGAAGATGAATGCCTGCAGTCCACGAAAGCTTTAAATCGAGAGTGGCTTAGGTTGAAATTTATAGCAGCCAAATATTCTAAACACACATTGATTCTAAATGTGGAAGTAAAAAACGGAGGACACGTATAAAAATCCACGCGACCACGGGGAGAACATGCAAACTTTAAATATACAGGCATCGGAGTCGGTATCAAACCCATGACCTCCTGTATACCGGCGAGGTAGTTAACATCTCGCCACCGCGCCTAACGTGAGTGGCGAATGTATAAACTGGTCTTGTGCCTCCCATAGGTCGACTCGGCCTTAACTGGTATGTAAACGTCAGCATTTGGGAGACAAAGGCAACCGGGTGTGATACTGGTGCAGCACCTCGGACACCATGCTGGCCTTAATGTGTGCTCGCTAACACCACTTGTTCTAATGGTCCATATGGCTATGGGGTACATTTGTTTTTGTGTGTGCGAGCATGTGAGTGTTATAAATACCTGTCGATAGATGGATGACTTATTTATAGTAAAGTAAGAGGCCATTTATACCAGAATTCTATTATTAGATGTGGCCTTGTGTTTAAATAAGTACAGCTAAAGAGCTAAACATTCGAATGTGTAAACGAAAAAAACATTCTCAAGCGATTCTAAGCAGATCTGCTCACTTCCCTTGCTGGCTCTGTAGTGAAAATTCCACATTGCTATGGGCAGAGACGAGTATATCCAAAGCATAACCACTGGCTATTTGACAAATTAGTACTCATTTTATCTAACGTAGTGAACACATGTAAACACATGTAAAGTTACGTGACGTTAGTCAGTTTATGTTGCTCAAATTTTTTTTTATCAAACCCCTGCGTTCCTTCAATCATAGTTCCAACTCAGTCTGGCCTGCGTGTATATTTTTGTTTGAAAAGAAATCCGGTTGCTAAGCGCCAAAGCCTTAACTGCACCCACAGTCTGAAGATCGTCAGCAATAAATTATTTTCACAAAAACCGGAGACGATGAGGGCGTTTAAATCCCCCAGCTGGTTAAGGCAGCCCACATTGTTAACAGCTGGAGGTTGTAAGTCTCGGTGAAGGCACACGGGTTGGCGGAATGCGCGGCGTTGTCTACGTGTCACCCCCACAAGCGGTCACAGCTGGCACCACCGTTCCACAGAATCGCGCACTTCGCATGAACACACCGCCTCTTGCCAAAATCACCAAGTTGCCAGTATATCCGACCGTCGTGTATCCGCACCGATCAATTAATCGCCCCCACCCAGTCCAGTATTTGCGTGCATGACAAAACCGTGTTGCTTTCTGTAGCCGTTCACAAATCCGACCTGTTTTGCATGTCTGCCTATCCCTCAGTTTACAGCCAGTCAAGATATGTGACGTTGCACTGCATTGAAAATTAGTTGGAAATATAATACGAGAAATGTCACACGACATACAACATAGCCCATAGCCCCATCATCGCTGCACAGTAGCAATGTGACATACAGTATACGTTAGCATGATTATGGACTTCTGTGAAATACTGAAAATGTATTAAAAAGGTCTTTATAGCTCATCGGATTTGTCCAGTATAAATACATATTTTGATTCTGAAAAAATATTTTAATGATGCAGTGGCAAACGTACTGCGCTCTGAATTCTGCATCCTGAGTTGAATTCCTGACCACGGCTAATGTCAAGTCCTGAACCTCAAGAGTCCCTCTTACTTACTGAGGTATGTTTAAACAATTTCCATGCAGTGGATGGATAAAGAGCTGTACATTATTGCAGTGTTTCAGGCATTGCCCCTTCTGCAGAGCAGGGAGAGAGAGGGCAAAGAGATGATCTGACTTGTGTTTGGAGATCGCACTGTACATTTTGAAAAGATGGGATATTTTTTTCAAAGTTGACTTGTGTGCATGAGCAGATCATGCACGGAAGTGTGATGAAGACCCAGGGTGGCCCACGGTAGATGGCAACGGCATGGCGAGGCCTTCATCCAGGAGTGGGTAGACCATGGCCGATGATGAATCGATGTATGTCGTGGTTGTCCCAACGCTGGTACCTCCTTCGTTGTCACCCACCCACCCGCCTGTCCCTCAGGCTGTACGCGTCGCCCGTGAAGGCCAGAAACACCTCCCTGAGTCCACTGCAGTGGAGTCGCCAAGTCCTGGACCACCCGAGTCCGCAGATGGTGGCCGCCAAGCGCTCGCTCGCACAGAGGCTCGACGCCAACATGTTCGGTGAGGCCCAGCCAGTCTCGCCTGCCTCGCTTGCGCTTGCCTACTTCGCTCGCGCTCACCTCTCCCTATTTCTGGTTCGCAGCCACGGTGGCGAGATGTTATCTCCCTCACCTGGTGTGCAGGAGGTCGTGGGTTCGACGCGGACCCTGACGCCAGCTGTATATTTGGAGGTTGCGTGTCTCGCTCCCCGTAGACGCGTGGAATTTTTCTCCGTTTTTTTTTTCCCCCTCCACATTTAGAAGCATTCGTTTAGAGTACTGTATTTGGCTGCTATTATGAATTTCCACATGATAAGCCACTTCGTTGAACTATCATTTGTGGCCAGGCCGCTTCGGAAAAATAACTATATCGCTCAGTCGGTCTTAACTGGTAAAATTAAAAATAGTTCAGTTTCAATGGCACATTTCTGATTAGTGGTGTGTTTGCCAGTGCTGTTATTTAAGAGCCCATGAATTTTGACACCCTACCACCACTGATGGTGTTTAACACCAATGTTCCCCAGTCACTTGCACAGCATCTCATGGCACTTAAAAAAATTGTTGTTTATTTTCTGGTTTAACTTTGATATATATTTGTAGGCTTGTCACTAACCACTTGTTCTTTTTGGTGTAACATTTACAGGACAAGTAAATGTTGATACTGTGACTCAAGTTAAGATAAGAGCTGTTTGTTTTATGGTGTTCATCTTTCTAAAAAACACCACGTGACACATTCGCTCTAAAACTTGCAATATCACACCTCTACTTAAATACCCAAATTTCATAGCCAAACAGATAATTTACTGGCCAAATAAAAGTACATTGGCTGAAACTGTTAATTATCATCATGATACTAATTACACATCCGAGTGAAATGGGGCAGACCTTGCAGTCACGTTGACGAATGGGGCTTAACGCAGAGAGGCATGGGGCTAAATTTTTCCTTCTCGCCGCGGTACACATTGTGCCGAAATGCTCCTTCGCTGTGGATGGAGGGGGATGGGAGGGTATGGAGAGAGTGTTCTGGCTGCTGTGCCGTGTCACTGCCAGTGCCAAGCGATGCGGTAGGAATGCGTGAGCCCCTCCGGCAGAAGGGCAGAGTAAACGACCTCCGGCCACTAGACACGTTAGGATTTGTCGAATCGTCGATTATAATTATTTCTTACGTCAAGTATTGATGCGAAATGTACCCCTTAGATTCATGGCGACGAACGAATGAGATATTAACCGTCGTGATAGGCAGTAGAGACATGCCGTAGACTACAGTTGAGACGTGGATGGTGCTGGTGATATTTGGTGCAGAGGAGAGATGCGGTGTACAATCAAGATGGTGCAGATGAGACAGCAGAGGTGATGTACAGTAAAAATGGGACATACAGTGTAAAAGGAGCAGAATACATGAGGCAGGAAGGTACAGTTAACCGTATGGACATGATGGTACAAACAAAATGCAATATGAATGTGACAGACCAGCGGTGATGAGAAAGACAGTATTAACGAGACATAGCAAAGCAGACATATTGAGATAGAACAAACAAGGCAGTACAGATGTAACAGGCAGTACAGACAATATCCAAGACAGAAGAGACTGATGGTTAAGACGAGAGAGCATAGATGAGATGTACTGTAAAAATGAGAAACACTGCACCGAAGACCGATTTACTTTTGAGACAGTAGACATGAGACAGTACATATGAGAAATACCATATACACGGGACAGGATGAGACAGAATGAGAGGCATGATAATACAGACAGAAGAGTACAAAGGCAATACGAAGCCGCCCAAATAAATGAGAAAGAGGCTCTAAAGGAGATACAACAAAGGAGACGAGACGAATTGGAACAAACGAGACACATTGGAACAAACGAGACGGTGCACACGGGGCAGACAGGACTTGAAGTGCAAAATCATCGGGACACTACAAACGAGACGAGAGAGCGATTCCTGAACTGGGTGAGAGGTGAATCGTTAACGTGGTCATGCGCCATCCTCCCTCCCCTAACTACCACACAACCGCACCCCCCCCCCCACGAGACCCAACCCTGAGCTCTGTCAACAAATGAGCTCATCTCTCCCGCGACCCGTGACTCTTGACCCTTGTGCATTTTGGGAAGGAATTCATCCTGTCGGCATGACGACATCCCCCCCTCCCCGCCCCCCTGCTGGTGCTGTTGTGAATATCGCATGAGTTGTAATACTTTAGGAATAACGGGCCTTTATTTTATCCTGGAAAGCTTCACTCACCGAGTCTCGAAACACTCTCTCCACTCGTATTGGGCACGTTTGCCTATTTCCGCTTTTGAGTAGAGTTTGTTCCGGGGGGCGGGGGGACGACGACACCACCCTGTGAAGTCCATACAGATGGATTCACGATCCCACTTGCTGTGCTGCCCATCTCCCTGGCCATGGCGGAATTTCACCGATCTCAGAGCGATCTGCCAAGTCTTGCCTCCCCCGAAACGCTGGATCGGAGATGAGTTCGCCAACCACGCCCGGCTTTGTCCCCCGGAATAAAAACAAACGGCTCCTTCACAAAAGAGCGTGCCTCACCAGTGAGCTGCCCACCCGCCCCATCGTGCATTTGCTCAGGTCAATAAACCGCGCCCGCTGCTCTTATGGTTGTCGGACTTGTGACCCCGCGTTGTTCGAGTGCCTTTGTTCCGTGTACGTGACTCATCGTCAGCCAGCAGAGCAGGGGTGCAGCAGCTGTTCTTGGAGTAGACAGTTAACGGAGACGATGTCTGCCTGTGCGTGTGTCCGGGGAGTGCTCACTTAACAGCACTTGCCCCAACAGTCTGTGAAGGCTATGGGGGGGGGGATGGATCTTTGTCTTTGGAGAGGGGAGTGACGGTGGCCGGTGGCCATGTGTGTCAGCCTTTTGTCGGCGAGTCGCTCGCCTGTGGTTCTGGTGGCTCTTAATTTAAAAAAATGTTCACTCATAATTTGATTTAAGGATTAGGCCACTTAATGATCTGCCCTAATTTGCATCGTAAGACGCTTCACTTGCCGACATAGCCGAACAAATAAAATCGTCACGTGTACAAGCATTTAACGCGGCAAATTATTATTGCTTCAGCTCACCGGTACGTTGAAGGACAATTCTAACAATTAAGTGAAGAAATTACATACAATGTTTTACTTGAGACTGTGCTCAGCATTTTCAGGACAAAGTCCAGGAAGTTAGAATAGCCATGTCACCTGACCCGGCTTTTTAAATAGGTATAACATCACAGGAACAACAAATTATATTTAAACTATGAAACATTACAAATTCATGTATTCTAATTTGATTCTAATTCGCGTGGGCCAATTATTGACATGCATGATGTATTATAATTAGTTATGATTATACTAGCCTGTATCAGGATAGCATGTAAACTGAAGACAATTTAATTTGTTTTAATATGTTGGATGGTGGGAGGGGGGGTCTTACGACACAAATTTGACCGGATTATTACGTGGCCCTACAAAAAAAGTGTTGAATCTTGACTTCAAGCTTTCGTGACTGCAAGAATTCACATTCTTTGGGTCTTTCGGTAAAGTTACGTAGATAGGTTCAAAGAAAATTAAAAAATAACAAAACCTACGACGTTTAGATCTAGTGACTTTACCAAAAGACCCAAAGAATACTTATTATATTGACTGCAGAAACTTAAGTTTTTGTCTTTTTTTTAAAACACATCTGTCTTTTGTCTACTATTTTGTGCCACTTATCCTGTCGCTGTCACATCACGAGATGGACAGTTTGTTTGGATCTCTCGCAGAATGGTACAACAGCCTTCGTGCCAAGCTACCCTGGCTGTAGAACGGTCATTCTTCACCAAGTTGGTCAGTGTGGAATAATGAAGTGAACCATTTTGTCTCACCTCTCAAAGATTACCTGGTTGGTACGGGTGCCCCTATCCAATAGAGTTTCTCACATCTCTGAGTGATGCGGTGGCGAGATGTTAACTACTTTGCCTGGTATACAGAAGGTCGTGGGTTCGATCCCAACCCTGGTGCCTGTATATTTGGAGTTTGCGTGTTCTCCCCGTGGTCGTGTGGATTTTTCTCCAGGTCTTCTGGCTTTTCCCTCCACATTTAGACATATGCGTTTAGAGCACTCGGCTGCTATAAAATTCCACCTTTTAAGCCACTTTGTTGATCTATCATTTGTGGCCAGGTCGCTTCTGAAAAAGAGCTATACAGCTCGGTGGACCTTACCTGGTAAAATAAAACGAAATAGTTGAGTCGCGAAGACCTTCAAGCTTCTCTGCCTCATAAAGGCAGCGGCACAACGAGACGAGGATGCGCTGCCTACTCGTGTTTAATATCAGAGAGTCAGCGCTCGATGTTTTTGTGTTGTGTCTTCTGTGAAAGGAAGACACGGGGTCCGGGTCCACGTGTCAGACATACAGCCCTCTGACATGTGCCACACAGCCGAGATATGTATCCAGCGCCCAGTTGTTTTGGTTCTTGTTTTTTTTGGTTAACGCTCTGGAAAGTTGTAAACAGGCCAAAGGCGGTGGTGGGTGGTGGGGGGGGGAAGAGTAACGTTGCTCAAACTTACAGTGCGCCGTGTGTTTTTATAGATGCAGTGGGCTGGTCACATTGTCCCTACGTGCGGCAGTGTCGGCCAAAATAGGTGTTTGCCAACAGCACTTGTGACATCTAAACTGAAAGAATATGGAATCGTCTCTCCTTCTGCGCATGCTTTGTAGAGAACCCGATGACAAAATCACCCAGAATGCACCTGTTCTTATCAGATATAGGAAGCTAAGCAGGTTCGAACCTGGATAGTGCTTTGATGGGCAAGCACCATGTATAAAAACTGTGTCGTAGGCTGTGGCTACCTTCTGGGCAGAAGTGAGTAGTGCAGCATCATCTTTTATTGTACTGTATTATGTGCCCATGCTGCCTGCTGTTACCATCCCACTGAGCAGCATGGTGAAAAGGGTGGTGGGGGTGGGGGAGAAAGATCCAGTACCGGATCACATACCGGATATCAAACACGGGTTCATAGCGCAAGTACGCAAACCACAGGCAGCATTTGTCTCAATAGTCTAATCAAAACTGAAAGGGCGATCGTTAAGTGTGTGTGTATACACGAGTCGTGCTTAATTTCGTTTTTATGAATATATCCTGCTTTGATCACGTTTCAAAGCTGTTTAAATTGAGTGCAGCTGTGTGCGTAGCATCCCCTGTGCTCGTGCGCGCACACACACACACAACAGTGGTTTACGTAACGAGGACACTGGAGCCGAATTCTCTGCACAGCCTTCCAATCCATCGCGTCTTGCTTTGGTCAGTGTTTGGACGTTGGCGAGAGGTCTCCTCCGAATGTTTCCAATTGCCACGGCGACTCCTGTAACAATATTAACATCACCCGACCCATCACTGTCTCTTCCCCCCCCCTCCTCCCCCGACATCCCAATCCTGTTGCTGTTTCTCACCCTCACTAACAAACGTCTTTGCTTTCTTTCCCTCTCTTCCCATTCCTCGCACCTCAGCCAACAACCGCCGAAGCTTCGTCTGCAACCCTTACGCGAGCGCCTCCTGCCATGGCACGCCGCGCTATGCCGGCCTTACCGCCGCTAGCCTTGGCGGCGCTGCCACCAGCCTTAGCGCCGCGCGCGAGTCCCTGACCCTCTTGGGCCACCGGCAGCAGCAGCAGCAGCAGCAGCAGGCGATCGCCAGCCCGTACGGGAGCCCCGTTTCCTACAGCGACGAGCGCCGTGCGACCGCCTTCCCGATGCCGTCGTTGTTCTCGCCGTACCCGGGTCAGTACGGACCGGGGTCCACGCGGGTCACGAGGTGGCGGACGGGACGCCGAGAGCGGGCGGCCGAGAGTAGTTCATCCCCTATGGCCTGCGGGCCACATAAGGTCTACGGCAGTTTAAAAACGGCCTGCAAATGATGTTTATCCACACTAATCTGGTACTAGAGTTCAATATTTTATCCGTCACTACATGCCTCATACAACACTCATCGGGTATTAGGCGGCAATATATATCTGTCGCTGCAAGTATCTTAGCCACGCTAATCGGGTGCTCGAGGCGGGGGGGGGGGAGTATTTTCGACCTGGCAATACCCTGTTTCCATATTCACGTTTGTGTACTCCGGGCACTGCAAGGCCCACTTGCGGTGAGAGGAGTGATTGAGCTGTGCGTTAACGTGTGGCCGCCTGCCAAAGGTTATTTGAAAGTCCTTTTCGGCCCCAAGTATGGAGAAGGTTCCCCTCCCTCCAACCTGAATGAGACGCAGCGTACAAATCAAACGGTGCTCGTCTTGTGTGATAGCGGGTAATGGTGCGCCGATTCGTCCATTAAGATCAGTTCTGGCGCTTGCTATGCACGCGTCTAACTTTGCGTGTTAGACTCTATTCATCCCGGTTTGTAGATACGTCACACGCAATGAATTCGCACAAGCCCCGGATAGCCGCTAGAGGTGCGACGATCACCACGCTGGCAAATAAATAAATATTTAATTGGATGTTACATGTAAGATAAAAGAGTGAAAGAAAATGTACAAACATCTCACAACTTACAATAAATAACACAAATGTATCATACAAATCATGTCAGGAGCTTAAGTGTTTGCTGTCGCCCCACCTGGTTCGTGTTATGTGTCTGCGATGTGCCTCGTACCGTTTTTAATGTTTGTGATTTGTGATGCTCCATCTTTCAGAGATGCAGTTTGTGTGACTGGCGCTGTAATATAAACTACAATCGTTATTTTAAATGTAATTGTAAAGACGACGTAGATCTATCTTTGTTGCTTGCGAATCGCGCTTCTGAATCGGAGCAACTCGTCAACTCGCCCGCTGGGAGTGATTCGTGACGTCCCTAAGCGGGTTCGCGAATTCGTCACCGCAGAGCTGCGGCGCGCACGTCGCGACCGCCAACGGCGCCATCACACTGGAGCATCTCTTCTGCCCCACCTCCCCCCTTAGGCGCCGCCGGGGGCAGCGGCGCTTGCTCGCCCCTCTCTCCCCATCCCTCGTCGTCGGCCGACAGCGAGCCCAGCGTGCCGGGCAGCCGCGTGAGCGAGCCGGGCAGCCGCGTGAGCGAGCCCTCCGTCTACGTGTCGCTCTCGCAGTCCATGGAGACGGAGAGCGACGACGACGACATCATCGGCTGCGTCGGCGGGGACAGAGACGACGACTTCAGCGCGGGCGCCTACAAGCTTCAGGATGTGACGGACGTTCAGATCCTCGCACGCATGCAGGAGGAGAGTGAGTGGCGTGCCCTGTTCTTGTGCGCTCAAAATCTGAATATTAATTTATGCTAGAAGAATCCCATGAGCTATGCGGCTCTTTTTCACAGATGCCCACAGCCCAGCGGTAGTGCCTTCATCGCTTGTTGCAGACGTTCACGGTTGTTGGAATCCAGCGGCTGCCCTGATCGATAATACCTCTTCATTGTCGCCGTCCGCTTCGCACTGGACGTTAAAGTAGATCCCCTGACGCTGTTCGCAAGAGTTGGCCGTTGTGTGCCGGCGTCACGGTCCACATTTTGGCAAATTCAAAACGTACCCACAAAATAGCTCCGAGGATTATGCATCCTTGCAATCATCGACCCCTACTGGTAGATTGTGTCCATTCGTAGGCCAGGTGCTGAGTGTGCTTTACAGGGGCAGCTGCTACTGGGGGTGCCCCTTCCAATGTTTGAGATGAGATGTAAAGCGGTCGTGTATGGCACACGATAAAAAAATATTACCATTATTGTAGGTAGTAGATATAATGAATTAAACTATAGGCGTGGGTCTGTTTAACAGCCAGCAAATACAATCGTTATCGATAAGAAACTTCACCAATTACCAACATAATGCACCTGACATCAGATATCAGAAACCAAGCAAGTTTGGGTGCGGATAGTGCTTAGATGGGTGACCAGTATGCATGCCAGGTTGATATAGCTGGCTGCGGGGCCATACATATGTTGTACAAAGCAGGAAGCAGTGCAGCAACAAAAATCCATTGCTCTACTGTGCTTCTATGCTTCCACATATATGCTCAAGGCCTTCAAAAACCCATGTTTACCAGTCTGGTCAAATAACCCCTATGGTCTGCATGGCGTGGGTAGTTCATCATCCACAAGTGGATTGACAACAATAGGGCCGTACGTGTACATATAAGAAACGTCGTTTGTCCATGAGCCGTTCAGTCGCAGCACTTGAGGTTTATTTTTTACAATAAAGGGACCATTGTGATCGCATGGAATTGGGAACCTATCGTGTTGATGTTGAGCTATGAACGATGTACGACCTTTGGAATGGGTATGAGGATGTTCACTGTGCTTTTGTGATCCGTGGCAATGTCGCGTGGTCACTCACATGGGTTGCAGCAGTGCAATCCATGCGACTGACCGGCCGGTACAAGGCGAACAAGCTGAAAGGGGCTTGAGGGCACTCACACGATGCAAATTCTATCAATTGTAGGTGATAGGAAAAAAACGCCCCGTGCATAGAAAAGACTGCTCGTTACATCATTATAATTCAGAATAGTTACCTTCAATATCCGAAGATTTTACTGGAAAAAAAATGTGCTCACAGGTCAGGCCTTACTCTACTTACTGATGAGACTAAGAACGTTTAAACCGGCCCAGGGCTCTCCTTGCTCTATTCTCTCAACAAACGACGCTCACAGACTACGCCCACCCTCGCCCCCTTCCCCCCTGCGCGTCGCCCAGACCTGCGCCAGGAGGCGTCCGCTAGCGCCTCCCGCCGGAGCTCTGGTGCGTCGTCGGCGCAGTCGCTGCGCGGGTACAGCCTCGCCTCCAGCGACCAGGAGCTGGACCGCGACGAGCCCCGGCACGGCGCCGGTGAGCACGATGGCGAGTACGCTGCCGGCGACGACGAGGTGGAGGAGGGCGACGATGAGGAGGAGGAGGAAGAGGACGAGGGCTACGTCGTCTCGCACCGGGACCGCCGCTTGTCGCGCCCGATGGCGGCGGCGTCGCGCGAGCTCCTCGTGCGCCGCCTGGCACCGTCTCCCGCTGTCCGGCAGCAGCAGCAGCAGCAACGGCAGCAGCAGCAACGGCAGCAGCGGCGCGTGGCGTCGCCGCGCTCGCGCTCACCTTGCCCCACTGAGCCCGGCGGGAGGGTGTCGCCGGCGGGAGCGGCGGCGCCGCAGTCGGCGCAGCTGGCGCAGCTGGCTCAGCTGGCGCAGCTGTCGGCGTTTGCGGGCGGGTACGGGCAGCGCTGGCGCGGCGAAGCTTTCGCTGCCCGGTCAGCATGCGCCGGTGCTGGAGCTGGTGCAGCACCGGCAGGCGCACGATGACGGTGAGGGATAGTGGTGCGAGCGTGCTCGATTGCTCACTCGCTTAAAGGCCAATTCGGCAATCGAGTGGTTTCGGTTGCTTGCATTTGGTTTTGTTGTTTCTTACCTTTGGAAGTTTTTACTACCTTTTGTTGTATTGTTGAGATTTGTCATTTCACAGTTTGACATAAAATATACAGATGATGATGATGGTGGTGACAGTAGAAAGTGGTGTAGCATAGTTGGCAATGGGGCCCTCCCCTGTCTAATGTTCCCTCCTCTTTGTGGCCTCAGACCTTGGCTCCTCAAGTCTGTTACATTTGAAGCACCTGTGCACTCGATAGCTACTAGGGACACAAACTGCTGATTCTGATTCTTCTCACAATTGACGTGTGTCCGGTGGGCTCTGTGTGCGTGGCCTCCAGAGAGGATGAGAGGGAGCTTACCCAACTTGTTCCGCCCGCCCTCTGCTGGCTCCACGGCCATCGACGGCACGGCCCTGGGCGTCCGCAGCAGCCGTAGCCTCGAGTCGAATCTGCAACTCCCGGGAGCGGTGGCCTCCCTGCGTCCGTCCGGGCTGCGGCAACCGCAAGGCGGTGAGCGTGGCGCTGATGCGGTGACGCAGGGTTTGAATCCAGGTTTTAGACACGCGCGATTAAACTGGATTCTCAAGTGTAGTTTGTTGGTAGTGTTAGACCAGTTGCTAAAACGTTAAGTGAAATTAGTTTTGTATAACCAAATTTAGCATTTTGTTATCTCGAATAATGTAATGTTCTTGTTTGATGGATGTACGACAAACATTATTTTGGAACGCATGTAAAATATCTGGCCCTTGTGCAGAAAAGGAGGCCATTTAAAAACCTTCACATAATTTTAATGGTACGAAAATATCGTGATGCAAACGGTAAAATACCGCTTGAATTTTCAGACTATTTTCAAGACAATATTTCCACACACTGTATTTTACAATAACCAAATTCTGAGGGACGGTAGAACTTAGCCAGTTGCCCCTCGTCCCACCCCCACAGCTCCATCCTCGAGCCGACTGCGCCCGCCATCCGGCTGCGGCATCCCCGTGAGCCCCATGGCACGGCAGCTCAAACCGCCCACGTCACTTGGCTCATCCGGCACGCTCCCAACCCCCTCCTCCTCCTCCTTCCCCGCCACCGGTGCCACTCTCCCTGGTGCCAGTCGGCTGTCAACACCGCCGTCGTACGGCTCGCTCGCCTTCTCCGTGCCGGCGCCGGGACGGCACTCCAGCGCCCCGGCCGGCGGCACAGGAAGGCTCGTGCCGACGACCGGCGGCAGGCACAGCCCCGGCGGGGCCAGCGGTATCCCCATCGCGGGACGACAAAGCCCCGGTTCGATGTCCGCCTCCGGCGCCGCCGCTTCTTCCCCGTCCTCCTCTTCGGCCTCCGGCTGCTCTCCCTCGGCGCTGGGAACCGGCGCGGGACCCGGGCCGGCTCGGCCGGCGCCGGCGGGCCCTGGGACCGGTGCGGGCGTAAGGAGCGGGCTGCCACGGCTCGGCGCGCCGGGAAGCGGTGCATCCCGAAGCAGGCTGGCGCAGCCCGTACGCAGGTATCGTCCGCGTGACGGGCGAGTGGCTGTGCGTGCGGGAACTTTGCAGCTGTTCGCTGACCGGGAATAGTCGATTAGTCTGTTGATAGAATATATTAATGGAATGACATTCAGCATGTAGCTTGCATGTAATTTGCATTAGCAGTTTCCATACGCGAGGCTCAAAATACCTTCTAGCAATGCATTTAATGGGATTAATGATGCCATCGGGTCAGAGTTGTGGTGGTTAACAGTTGTCTTTTGTATTCTTGGTTCTTTCGGTAAAGTCAAGTAGAAGGGAAATAATAAAATAATAAAAATATAACAATAACATTCTCACGACGTTTCGATTGCAACACAAGCAATCATCATCAAGTGTGAAAACCACAGCAAGAAAATTTGAAAAAAGTGGCGGTTTTTCAAATTTTCTTGCTGTGGTTTTCACACCTGATGATGATTGCTTGTGTTGCAATCGAAACGTCATGAGAATTTTATTGTTTTATTTTTATTTCCCTTCTACGTGACTTTACCGAAAGAACCAAGAATATGAATCCCTGTAGTCACGAAAGTCGATAATATACACTTAGAGTTACTGCTCTGGGGGGTTTTCTCCAGGTACTACTCTTGATTCCCTCGCACATTTTAAGAACTTGTTCATCGGCACTTAACTCAGGTTGCCGGCTTGCCTGTAGCCGGGAATTTGGTAGCGTGTGCCAACAGTGAAACAGCCTCTGCCACAACCCTCGGCCGGATTCGTACCCGTGCCGGCCGGGTTATTTACCTACGAGGCACAAATGAAGCAGTAGCAAGTGCCATGTACCCATAGTGTATTGTTATTGCAGTGGGTGTACTGCTTTGTGAACCTGGCGAACCATATTGATTCACGGCCAAGCCTAACATCAGTGGTGAGTGACGTCTGACCTGGTCCTAGGACCCCGCTCCACCAATCCATGCTGATGAAATATGGTCAAACAGCCCCCATAACAAAGGAAGTGCCTTCATCCTGCACTGGAATGACAAGGGCTGTAAATGATGTCGTCATTGCGCGTCATGTTTGCTGTGCCCTGCGGTGAGTTTCCAGAATTTTCTAGGTCACATCTGATAGCTAGCGTCTCCCCTATAAAATGGTTGCCGATTCATCGCAAATATTTTTTTAAATATATATAATTGATTAATACAATTTCAGCACTCATGGATGGTGCGGTGTTAGCAGGCAGGTGAGTAGCGTTTTGCACGCAGTTTTGCCGTCTCATCGCCGCCTCTCTCCCCGTCTCTCATTTCTCCCGACCCCCCCCCGCAGATCCCTGCAGCCACCCAAAACCTACAGCACTTTTAGAGACGACTCGTGGAACGAAGGCTGCTACTGAGCGGCCGAGGACGGCCGCAGTGGTGCCGCCGTCACCGCCACCAACCTCCTTCTCGTGACGCCTTCACCGCGTAACTGTCGGCACTTGCTACGCCCGCGTAATGGCTCACGGTTGCCATCTGCGTTTACAGACGGTGTTTCGTCCTCGCCACCATCGTCATCGTCACCGCCACCGCAGTCACGATCGTTGTTTATTTTTTTGCTGAAAGACGATGGTTGGACTGCGTCTTTGTCGTGGGTGAAGGGAGTGAGAAACAGGGTTTTTTTAGAAGGGCTGTCGTGATGGTTGTTGCTGCGATGAACAAAGCGATTCGTGTTTTGTGCGAATAAGTGTTGATTCAGAGCGCTTAGGAGTCAGGGTAATAGCTAAGCATGGAACGATTTCACCACCCCACCTGGCACTTTGATAAATATCACGATTTGGGGTATTAATTCCATTCAAGAACCAATCAGTTGTTTTTTGTTTCCATTTTTACCGTCTTGTTTGTATTTCTTATTTTTTCCCATCCCATTTGTTACTGCTCCATTCACTCCGTGTACCTAAACGTAGAATTTGCATGTAATTTTCTGACAGTTGCAAATAGTCGATTCTCACACAAACGATTCAATGCGTGCGTCTGGAGCACGCGAATCGATTTTAACCGTCGAGTCGGTGGATCGTTGCATGCTTTGGTCATGGCGGGGACGCTTGAAGGTCCGCTTCTCTGCGGTTTCTGGAGAGCGACGGTTTTGACGATTTGGAACGCGGCAACCTTCCAGCACCGCCGTTTACAGAACACGATAATCCGTTATTATAGCTCGCGCGCCAAAATGTAACAGTTTTACTTGGTTTTGTTTTCTCGCCGTCTGAGCGCTGACGTTTTTTTTGAGCGCCACGCTTCTGCCCGCAGCCCGCTCTCTTCTCCCTGTCCCGCCCCCGCCCCAAGCGGCCGCCACGGTTGTAGGGATGCAAAATAACGGCAAGCAGAGACAATCTGGCAGCGATCGGCTGAGAGGTAGGGTTCATGGTGTACGCAGCATCTTGTATCAGTGAGTGAGGGTTAGGTCCGTACACGTTGGGTTAGGATTATATGTAGTATCACATGAAATTGGATTTGAGATACACACAAGGTGACAGGTAATTGGGTTAGGGCTATATGCAGGATTACACTTCAGTTGGGTTAGGGTTGGAACTACAGTATGCTCCACATCACATGTCTGTTGGGTTATGGCTGTCAGCATCGTCAAAAGTCAAGTGGGATACGGCAAGGGCTGTACGCAGCATCACGTGAGAGAGGTTACAGCTATACAGCACATGCAGCGTCCAGTTCATTCAGTCTTCAAACCATATTAGACATCAGTTGAGTTCAGTCTATAAACTGGATCAAATGTCATTTGGGCTAGGGCTCTGCACTGCTTTATATGCCAGTTGGGTTAGGGTTAGGGATATGCCCAACATAATGTGACTTGGTTATAGGGTTCTGCACAACATTACTCCTCAGTTGGGTTAGAGTTAGGGCTCTACACAGTATCACGTGTCAGATGGGTTGGGGTTAGGGCTACACACTTATTACATGTCAGTGGGTTGGGGTTAGGGCTGTACATAGCATTACACTCGAGTTGTGTTAGGGTTATACACAGTATCGCATGTCACTTGGGTTAGGGACGTACTATTTACAGTGTCCACACGTCAGTTACTTCGTGCTGAAGACCACCCTCTCACGGGTCTTTCGGTGGCCGTTCTTTGCAACTGGTCCAGCCATGGTGTTTGCCGGACACTGTTGCTTCCCGTCCTGGGGCCACTCGTGCTGCTTCTGGGAAGAGCAGGGGCTAAGTGGGCCCACCGGGCGACTCAAAATGTCGCACGCGTCATTAACATGGCCACGTGAGCTGAAGTGGACGTTTTTATTCCACATACCCCTCTCCCTCCATTCTACAGATGCTCTGCCCCCAGAGGTCGCAATAGGGTACCCGATACCCGGCTACCCTACCCGGCCGGGTACGGGTACCCGTTTGCAACCCTGGTGCGGCTGGGTACGGGTAAGGAATAAAAACCCGTTTGCGACCTCTGCCTGCCCCACATTCTACAGGTGGTTTCGGTCGTACGATGTTGGCGCTTTAGCTAGCGGTCAAGTTTTTGGTGAAGTTGACGAGTCGATGGTTGCTGTCAAGCTCGCTGCCGTGTCATCGCACTCACCCCTTGCTGTTGTGCACAGGGGAGGGACCTCTCCTCGTTTGGTCTTGACAGAACCAAAAGGAAACCTCGACAGCTCATCATCCATTCTCATCACAAACGTATTTTTGCTGTATTTACACACACAGACACTCGGTGGTTCCTTCCTTGGCATGTGTGTATGTGCTACAGCTGCCATACTGTTTATCTTTATTGATTTTAAATCGCTCTGATCTCCCAAATGGGGGGAAAAAAAGCAAAGTTGCCATGAAATGGGTTCACCAACTATGAGAGCCCAGATGTTCTCTCACCTGAATCTCAGACGTTGTCACCCGTTTATAAGTGATGATGTCTGTTGTACTTACATTTGCGATGACTTGAAGATCACAAAGGCTCTCAACGTATGCATTGCGCTTTGCGCTGACAGCCGAGTCATAATATTTAATTACAAAAAGTATTATTTTCTTTTCTTTAAAGCTAAAAAGAATAATTCAGTATTTATTGATACTGCCTGCCAAACGATGTTTTATTAATGTTTAATGCATGCCGTTTATTTTACCACAAGTGCATATTAGTGTTGTTGAATCCTCTCTGCTCTCGCGAAGTCTCGCAAGCGGACGCGCTATTTATCGGTGTATGTGAGTCAACCTGTGCCTTGTTCATTCACAGTCCCTGTGGTTCGCTTCAGAGGTGAACGGAAGGAGCGGCAATGGAGTGATCACTCGCTAACTCCACCGTGCGTTGTTGTGTAACATTATGGGTAAAAGCAAACATAAGCAGAAATCCGTTCTGTTTCCACATGTAAATAAAACCTCTTTTTTGAAATCCTTAAGCCAATTGGCTCCCAAGACCAATATCAAGCAAAATGTATTTAAGCAAGTAAACGCTGGACCGGTTTATTTACCTATATTTATATATCAGGCCGGTGACACGGCTTACCGTTAGTATGTTGACCTCTCGTTGCAGGGGTTCCAGTTCGAATTCAGTGGCCGTCCTGGTTATTGCTGCGGTGTGCATTCACCGTAAATATACTGCCTCGCAGTGGACGTTAGAAATATCTCTGGCATACTCTTGCGAATGACGTTTCATTCTGTGCCAGCGTTGTGACCCAAGTTTTAAAAATGACACCTCACTTGGGATCATAGCAATCATTGTCTGTCACTGCGAAAACTTGGCAAGATTGTGTCCTGAAAAAGAGTCGTGAGCCATAGATGAGGCCCTCCTGGGTAAACAAGCATTATAATATGGAGACAGAATGCAGTTCTGCTTATATTTTCGTGAACAGAAATTGGGGAAGAGGAAAGGGTTGCACAGAAAGAGGTGAAACGGAAAGACACTCCTTCGCAAGCCGGGCCAGGCCACCAAACTTTTTGGCCGGCAATTCACGCCCAGCGTGTAACGTTCCAGCATCGCACAACCACGTGAGTTACCACTAGCACCATCGAGTCTCTGCCCATCACTGGCGGTCCCGGTCGAGGAGTTGCACGATTTTTTTTATCGAACCAAACTCGCGGGTTCCCCAGGAGGTGATGACGGCTCGAGCGGGGGGGGGGCGAGGTGTGGTTCATCCATGCGTCATCTCCTCGCGCGTGCACCGTTGGGGCTTTAGAGTAAGGCGGTGGTGTGAGCCATCCGCGAGCTTGCCAAAATGCGCGTCGTGGCGAGTCGCGCTGCGTAGAGGCCGAAGGCCAGAAAGTGTAAAGCTCTTGGTCATCCCACAGTCTGTCGCACCAATTCGAGTTTAAGCCAGGCTTGGTCGGTGGATAGCGCTAGGCCAGTCTTAGAAATGCATCCTCGCGAAACCTTTGCTTCATCCTTTCTAGATTTGAAGTTTTCGTGACTGCAAGGATCCATACTCTTTGGCTTTTTCAGTGAAGTCACGTAGGTTAAAAAAACAAATAAATGAAATCACGACGTTTCGGAGGCAACACAAGCTTCCGTCTTCAGTTGGAACCGTCACAGCAAAATTACTGCATCAAGTTTCTCAAAAGACGACTCCACCCTAAAATATGGGTAGTGCTTGTGTATGATTTCCGAGGCTTTGTGGTCCTGATCGTCGGACACGAGTGAGGATTCGTTAAAGAGAAAATCGACTTCAAAGTTACGGCCACGCGTGCTGCCATAGCACGCCTGAGTGATGCCACTGCATGGAAGCGTTCAAACACATGGGGATGATGATGGCACTTTGATGCCACTCAAGTGCTCTGGAGGCACGCAGGAACATAATTTTTTTCAAATATATATAACTATCATTAACTTGGGTACATATCTACAAGAGCGCTTTTGGTTTTGTTGCACGTTCACTTACGACTGATTTAATCTCTTGTGAATTGAAGCCTCCTTCAGCCCCGCTTTCAACTCGTGTCTTGAGCTTTCCTTCAGCCTTTTGTTTTACACTTGTTACGATCTAATCTCAGCCTTCATCACTTGATGTCTCATACAAACCCTGGTTTAGTTACGGAAGCATTCACTGTCCCGAATGCCTGGTTTGAGTAACTTGACTGCCGTTTTAAGTTCAGCGCCCTCGTCAAATCAAGGATCTGGGATGATCAAGATGCTAATTTATAACTCGTCACGCAACATTACATGGACCGGAATTCCATGGTCTGCATCGCTGTATCCGGTTGTTATTTTCTGATTAACGTTTTGTTAAGTTCGCAACACCCTGCACTGTACATATGCCTGCTGTTGGAATAAACGAGCTGCAGGAATCGTCGGGCCTTATATTGTCGGACTGAGCTCTTGAGTCGTGCTATTTGAATGCGAAGTCGACCTGGGGAAGGTCCAGGATCAGCACCGCTACCACTCTCAAGCCGTGCTAGCTGCGGCTGAGAACTGAACCAAGTCGCTTGGTTCATGTTGCAGCACGCTAACCACTGCGCCACTGTTCCGCACATACGCATGCTCAGACATATAGAGACCGTTGGAGCATACACAAATTGCACAAATGAGACTTTATAATAAAATAAGGCCATCGCACAGCGAATGAATAAAGGCTGGGTCGCCCATGTGATGAAGAAGGGAAAGTAGATGGTTAAAGGTCTTAAACGTTGTCTCCTGTTTGTGTTCATATCCCTATATTTAAGGAAATACTTTTGGAGCCACTTCATGGAATCCCAGGGGCTATGAGGATATTTCCTCATGTCCTGTGACCGGAATCATGAGACCGGGCTGAAGTAGCCCTGGCTTGTGCAACCAAAACCGTGCAGTCGAGATGCACATTCCAAAGGTGTACCCAAAAAGATGGGGTCACAACAAATCGGCTATTTTTGTTGTCTTTAAAACAAAAATCCAGTGTATCAGCATATTGTCATGGGAATCCAGGACCTGTTCAGTTCAGATATCACTTCACCACTAGTGCTAGCCATGGCCAGGAATTAAACATCACATCAGCAGTTTCATAATGCAGTGTGCTAACCATTGCACCACTAAACTATAATGTAATATTACATATTCAACGAGTCCATTAAAGAAATAACAAATTTGTATAGTTAAATTGTATTCGAATTTTACTTATTGTTATTGCCATGGGAACACATTCCTGCGGAGGGAGCTGGTAGGAACGTTGGGTTGCTCGGTCAATGGCCAGGGTCAACGGCGACGTGGTGTATTCCGCAAATATGCCCGACTGAGGGTGGGCACAAGCCGGCGTGAGTAGGTTAAACGTTGAGTTTTATAAGGGCACCACGGGGTGACCAGCCCCACCCCCCACCCAGCCCCACCCGCCCCACCCTCTCCACCCAGCCCCTCCCCTCTCCACCCAGCCCGACCCCTCCCATTTTTGGATGCACGACGGACGGACGGACACAATAATCCCCTGTGGGCTGGTGGAACCAGGTGGTTCCTACCAGTATTCAAACAACTTATTTGAAACTCATAGAAATCATATTTGTCAGTCCATTGCAGGATAACTGCCTCTTCAAATTACGGGACGTTATCTGACCATACTTCACCATACTGGTCAATACTTCACGGGTTAATGGAGGCGGGAAGTAGGAAATGCGCTTCTCTCGCTGCTGTTATTGCACTGCCCTCTGCTGCTCAGCATGGCGCACAACTGGTAACACAACAACCTTTCGCCCGTGATGTTTAGCCATCCGGCGCATTCAGAGGCACCTTTCTGGCGAATTTGTCACGTGAAACAAATGGTTGTATATAAATGTTGTTTGAGAGCATCTATTAAACTATTAATCAGTATGTCCAACCCGTCATGACATGGTTCAGAAACATGGTCATTGACGAAGATAATGGAGCGAAAACTGAAAAGCGCACGAGAAGCATGGCGATATAAAACACATTCCTGCGGAGGGAGCTGGTAGGAACGTTGGGTTGCTCGGTCAGTGGCCAGGGTCAACGGCGGCGTGGTGTATTCCGCAAATATGCCCGACTGAGGGCGGGCACAAGCCGGCGTGAGTAGGTTAAACGTTGAGTTTTATAAGGGCACCACGGGGTGACCAGCCCCTCCCCACCCAGCCCCACCCCTCCCCACCAGCCCCACCCTCCCCACCCAGCCCTCTCCACCCAGCCCCTCCCTGCACGACGGACACAATAATCTCCTGTGGGCTGGTGTTACCAGGAGGTTCCTACCAGTATAATTGATTGCAATTACATTGAGACGTGAAATGTGAACACCTGGGTAACGAGACGGAGCGGCCGAGTGGCTGAATCGCAGCCACAGGTGAGAGCACAGACAACGCACCTGTCGAGTCGTCCCGTAAACTCCTGCCCAGACAGCCTTTCGCACACAACGTGGCCGTAAAGTGCACCTAGCCTGGCACGAGGGCCGTGGTGGCTTAGTGCCGAATGGTGGAGGGGCAGGTGTTTTTGGACACGACCAGGTAGGCAGGGAGCGGTGGTTCGTGCGCTGCGCTACTAACCCGAGTTCGATTCCCGCTCACGGCCAACACCAAGTGACGAGTATCTGAGCCGGTCCTGGGCCTCCCCGAGGTCGACTCAGCCTCAAATGAGTACCTGGTGCTTTGTGGGGGGGGGGGGGGGGGGGCGGGACACCCCCCCACAATATTCAAATATGCTCAAAATGTCCCCCCCAATATATTGCTATAAAATAGATTTCTGTTTATACGAGTGTGGTTATGGTTGTACTTTATAAATCCCTAATCTCTGCCATTACATACAATGAAACAAGAAAATGTTAAAAAGAAAAACAGAGAAATGTCATACAATACACTATTAGACATTGTAAAAAATAAATAAAAAGTCCATCCTATGTTTTAACTTTTTAAATATTTTAGGCAGGAAATTCGTTTTCAAATTGGTGGAGGGTGGGGAGGTGGAGGGGGGGAGGTGGAGGGGGGGGAGGTGGAGGGGGGGGGAGGTGGAGGGGGGGAGGTGGAGGGGGAGGGAGGTGGAGGGGGGAGGTGGAGGGGGGGAGGTGGAGGGGGGGAGGTGGAGGGGGGGGGAGGTGGAGGGGGGGAGGTGGAGGGGGGGGAGGTGGAGGGGGGGAGGTGGAGGGGGGGGAGGTGGAGGGGGGGGAGGTGGAGGGGGGGAGGTGGAGGGGGGAGGTGGAGGGGGAGGTGGAGGGGGGGGAGGTGGAGGGGGGAGGTGGCATGGGGGGGGTGGAGGGGGTGGGGCAACCGTACCACGTGATCACCAAGAACCCAATCCGCACCTCGTGACACTCACATGACCGATCAGCTGTCTCATCGCGCCAGGAGCGGAAGCGAAATCTTGCGCAGATTTAATTTAAACTCAACACTTTAGCCTCAGCCGCCCTCGCAGCTCGCACCGAGGCCGTCGCCTCTGCCTTCAGCCACGATTTGAACGCCTCAGGTGAAGATATTTCCTCTTCTCCACCCCCTCCTACCCCCACCTGGTGACGCCCCGGGGCAGGCATCGGTGCGGCCTTGTTTGGCCACGGGGTGTGGCGGAAGGGAACCGCGATTTGGCGCTAGGCAAGAGACTAGGTCCTGTTTAGGCCTGTTTCTTAATTATTGTAAACTGTTGTAATTTTGTTTTACAATGACGTTAAGCTGTGTTTAAACGACGTTCTTTCACACCGGCAGCTGTTGCGTTATGATAATGGTGTGAAGTTCGCTGCGCTGGTAGGCAGCTGCGTGTATTTCGAACGCTTGTTTTAAGCTGAAGGATTGTTTAAATTTCGGACGGTAATAGTCAAGAGAACTAAAAGCTCAGAAGTGCACAGAGAGACACGAAGAGTTGCACGTTCGGAATTACATCTCGAGCGGAGGACAGGCGCAAGTTAGAGACGTCGCGTTGACTTGAAAGTACATTCGCTCGGGCAGGAAACATCGTGGCGAGCTGTTGATAGGCGATGGGGGCGAGAATGTTAACGAAATTCTAGAGTTGAAGCTTGCGTGACTGCAAGGAATCATACTGTTAGGTTTTTTCGGTAATGTCACGTAGGTAAAGAATAATAGAAATAAAATAATAAGAAATCGATTAATTCTAATTTATTATTTTAATTTAATTTATTTTATTTCTATAATTTTATACCTACGTGACTTTACCGACAAAACCTAAGAGTATGTTGACGAAATGGCAGCCAAAGGAAAGGACTCGTCCAAGAGGACGACCATCGCAGAGACGGAGCGGTGAAATCCGTGCACGTGTAGGAGCGAGGCGGATGGGAGCAGCACGGTGGCGAGATGTTAACTACCTCGTCTGAGATGTTAACTACCTCGCCTGGTATACAGGAGGTCGTGGGTTCCATCCCCACCCTGACGAAGCCTGTTGAATGTTTGAGAATTTGTCTCGCATCATCACGGTGGCTCGGAGATGTTAACTACCTCGTCTGAGATGTTAACCACCTCGCCTGGTATACAGGAGGTCGTGGGTTCCATCCCCACCCTGACGAAGCCTGTTGAATGTTTGAGAATTTGTCTCGCATCATCATCACGGTGGCTCGGAGATGTTAACTACCTCGTCTGAGATGTTAACTACCTCGCCTGGTATACAGGAGGTCGTGGGTTCGATCCCCACCCTGACGAAGCCTGTTGAATATTTGAGAATTTGTCTCGCATCATCACGGTGGCTCGGAGATGTTGACTACCTCGCCAGGAGGTCGTGGGTTCGATTCCGACCCAGACGCCTGCTGTGTATTTGGAGTTTGCGTGTCTCTCTCCCCCCACATGGTAGCGTGGATTTTTCTCGGGAGTCCATCGGTTTTCCCCTCCACATTATGACTCCTCAACACGCGTTTCGAGTATTTGGCTGCTGTAAAATTCCACGCGATAAGCCACTTCGTTGAGCTATCATTTGTGGCTGGTTCGCTTCAGAAACAGCGCTGTAACTTAGTGGACCTTACCTGGTAAAAAAACATTATATTTACAGTAGTTTTAGCACCGGACCGTGAAATGACGGTGGCGTGTGCGGTCTTCCACCCAGCGATGGATAGACCGAAACACAACAGCTGGTGATCAAACCCCCATCGCTGTATTTCATGATTGCTATCTTTATCAACACATGCCCACAACAATTCGAGGCTGATGGAATGAGTGCGATTTTGTGGTGTGGCAATTGTTCGCCTCTTGGATGGATGTATGCCAGTCATAGGAATGTGGAATATCCACCAGTGGCTTTGGCTGTTAATGGCAGCTGAACACCGGCTCACGATCGTGAAGAAGGGTAGGGGGAGCACGTGGAGAGAGGCATACATCTGCGGTGTGGCTTTACACATGGACGGCCTGCATGATGATGATGAGTGGCTAACAGTTGTATTTTGTATTCTTGGTTCTTTCGGTAAAGTCACGTAGAAGGAAAAGAATAAAATAATAAAAATGAAACAATAGCATTCTCACGACGTTTCGATTGCAACACAAGCAATCATCATCAGGTGTGAAAACCACAGCAAGAATATTTGAAAAAAGTGGCGGTTTTTCTAATTTTCTTGCTGTGATTTTCACACCTGATGATTGCTTGTGTTACAATCGAAACGTCGTGAGAATTGTATTGTTTTATTTTGATTGTTTCCCTTCTACGAGACTTCACCGAAAGAACCAAGAATATGAATCCCTGCAGTCACGAAAGTTTTAAATCAAAAAAAGTTGTCTTTTGATTCGATAGTCACTGCCCAGCGCCTATGTTGGATTCGTGACATGATGCCGCTAACGCATTAGTACGAATACTGATTAGCGGCGACTGATGTGGTGATTATGGAAATTGCTTGGATCATGTGCACGGGTATTATATGTGTAGTGCTACGAAGAGAGTTGCTCTTGCATTTGTTAATTGGGTCAGTGGCATCGTCTTCAGTTTGCGTTAGGGTTAATCATTTTCAACCCAACCGTGGTAGCTGTTGTGACTGGTTATTGTGTTGTGTCTGTTACGGTTAAGGATTAGCAGACTTGAGATATACAAAGAAAAGTTTACAGAATGGCTTTGTATTAACCCCCTCTCTCCCCCGTTGTCTTCTACATTAACATTAGCTGCCCCCGCTCACGCTGCTGACATACTTGGACTATGCCCATCCCTAAACCTTGATAAACAGTTTTTTGCCTTTGGAGGCTAACCTCCCCTTTTTCTGATGACGACCGCTTGTGTTGCGATCGAAACGTCGTGGGTTTAAAAAAATGTTCTATCCACGTGACTTTACCGAAAGAAAGAATATAAATTCCTGCAGTCACGAAAGTTTTAAGTCGATAATATACACTTCGAGTTACTGCTCTGGGGGGTTTTCTCCAGGTACTACTCTTGATTTCCTCGCACATTTTAAGAACTTGTTCATCGGCACTTAACTCAGGTTGCCGGCTTGCCTGTAGCCGGGAATTTGGTAGCGTGTGCCAACAGTGAAACAGCCTCTGCCACAACCCTCGGCCGGATTCGTACCCGTGCCGGCCGGGTTATTTACCTACGAGGCACAAATGAAGCAGTAGCAAGTGCCATGTACCCATAGTGTATTGTTATTGCAGTGGGTGTACTGCTTTGAACCTGGCGAACCATATTGATTCACGGCCAAGCCTAACATCAGTGGTGAGTGGCGTCTGACCTGGTCCTAGGACCCCGCTCCACCAATCCATGCTGACCATTGTGATGAAATATGGTCAAACAGCCCTCATAACAAAGGAAGTGCCTTCATCCTGCACTGGAATGACACAAGGGCTGTACATTATACCCATAGTGTATTGTTTTAAAACACAATTGCAGAGTACAGGGCCAAAAATATCAAGCGGCCAGCAATAAACAATACTATATAGCTAGGTGGTGGTGGCACATGCCTGTAATCTAGCACCGTCGAAGTAAGGTTTGGTGGGTCACACATGTTGTGAAACTCCCTTTCCGTGGGCATTAAACTGTCATAACCTGGATTGTCAACAGAATGCGGTACAGCAAATGTCAACACCATCTATCTATATGCAATGGGTGGAGTTGCCCCCTCGCATGCCAGCATGGGTTTTCTCTGGCTGCTCCGCATTACTCCCACATGCAAAACTCATCATTGGATGATTACACCTTAATATATAAGAGGACTGCAGAGCTTGGGACAGAATTTGCCTCTGGCTTATCGCTTGACTTCTTTTTTCGCTCGCCTTTGAGTCTTCGTGTCTCTGAGGCATTCTCTCTGTTTAAGAGTGGATACCATGCACGTTATGAGTTGAAATTGTTATAGTGGTGGCTAAATATTCTAATGCAGGACCCTTAAAAATTTCTATTGAGAATCGATAAAGCTTTCCTGCATAATTAATTGCCATAAGGTGAAGTGATAGAATCAGAATACGGCAGTTTCCCCCATGTTGGTATATTTGTAGCAAGTGCATGTGTAGTGCGTCTAACTGAGTCGCAGACGTTGTTCCTTTTAGAGGCAACACTTTTATTTGTAACACCATAACACAAAGGGGTAACTGCCCCTTTACCAGACTACAGCGAGTTACTGCTACGAAGGGTCGATCCCTCACTCGGGTCTCCGACCATGTGGTTGCCTCGTAAGACTGAGAGCTGCAACTTGAGACATAGAGCTTCCAGCTTGTAGCTGTAGAGCTTCCAGCTTGTAGATGTTGAGCTTCCAGCTTGTAGAATGCAGCAACCCTGGTCCCTCTCAGGGACCCGCCTTCTATCCCTCTCCAGTCGGGGCTGCTCCGCCCTCAGCCCGCCCGCCTTCTCGAACATTCTTGTTCCCCCTCCATCCTTCTCAAGAGCTCTCTCTCCGGACACGTGGCCCCCACGAGTCCCCCCCCCCCCCCCACCTGGGGCCCCCTGTATGGGCATTCCAGATCACGTGTCTACGGGGTCAACCAGAGTGGCACGGCCCGGGGCAACCCTGCCCCTGGGCTGACACTCACCCTCTCCCCCTCGGGGGAGCCCCCACCACACACTGTGCGTGGTGCCCGCACTATCCCAGTGCTCGCCAAGCCCCGCTAGGGCTGGTATTACACACAGCCACCCACACGGTGCTGTCCACGATGTAGGAACATCGAACGTCATGACCCTTTCGGGCCGGCACCATACAGTGAAATCCCCGATGTCACTACACCTGCACCGATACACTAATACAACACAAATTGGCGGTGCATGATCCAGCGCTGTGGAAGCAAGGGTGGATCAGTTAAGAGATGTGTGGCCTAAATCCCTCAGGCTGCAAGGTTGCTAGGTCAGTACAGCAAATGTGTTTGTAAATCCAACTGCTGATCTTTAATCATTATCCCCTTGTATGCGTTTGTCTCCAAATACGTCACGACCCACTGCAGGACTCTCCTGTAAAACATTTGCCAAACTCGGTGAAAGTTTACAGAAGCTGAACAAATTGAGGTGTTTAATGAGCCTCTGACCCAATCACCCCGAAAGTTTTTTATGGCTTTAATTTGACACAGGTAAAACCCATTGGGCAATAAATGCAATTTTTTTATGGGGACCTGAAATATCCCTGATCTCATCAGGCGATGGCGGAGTCAGGATTTTCAGGTAGGGGGGGGGCAACCCCTCCAGCAATGAAAAATGATAGGAGTTCTTAGTAAGTAAGGACTTGTGTTGCAATCGAAATGTCGTATGCGAGTATTTAATTTATTATTTTATCTTTATACGTGACTTTACCGAAAGAACCAAAGAGTAAGTGATGTATGTGTTCGAGGAACTCATGTTTTTGAGTGTCTAAATGTGGTCATATCTTAAGACACACTACAAAAGATTGAGGGAAGAGGTGTATGACATTTCGTAGAGGCGAGCAGCGTCACACGAGATGGTAAATGTGGGAGAGTGCTTGTAGGCGAGTCCGTAGAGGATCTGGCAGTCGCCTGATGAAGCTAGTTGTAATTACTGGCGAAACGTCACATTCTTTTTATGTGAAAACGCTTACTAATTGGCTGTGTTGGGTGGTGGCGGGTTTAACGACATTTACATTTACGCAATTAAAAAAAAACGAATTTATGGATCCGTAGAGGATCTTGGCAGATGGTGGGCGTGATCTTTCAATTGATTTGGTTTGGGTGCCAGTGGAGGGATCGGAGTATTGCAGATCGTGTTGGTGTCCTGTCCCGATTCCACCTGCTGCTGGTACCAACGTCGTGCTCTCTCATGGATGGCAGGAGCCGGGAGAGTTGCGGGCCGCCTAGACGGGAGCCGGTGCCATGGCCATCCTCTTCTCCGTGGTGGCGCGAGGCACCACCATCCTTGCAAAGCATGCCAACTTCAGCGGGAACTTCGTGGAGGTGGCGGAGCAGGTGCTCGCCAAGATCTCGCCCGAGAATGCCAAGCTGACGTACTCGCACGGCAGGTGGGTGTCTCCACGTGTCTCCTTTGAGAGGCGCGGAGACCAGGGATGCAGTTCGTGATTGAATTCTATTTATAACCAGATGGGGAGACCGTTTCGACTCGCCAAGGTCTGTCTGCAATGGAGACGTTTCAACCAAAGTATGAATTGTTATGGTGAGAAATGGGGATCGCGGAATCATTCGTGAGCTTGATGAGTGAGCAAGAGCTCGCTCAAACAAATCTTCAATCTGTAATTATGCACGTCATTGTGGAATTCACGCATTATCACTCTGTCGCGACTGCTCCAATATTTTGAATGAATCGGTCAATGCAGTGATGTTGCTGGATTCAAACTCGTGCAGGACACACAACCTAGGTGTGTATCGACAAGATAAGAGGTCTGTGCATTTGGGTTGCAGCTTCTAACCCATGAGGAAAGAAAAATGCGGTTAATGTTTCCTGACCTGGAATGGCAAGTCATCGAGGCAGATGTGGGAGCATACACTGAGATGGCGGCGCATAGCAGCATCCACAGTCCCTCTGCAACCCCTAGGGTCCCTCTGGGCAAAGCTCCCTAGCGAGAGCCCCCTTCCTCTCCCCCAGTCTCCACGGTAATGACCGATCTGATGCAGCCACGAGGTTGTGGCTGCCCCCTCCCTCAGTCTCCTCCTCCCACGAGGTTTTCTTGCTCTGAGGCCTTGGTGGGCAGGATCGGCCAAGGGGAAGCGAGGAGCCACAGGGCCCAAGTGCCATAGTTGGTGTTCCTGCATCACTCAGGGTAGCAGCACAAGTCTCATCTTGGGTCTCCTGCAGTTGGTCCAGCAAAATTCATCACAAGTCTTATAGCTGCGTTTATGACTGTTTATCGCCTACGGCAGTTGTAAGATTAACTCTTTGTGTTTCAGCTATCTCTTCCACTACATCTCCCAAGACAGAATCGTGTACCTGTGCATCACGGACGATGTAGGTGCTCGCACAGCCAATGTTTGTTTTTTCTCGTGAATGTTGAACTGAAGTCATGTTTCTGTGCTTGCGTTTCTCTGTCTCGGAGTGTCGTGTTGCTTTGCGTTGCTGTCCCTTGTTGCCCTGCCTTGTTGGCATTGTGTTGCCTTGAGTTTTATTTATTCTACCTTGTGGAGTTGTGCTGTGATGTCGTGTGTTCTTGTGGTGTCATGGTGTCTTGTATTGTCTGGTTGATGTGCAGTTGGTTGTGTCATTGGTTTCTGATTCCTTGTGTTGCTCCTGCCGTGTGACTTGCATTGCCTCGCGGTGCCATGTCATGTTGTTGCCTTATTTTACCACCTTGGGTTGCCTGTTAGTGTTGATTGTTCTTGTTGCCTTTTGGCCACGCGTTGCCGCGTCGTGTTCTAATTGCCACATCGTGTTGCTTTGTCGCGTTGCCGTATTGTCGTGCTCGTGTCCGCCGTGCTTTGTTGCTTTGTGGCGTCTTGTCGCCATATGTTGCTGTGGAGCATCGTATCGTCCCAACGTGTTTTGTGTTGCCGTGTCGTGTGACCCTGTCGTGTTTCCGTGTTACCGATCCACACGGTCCTCATTCCCCCTCAGGACTTTGAGCGCTCGAAGGCGTTTGCGTTCCTGGGCGAGGTGACGCGTCGCTTCCAGACGACGTACGGGTCGCGGGCGCAGACCGCGCTCCCCTACTCCATGAACAGCGAGTTCTCCTTCCGTGCTCGGGGCACAGATGGTGAGCGGGCGCGTCCCTCGACGTCCTCACACAAACATCTATTAACCCTCGCCTCCTCGCCTAAGCCTCCACACCCCAACGACCTCGCCTTCCCATCCTGGTTTCCACACTCCTTGCAATGTGGACTTGTATTTACTTTGAGTAAATTCCTTTCCTATACTTGGCACTCCGATCGCTGTTTTGCATTGTTTGTTGTTGTAAGTTCTTGACCCGCCGCTGCTGGACATCTGTGAAAAATAACTTTGTAGCGCATCGGATTCCTTCAGGTTGATAAAGATTCTGATTCTGACACTCCAGCCCACGATGTAGTCCATACCCTAGTCTCCTCAATGCGCTTGCCCCCAAACCTCCACAACTGAAGCTCCTCGCTCCAAAATACTCACGCCCAACCACTTCACCCAAACTGTCTCGCCGTCTGTTGCCTCCGTCTCGCCCCCCGTTGTTCTCACCGTCTCTCGCGGCGTTTCCCATTGTAGTTCCAGCTCTTACGTACCACACCCCCCTCCCCACCCCGTCCCTCCGCAGCGCCACTTCTCGGAGGAGAAGAGCACGGAGCGACTGTCACAGGTGCAAGGGCAGGTGGACGAGCTCAAGGGTATCATGGTGAAGAATATCGGTGAGTGGCACCGCTTGCGTTCACTTCCCAGTCGCAGTACTTCCCGGTTTCGGTTCTGCAATGTTACAAACGTTGTCAACGTGCAGATCTCTGTTGGTTCACTGCCGGATTAAGGCCTCCCCATTGCCATGTCCGGTTGTGGGTGTTGTTTGGCCATAATTCGCCACGCTTGTAGTGTAGGTTGGCGGATGCGGTGGGGGGGGTGTCCACGACTGGTTCAGATGTCACTTGCCACTGATGTTAGCCGTGAACGAGGAATCAAGCTCCTGTTGCTGGGCTCATAGAATGTAATGACGGATAAAAATATGTATTCCATTGAAAGTTTTAAGTCATCGGAGGTTGAATTTGCATTTATTGAGTTTTGAGTTAAACATTTTTACGTTGCATGGATGGTCCCGTTTATCCAGTTGCCGGGCTATTTAACACGGAAGATCCGTGGTGCTGCGTGAGCACAGCAACAACAACAAAACAAAAGCATCGATAAGGAATATTGCACAACTAAGAAACGTATTTAACAGCTGTCGTAAACGACCATATTTATCCACACTAAGTGGAAAACTCAACTTCAACGTCATTTTTTTCTGCAATAATTGTTAACTAGGCCGATAACACTTACACCTGCTTTAATCAAGATCGGCTTTAAATCAGGATTTCAGCTCCTGGCCTGAGCGGTGCCGGCTCGGAGCGTCTGACCTCTGGTGTTTTGACGCGAGTGCCGTGTCGCGTGCAGTGACTCTCCCCCGAGCCACGTGGTTTATTTTTTCTCTTCTTTTACATTCTTTCTCCAGACCTGATCGCTGATCGGGGCGAGAAGCTGGAGCTGCTGATTGACAAAACGGAGAACCTCGTGGATTCGGTGAGTCCACAGGGGAGTCCCGATCCCCGCGGCGTCGTTGCGCGACGGACGGAGCGACAGACCCCCTGTAACTCGGTCTGCACAGCTGTGCTTCGAGCTTCTTGTGAGATCGCTGGGCAGCCAAACCACAGCCACCAGTGGCACGGTGGGAAACGCGCGTTATGTGCATCATCTCAGCCATTTAGTCCATACCGCCTCGGTCTGCCCTGTGGGCAAGCCTTAGACACTGTCGTAAGACGTTAAAGGTGGCGAGTTGTTAACTCCCTCGGGAGGTCGTGGCTTTCATGTTGACCCCAATGCCGAGTATATTTGTGGTTTGCGTGTCTTTCTCCCCGTGGTCGCGTGGATTTTTCTTCGGGTCCTCCGGTTTTTCCTTCCGCATTAAGAAACGTGCTTTGAGAGTATTTGGCTGTTATAAATTTGCACGTGATAAGCCGCTTCTTTGAACTATCATTTGTGACCATGTCAGCTATGTAAAAGAGCTATATAGCTAAGTGGGCCTTACCTGATAAAATAAAAATAGTTTATGTGCATCCACCAGTAATCTAAGACATTTAGTCCATACCGCCTGGGTCTGCCCCGTGACCACCTGTGGGCAAGCCTTGGACACATAACGTGGCATTTAAATCAGACTTGGCTTGTCACGAGCTGTGTTGACGTCACCGCGGCTTTAGTGGAGAATGGCATTTGTTGTCTTGTGTGATATCCGTGAGTGTGACTGAGCATTTGCGATATCTAAGCTGTATGTGATATGTTTGAACATCTGTGAGCTGTGATGTCTGTGAACATATGTGATCTCTGTGAGCGTGCCTCTGCTATGTCTGAACTTCGGAGCTGCTGTTATGTCCATGAGCATCTGTTAATCTGTGATGCACCTCGTATCTCCTCTGTGAGCTGTTATGCCTGGTCATCCATTCGTGAGTGTGTCAACTGTAGAGCAGGGATTTTTTTGTCCACTATCTTTTCCCGAATCTACAAAACAAATACATATCCGTGCAAGCAGGCAGTGGCTTCCGCATCGCTTACAAAGTCTCTACGCACTCGCAGTGTAAACATTCCGCACGCGACACGGCGTGCAGTGCGGAGCCTCGATCGCTCTTTTGTAACCCGCGGCATTCTTGCACGTCACCATCCTGCTTATTCAGAGCACAGGCTGCAAATTCAGATGTTGGGAATTGCGTTTTAAATAATATATTATGTGCTGGTGGTCGTGACGGTTATGATTTTGACAGGATCGTGGTATTGATGATATGATGATGATGAGGTGATGCGATGAAAATGCGGAGGTTGATGATACCAATGATCGCCAGTGGTTTTATGTGACCTGGAAGGTGTTTTTTACGTGTCTGATGGCGGTAATGATAATCATGATATTGATGAACATGATCATGATTGTGGTGTTGGTGGTGATGGCATCAATAATGATACTGATGATGGTTTTAATGATGATGGATTTTAGGATGTTAATACATTTTCTGAGAACACTTGTGATGATTGTCCTGCTGATAATGGTAATACTGACGTTGATGATGACACTTCTGATGATGTTGCTGCTGTGGATTATTAGAATACTTATACATTTTGTGTCTGGTGTGATGATGGTGAAGATGACAACTCCAATCTCTATTTACAAAACTTAGTGACTTTCATACGCTACTGATGATGATGGCGATCGATAATCATGACAACGGTGATGACACGAGCATGACTTTCACGTCACTGACGATCGTGCTGACGAGAACAATGAGAAGCCCGTTTCCTGTGCTCCGTACGTTATTAACGTCTCCCCCCCCCCCCCTCTCCCGGTCTGCACGTTTTCAGTCGGTGACGTTCAAACGCTCCAGCCGGAACCTCGCGCGTGCCATGTGCATGAAGAACCTCAAGCTGACGCTCTTGCTGGCCATTGTGGCCATTGTGAGTAGCGACGCCGGCCGCGTGACACCGCTCGTGTTGATGTCGTCGTATTAGGTGTTGTTTAAAAATAATTCTTCAGCTTCCTCGTGCCAGCCATCGTCCCTGCTGGCGACGCGTCTTTATGGGTCTTGCCAGTTTCATTCCGCGTGCAAGAACGAGGAAGTGGCCAACGCACGCCAAGCGGCATTCTTCTGACAGACGTCTTAAGGCTCATTTGAGGTTTACATTGTCAACATCGGCATCATTAACAGCACCAGCAGCGACCACGATCCATCCACTGCTGGATGAAGGCCTTCACAAGCCATTGGTCCTGCAGTGTGAACGATCCATCTAGTTCGGTGTCTTTTTTGTACTGGAGGAATCCGATGAGCTGTGAAGCTCTTTCTCACGGATGTCCAGTAGTTCCTTCTCGTGAGTTGATCTCTTCAGTCCCGAGGTGGATGTCCTTGAGGGTACGTTCCCTCCTTGAGCTACCCCTGCATCTCGGCCACCGGCCGACACTCCTGCCAGCGATGCATCTTGCCCCAAGCGCCCTTTTTTTCTTCTTCACAGTCAATACGAAATTTTTAACTCGCGTGCGTTCCCTAACCCATCTGTCTTCGCGACCTGCACCTTGGCGTAATTGCAAGCATGCACCTCCCACGCTTCTTAACGACTCCCGTGTTTTTGTTTTTACTCGCGTATGAACTGTTGTTGTTCCTAGACGGGTTGCCGAGCTGAGTTTTGATGCTGTGACCCCCTCTTGACGCTGGATTTTTTATCCTCTTCGCCCAGGTCATCATCTACTTCATCGTGTCGGCGGCCTGCGGGGGCCTGGCGTGGCAAAAGTGCGTGAAGAAGTGAGGACACGGGGCGACACGGGCAGACGGAGGAGAGGGGGTGGGGGGAGGTGGCTGGGTGGCCCTCGTTCTGCAGATACCGGGCGGGGGGGTGGGGTGGAGAAAGAGGATGTGAATGAGGATCTCGCATCCTCCCGTCCTTCGCTTCTCCGCCTTGGGTGAAACAAAAAAAACCTCATGACGGTACCTGCTCCGCTATAGCTCAGACTCCACTCCCCTCTCCAAATAAAGGCCGCTCCTGACAGTGTCGCTAATTGAATCTCGTGGCAGCAGCGCGTGGGAGAGTGGTGGCGCGTCTCGCCAAACGTGTGCTGCTGTTATTTTTCTTCTGTGCATTTTTGCGCTTTTACTGACGGGCGAAAAACCGGCGAGGGTTGGAAGAGCGGCTGTTGGAGTGGACCCACGTACTAACGTGGGCGGGTAATGATTTATAAATTAAAACGTAATGGTTGCGCCCGCTATACAAGCATCCACTCGTCTGCACGAGATTGGATTATTTACAATTCATGCGAATGGTCTGCTCTTACGTTTATGCAAATGGCAGCGAGTGAAACTGCAAAGGAGACTGGGAAAAAAATAGAGAATGCAACGAGGTGTTTAAGTACGAAACAAAAGGCACGGATTTGTTGTTAAAACCCATGCCAATTGGTACGCAGCATCGCCATCCATCGAATCACCTGGGTCGGTGAATCTTTGCATGCCTATCACAAGGGGCAGGCGTCTTGGAGTCTGCGTGTCTCCCTCTGTCTTCTTACCCACACTTGCTGTGAAGCAGTGCGGGAGATGCTGAGAAGCAGGTGACACCACGGATCCATATGCGGTAGATTTAACTTTCGCATCCTTCAAACCTTTCTCGCCGAATCCCGTGTTAGTGTTCACCTCTACAGCCTTAAGTAGTGGTGATAACGAAGTCTTACTACGCGTCCTTGAAAAAGTTGACCTTCAAACCGGGCCCTGGGGAGAGGCACGAGGGGTTGGAGTTTGCATACCTGTCGACCCCTTCTCGGTGCCCGACCATGTTACTGACCAATTCAGAGCTTATTGGTCACTCCGTGCCCTTATGAATCTCAATGCTCATCTTACAAAGTCCCATCACAAGGGAGAAATAAACAAATAGACGAACATATTTTGTTTGCCTGTAACGAAACGGCTGTACGCCTGTATGGACCTGTGAACTCAATTTCCCTGTTCAAGAATACGGGCTAAACCGGTTTGCTTGGCCGGTATGAGTTTGAGAAGCCTCCGTCTTGGTTCTGTCGTCAAATTTGCGATTTTGTCGCCACCAAGTGGGAAAAATGTGAAGGTGACGAGCGACATTCAGCGAATTTTTGTGGGCCGAGGATGTGATGCAGATACACACATATAGGAGCGATTCCAGTGAGGTATGAAGAAATAATGATTCGTTTACGTCGTGTAACGCTTGCTAAATTGTCTAGTTACATGGCTATCGGTATGGTTTAAGGATCCTGTATCGGTTTACGATGTGTGATGCTTGGTAAATTGTCCTGTGATATTCTTGACAGCTTTAAGATGGTCTATCTAGTTACTCGGTTGGGTTGGCCACTTTCAGGATTTGGCAACGCCTTTGCTGGCGGTGCCTTTTAGTTCTAAACTCTCCTCCCCCGCCATCTCTCTCGCTTCCCTCGCTAAGAAACCCCCCCCCCCCATACTTGACCCTTCTCCACCCTGTCCCACCACAGCCACCCGTCCAGTGAAGCTTACCGACTGGTGGTACCGTTGCGACCGACCGGCGGAGCAGCGCTTTGCCGTCGTCGTGTTAAGCACCGACGCGTTGCCGATTGTTAATTCTCATCCGCGGTCCAGTCGCCGCCGAGATCCTCTGTTGCCAAGGGCGATGCGGAAGGCAGATTCTTGTGGGTGCTGCCTGCTGCTGCTGAGCATTACAAATTCCTTCTGCGCACTTGCGCTTGTTGCAGCCGCGTCTTCGGAGCAGTTTACTTAACAGTGAATGTTTGTGCCACGATCGCAGCCTCGCGCTCATGCCGATTAGCCAAATGCGTTGTACTGTCCATCTTGGGGGGTTCTGTTGAGTGTTGGGTGAGTTCAGCGGTTAGCCACGCCCTCCCCGGATTATGCAGATCGCAAGTTCGCTTCTCCACGTCGTGCACTGTTCCGGTGTGTTTGACTCGCCGGCCGGTTTCAGGAACCGCTAACTGTGCCGCTTGGTTTAGCGGAATGCCGTCATTGCCGGCCGTGACTCGCAGTGACGGCACCGTCGAAGTTCGCAAGCGGCCAATCGTTGGCGCGACTCGCGCTGTGACGCATGCCGTTGCTGGATTGTTTTTTTTTAGCAGTGTCTGTCCGGATCCTTTGCCAGGAAGGATAAAGAGCAACACCACTCTCCCGTTTTTACTCCCACGCTGTCTTTCTCTCATGTGCAATCTCTCGTTGACACGGCCTCTACTCGGGTGTCGCCCGTGGTTCTCGTCGCCCGCTCCGTTGTTCCGAGTCTGTTCCCCGTTTTTCCTCGCGTTATCTACTGCAGTGAACGGCAGCGTCGACCGCCCTTAAAGCTGTTGCTGCACATACGAACTTATCGTCGAATCATTACTTACTGTGTTTTTTAGTTTCACCTGAGAAGTTGTAGATTGCCTATTTTATTTATCCGTTAATCGATGCTTCTCTGTTACCACGTCTGTCTCGTCGTGTCACTCGTTGGGCGTGGAGGAGTATCACCTGAGTGTTGTGAGCGTGCCATCCAAGTCGGCCCCGTTCACGTTCGCACCGCTTTTGTTTCAAAGCTTTCCCAAATTTTTATCCCCATTGCTGCTTTTGGGTTTCGCGTCACGAGACACGAAGCATCCATTTGGATGTTTAAAAGCAGTGCCACCCTTGTTGCAGAACGGTCGACAGATGTGGATACCACAGCAACCTCTGAGATTCCCTGAAGTGACCACTGTTGCACACAGAAGAGGGGGTAACACTTTCTCTGCACGGGAGCGTAATGTGACGCCGCTTGAATGTAGCCAAATTGAGTGTGGAACAAAATTTGACGCTATATTGGACTTGTGCCGTGATTGGTCAATGGGCTGAGACCATAGACTTCACTGTACCAAAGGCACCCGTTAAAATCGCTTGCGGCCTGCCTAAATTCAAACCCAGGCTATCAGTGGTGAGGGCTCGGCGCTGTCACCTGAGCCTCCACCCAGTCACAGGCTCCTGGTTTTTAATACCCAGACTTCACTCAAACGATTCCACAACGCGTTTCGCCTGTAGATCTAACACCCCCCCTCCATCCCAGCATACACGCGAGACCGAAACAATCGCGTTTTTCTCCTTGACTGATGGTCGTACGAAGGAACGGCAAGCCGGTTATTTGCAACAAAATCTGTCCGAGCGTGTCAAATTGGTGGCGAATGCACCCCTCCCAAACCCTCCGTGCTGCGGGACCTTTATGGGGACGATTTAGTTTGCGTCGCTGCAGATGTCTTGCATTGTTCGTTGCACCTTTAGTGCCATGTGTTATTTCCAGTTGCAATTAAAATTTTCTTGTGAATATATTTGCCGTGTCATTTTGGACTCCCTTCTGCCTTCTTGTTGACTCCTGGCTTGTGCCAAAATGTATATTGGTTAATTTGTAATGTTATATGTAACTCAAGGTGTGCAGTGTTTGTTATGGTTTAGTAATTTTAGGACAATTTCGCATCTAAAAATTTAACGTTACCGCTTTCCCCTCCCAAAATAACAGGTTAGCATGTTGGGTTTTTATTGGTAGGAACCTCCTGGTTACACCTGCCCACGGGATTATTGTGTCCGTCGTGCAGGGAGGGGCTGGGTCGTGAGGGGCTGGTCACCCCGTGGTGCCCTTATAAAACTCGACGTTTAACCTACTCACGCCGGCTTGTGCCTGCCCTTAGTCGGGCATATTTGCGAGCAACCCAACGTTCCTACCAGCTCCCTCCGCAGGAATGTGTTTTTGGCCAAATGTTACAATGTTTGTCTTGTGTTGGTTGCAATTTGTACATTTTACAAAATTTTCGCTGTTTTTGTAACAAAAGGCCTATTTTTCACTTTCAAGCAAAAAAACCTAAATTATTCACTTTAGTGCATTTTATTCCTGGCCACTGATATCAGCCGTGGCCGGGAATGGAACACAGGTCTCCGAGCTCAACGCAGTGCGCTCATTACCATGCCGCCACTCTTCCACCCCAAAACATTAACTCAAAAATGAAAACACACAAGCATTGTTTACAAATACCGTTTAATACTTTGCAAATATACAGAAGTAACAAAACAGTTTTCTTTAGCGAGAGTTCGGGACGTTTTACAAGCCAACTATCTCTGAGAAAGCCACCGATTAATAAAGGAAGTCTCGACCTGCACCACAAACAGCTGCATGTCCTGGGCTGCTTTCACACAACTTTGAAACCTTGATGGGGAATTAATCATCCAGCAATATGCACTTCCTTTGTAATCCGTGGCAGGCATTAGCATCACTTCATGTCAGGCCTCAAACTGACTTCCCAACCTCCAATATATAATATTGCAAATCACCCTGGAAGGAGAGAGACTGTAAAGATCCGATCGGGCATATCACCCTACCGCGCTGGTGACGTGACTGCACTGACATGAAACCGCACTGGACTAGTGTTGCAGTGAGCGGCCTCGAACTGTGGTGGAGGACCAAATTGTAATTTAAGTATGTTTTCTCTTACTAGCAAAAGTTGCAAACAGCTCAAGACAGTCTAGGTATATTCAAGGTTATAGCATGTCTTCCAGCTGTCCAATGTTCTTCCACATTATCCAGCGTGTTGGCACGATGTCCAACGTTTCACTCCATCTGATGGGAGCTTGGTCAGGACCTGAATTGAACATGTGTACAACCCAACAATACATTGGAGAGCTACAAGACAACTAAAAAAACCCGCAAAAATCTATGCAGCATGTCTTCTAGGCTGCATCTTCCTTTAATGACAAATGGAATTAATATTCCCAATAAGCTTAAATCCACAATTATTTATCGCACGTGCACTCACATTCACACATACCACCTCCACCACAGATAGTCACTAGTTTTCTTTACGTCAGCAAAAAAATGTGCTTCTAATGTTAACGAGCCCAGACACTCGCCAAACCGTCTCCTCCAATTTCCGATCAGCGAAGTGGAGGATGAAGAACACCGGGATATTTTTGGAATGTCGCCGACAGCAGAAACAAGTACATGTAGAAGGTGGCCGAAAGGTCAGGACACACGGTTATATTTATTTTAACAAATCTTCAAACTGCCTTCCATTAACATGAATGCACGCATATTTTGAAATGATTACTGCTGTAATCTTTGAACATTCGGCAATTGTTTTGTCAATTTATTCAACGGTTCTTGGTCGAGTTTTCTAAACGACAGTTTTGAGGTGACCTCGCATGAAGAAAAAAAATATATTAATAGATAAAATATTTACTTAAATAAAACAATTAAAATGCTTTCATGCCAGTGTTAAATTAAACAACCCTGTGTGTCCTGACCTTCCAGCCACCCAGTCTAGTTATTTTGATGTATTATGCACCGCTAATTGGAGGTATTAAAAGTGTGGATGTGCAGCACACCACGAAGGGACCAGGACGGTCATTTTACTTTTTGTAAAATGGCGGTGTGGCGGTGCCTCTGGTGCGGCCTAAACACCGTGGTCATGCACACAGGAAGGAGACTGGATGCAAAGGGTTCCTCGTGCCATGACGATCTTGCATGGGAAAGAAGTGGAAGGCAGGCCCAACCTGCTGGCAAAACGTAGGTGCTGCTAATGGAGAAAATGGTAAATCTTTGACACACTGGACGTTCCTTGATGCCAATGTCAGATATGCTTCTTGTCAAGTCCTTAAAAAAACCCAGCGTGTTTTGGCAAGGGGAAATGTTTTTTTGCACATTTTTGTTAGGGTCTTGTACGACCGTTCATTCTCGAGTTACAAGCCGATTGACGAACATCTTTCAATTGTTCTGCACAGACGACGATATGGATACTTGCGTCTGCTGCCACGAACGCAACCCGCTTCGTGAAAATTCTCCCCTTTTAGAAAACAACCCGTCGTAAGTAAGCGCCGCCAATCGAAGGGAAAAAAGAGTACATTCTTCTAAAGAGTTTTCTCTTAAATTAAAACGGACAAAAAAACCAAAACCAGATACAAAATAAAACCGGGGAAAAATAAATCACAAACACAACGAAATGAGAGGATTGCACTTTAAAACCGGGGTGTGGAACCTGCCTTTCGCAAGGCACTGCGGGCACACGAGGCCTCCTGCTTCAAAATGGCCCGCAAATCACATTAATCCATCGCTGCACGCAGCATCTCGCGGTTGCATTAGTCAGTTACTCGAAGGGAATGTTACCCACCTGGAAACAGTGTTTCTAATGCTATCACCCTCAGTCACTTCTGGCAATACAAGACCCTCCCCTTTATACTCGGTCGACATTATCATTGGATAATGTTAGTATTAATGTTTGGCCCGCCAAAGGTATTTGAAAGTTCTACCCGGCAATCGGTAAGAAAAAGGTTGCCCCACCCCCTGTTTTAAAACAAAACAAGGACAACAATAAATCGTGACGCGACTGCGACGCAATAATCGTCGCTTCGATTCGGTCGTGCGGGGACGAGAGATTGAATTTTTGTCGCACGAGACGGAAACAACACGGACACCACGCATCGTCACTACACGCGGACGTTGTAAAACCAACAGAGCCCCTGGGTGAAGTTCCATCCCAGCGCCAACGACAGCACGTACAGAAGCGCTAGTGGTGCCATGGGGTACAGCAGCAGCACCTGTGTTCTTCAGGAATGGCAGCACTGCGTCACGCACGCACAGGAATACACGTGCAGCGCTTTGTGAATCTACCACTCAACGCTGTTACTCAGCATCGCATTTATCACAGCGGTAGGGGCCATCCTATTTAGTATATACGCAAAAATCTGTCTATACTTTACCCCTCTCCCCCCTCCCTGTACACACGTGTACTTTTTACACCCCCACCTGCGTACATATGCCTGACATCCCCCCCCCCCAATCCTATAGAACAGCTGATATATAATCCACGCAGAACGATCAATGATAAATAATATTAACCGCCAGCTGCATTATAGAAAATTTTAAATAAATAAAAACTACGACGTTTCGATCACAACACAAGCTATGGTCATCAGGAGGAAGAAGGGATTATTATCAAGGCTTCATCGCCCCCCCCCCCATTTCCTATGCGTATGTACATTGTCAGTAGACCCCCATACGCAAGCGTACGCATTTGGGTTAACCTCCCCCCTCCATGCGTACGTACTAAATGGATGGCTCTGTATCATATCGCTCAGTCACATAAATGTACGGGCCCCTTATGTCAATCCATTGCCGGATGTGGCGCTCAATGTCGTGTAGGGCATGGTTCGTGCGGGTTGGTGAAGGCAGGGAGCACAAAAGCGGGAGCACAAGTGCAGTACAACAATGGATTTTGCTTCACTTGTGCAGACCCACGGTCTATAGCCTTCACACCAATCGTGTAGTGGTCACTCAATCCAAAAACAACCCAGGCTCAACTCGCTTAGTTTTTAAATCGGCTACATTCTGAGTGATTTGGTCATAGGCTGAATGACATTATCATCGGCCATGTTCATTCCACTGCTGGACAAAGGCCTCCACCAAGCCAGTCCGCCACCTTTCCTGCAATGTAATAATCCACTCTGCACCCACAACACACTGGCCAATTTCAGCATTTCGAGAGGACATCCTGAGGTCATTATTCTTAACCACCAGGCCATCATCCCTCCTAAGCGACGTGTTCTGCCAAACTAGTAACCCACTTCGTAACTACAGACAATCCATATGCAGATATTGTAAAGTGTTTGAAACGTAGCATCTGAAGTTGTCGAACCTCTCAATCTCAGATTACTCGCGAGTTGCTGTGCTGCCGTGCTCACCGTTGTAGCCAAGGAAGGTGATGTAGATGTAGTAGCCGATGGCGACGAGCCACAGCGTGTTTCCCACGAAATATCCGATGAACCAGTCCTGAATGATGACTCCTGCACACAGAGGAGACATGACTACATCAGCCGCGGCGTGCGCCGACACAGAAAACTTTCAGTACACTTTGATCTTTGAGAATAATTTTTCTTTTCCCCAAAATGCTATCCTGGTTGGGCTATCGGCATCAGTGTCGCGAGACAAAGAATCCGTTTGGAACTTTCTCAGGGTAGCATAACGCATAGAGGACGGTTCCGGATATCACGAAACAGCTTTTTGAGATCCCTCCATGTGACCTTTGATCCACACAGTAGGGGGGGCAGCACTTTCCCACCCACTCACGCCGTTGCAGAAAAATGTTGCATGATAATCAAACCGTTAGTTATAATTCTCAAAGGTGGAACTCTGCCAAAGCAAGCTCAGAGCCAAATTTATTAGATTTTTTTTTCTATGCCCATTAATGAGTGGGCTTAGAACATCAACTCCCTTAAATTTAGGAATCACGTTTGTATCACGAGGTTCTCGGCTGTGGCGTACTATTGATGAAGAACAGCTGGATGAAGTGCAGGATGACGAGGAGCGGGAAGAAGGCGTTGAGGTGAACATCGAACGCGTAGCCCCACTCGACGTCACTCTCCCGTACGCCGCGGCCCATGAGGTATCGATTCGATATCAGCCTGGATCAATCACACAAAGAAAAATATTCCTTATATAGCCATACAGCCTCTTAGGTAAAGTCCTGTTACCAAGCACCTATGAGATCCAGCACGGTTCACAAATTAGTGTGGCCAGCACCATTCCCTGCCAACTCTGTCTCCCCAGTGCTAATGCTTCGAAACCGCACCTGGTACTCATTTAAAATTGAGTTGGAACAAAGGCAGGCCCAGGATTGGTACAGATATTCACCACTGATGTTAGACACTACTGCTTCCCACTACATAACTAATGCAGTGATTAGGAGGCCATGGTTGGTGGATCAGAGAGATGTGAAACTCAAGACACCACACCAGGTACGTTTTAAGGTTCAGATATTCGCTATCGATGTTGGCCATGACCAGAAATCGAATTTGGGTTGCCAGGTTCGTATTATTGCAGTGTGCTCACCACTACTTTTCTGCACACATATACACAAAGATAAAGATCCCCTGTATAGCCTTAACAGACTGTAGGAGCAAGTGCTGTTAGCGAGCACCTATGAAGGCCGGAACGGCACACGAGGGGGTGGGTGGCCAGCACCACGCCCGACCGCCTTTGTCTCCCCAGTGGCGATGTTTACACACCACACCAGGTACTCATTTTAGGCTGAGTAGACCTAGGGGAGGCCCAGGACCGGTTCAGATAATCGTCACTGGTGTTGGCCATGAGTGGGAATCGAACCCGGGTCGCCAGGTTCATAGCGCAGCGCGCTAACCGCAACACTACCGCTCCCCACAAATACATATACACACACAGCTATACACACACAACGTCCTTCTGCCCAAAGTTGGAGGGAATGGAGCCACCCACCACATGAGCGTCGATATGAGAAGCCCCACGCCGATGCAGTCGATGAACACGACCCACAGCAGCAGCTTCAGAGTGTTCAGGAAGCTCATACTCAGCACAAAGCCGAACCCCAATGTCGACACTAAGACACAGCGACGACAAAAATAACCTTCATCCAGAACACACACAATAGGCAAGTACCACGGTTCAAATAATTCTTAAAACTGTCTGTAATGAAACGGAGCTGTCTAGCTAGTGTAGCTGATGGTCTCAATTCAGTCACCAATGATTCCAGAATTTATTTTATAGCTGTCACTCATTTTGGATTTTCCAGCTCAAAGAAAAAAACATGACTTTGCCATGTGACACACAACTCTACAGCAGGGCATGCGCATAAGAAGGTGCACCACCTGTTAATGATCAGTAGCAATTCAAGGGACCTCAGATTGTAGTTCTGCAAAGTTATCTTCCAGAGAGCATTCAGAATCAAGGGGTGATATCACACTGCTTTCTGCGAGAGTTCCGAATTAAAATATCTTCATCTCATTCTATTCCTCCACGTCTCCAGCAATGTATTTACAAAGGGATGGACTCTACATTGCAACATTATGGTGACATCGACATTAGAATACAATTGAGAATAACACACAAATTAGCTTAGAGGACAGTATATAATTTACATGCAATTTAACGAGGTAATTTCATTCCACTTGTAATATGTAATTATCTCAATTTCAAAGTAATTGGTAATTGTATTTAAATGACACAAGACATGGCTAACTGGTAAATTTCATCTACATAACGTAATTCCACTAATTTGTTATTTTAATGAATTTTTCCCATCTCTGATGTTTTATTTATTACGAGCTTAACTTTCGAATTTTACTCATTCTGATTCGCGATGTTTTCCACTGAGCCCGCAGATTGGAACAGTCTACCTTAAAGAAGCAAGAACCATTCGTTCTATCCACAGATTCAAATTTTATACACTTAAAAAATCATCAGGAACTGATGAAGGCACATCCCCTATAACCCCACACACAGGAGGGGTGACGCCTGGCTCAATGTCCCATTAGGGCTCCTGCCGGCATAAGCTAATTAAGATCAAGTTCACGACCTCGTCTCCTGCTTCTCACCACACAGCCAGACGCTGAGCAGCACGAGGAAGGCAGGGTCATCCCTCGCCCACTGGTCCTTGGTCTGCTTGCGGTAGTGGAAGTTGCGGTAGACCTTCTGCGGCGCCGTGAACAGGTAGAGCATCTGCCACGTCGCAAACTCGAAGTCCATCTGGCGGAAGCGCAGCAGCCTGCGCAGGTAGCGCGAGCGCTTGAAGCAGGCAGTAGCCGGCCCCGCGTCGCGCCCGTTTGCCCGTGGCTGGTTCGACGAGGGCAGCATTGCGGCCTGACTGCCCCCGGCCTCTCAGCTACGATGGGGCTCCGGATGAGCTGTCAACGAGCGAGTTGGGTGTAGACCTGGGTGTCAATTATAGGTACAATTACAGCAAGCATTGTTAGCAGAAATTACAACATTAGGACTGTTAATTATTAAGGTAGGTATGCTGAACTTCTTTCGCGCCGTACGTAGCCAACCGTGTTAATCGGAGGTGTGGGACAATGACAACTGACATAATGACAATTGTAATTGACACCTGGTATAGTTAAAGGGTGGGTGGCTCAGTGGGTGAATGTGACTGTATTCGCGGGTTGGTAGGGGAATTAGTGGATTTGTGTTTAGATGGGTGGCCGAGTGAAGTGCACCCAAATGAGTTGGTTGGACTGTTTGGCGATAGATGGGGTGAGTCAATCAATGGGTGAGTAAACGAGTTAGTGGGTGAGTGTAACTTCGTGGTTGGGATCGTGTGTTAGTGTCGGTAGGTGAAGGGGTGGGCAACTGGGTGAATGAGTGCTTTATTGAATGGAATGCATTAACGTGACGTCTGGTGTGTACCAACGGTGCTGGGCGTAGTTATATTGTGTACGTAAAACAAAACAAAAGGCTAACAAAAATGAAACGGTCAAATTGTGAACTGCTGGAGATGATTCTTCTTCTTGGTTCTTTCGGTAAAGTCACGTAGAATGGAAATAATAAAATAATAAAAATAAAACATGCTGGAGATGAGATTGGAGGTATAATTTCGAATAGTTGGAGGGCTATCCCGAGTGACTGGTCGTCTCGTTGGCTATGCCTGTGAAGGTGATGATCAAGTTGGAGAGCCAAGTGCTCGCTTGGCTACGGAAGGGCAGGCGTTTGGCTCGCTTGCGTGCTACGCTCAAAATCGCATGCCCCCCTCTACCTTCTCCTTGCAATGTTTGACCTCTTTCATATTATATTCTTGGTTCTTTCGGTAAAGTCACGTAGAAGGGAAATAATAAAATACAAATATGAAACAATAAAACTTCTCACGACGTTTCAAAACTTTTTCATATTATTTTAGTTTCGCATTTCGTCCACGACGTCCACAACTTTTCGCGTACAAAGGGTGGCTCGGCTCACGCCTTGTGATCCAGCACTTTGGAGGGCAAGTGTTGGTGAATCACGCTCAGATGTGTTTGTGTGTGTACCCCTGAAGCTCTCAAACCCCGCTGTATTGTCGGGGAGATCGCCAGTGGGAGAAGATCCGTAGATCCGCCTGTGCGGACGTTCCCTCCCCAACCCCGTCACGGACAAGATGACATTGCCCCAAATATAAATACGCAGGCGGTGTGGTAGTGTATCTGCAATTTACCGATCTCTAAAAAAAGGAATTGGGAACGGAGAAATCACTTAAAAGAGAACTTTAATCTCTAATCGGCCGCGGGGAATCAACGTCACCCCCTCCGATCCGTCTCGCACGCGATGCCACTAATTAGTGGAATTGGCCACGAATTATTGTAATTGGCGATGTAAGGAGAACCCCTCCTAGAAGCTATAAAATAGTATTGAGGCTCGGGCTTACGTGGGCATCGCTCTACTTTATGAGACTTACATTTGCAAAATGTTGCAAAATGTAAAGTCTGAGGGGGTTTTGTAGAAAATTATTCGACGAAGCGATGCGAATTTAAACAGCTCAGGGCTGTTTTACTCGCGAATATTTGTTTTTATCTTTAACCAAACATCAACATTAGAACATAAACAAACATAAACCTAAGAACACAAACAAATATAAAAATAAAAAATAGCCGCGTTAACGAACAACAAAATGATACAGCGCATAAGCAGCATCTCCCGAGAACCGAGCAACCCGATTGGACCCGCGCTGCAGTCACGTGCGCGGCGCCGGCCAATCAGCGCGCCGACTCGCGCATCCTCGCTACGATTTACAAAACGCGGCCTTGCGTCTGTTGCAAGTTTACCCCCCCTCCTCTCCTCTCCTCGCAGCCGCGACGCAGGCGAATCCCCTCGCGGGGCGATCGCACGCGGGGCGAACGCCCCCACGGCCGATCGCCAACTCGCACGCGACCCGCGCGTGTTTCCGCGCCACATCACCTGCACAGGAGAGGGGGGGGCGGGTGTTCAACTTGGACACAAGTTCCGCCTCTGCGCTCGCTTCGCCCGGCGGGTTGAGGGGGGGGGGGCGAGTGACGTGGTGGAGGGGGCGGGGCATCGGCGGTCGTTGCTGGGAACAAAAAACTATGGATGTTAAAGACGCCCTCAGGGCACCTCTAACGCTGAGCCATCACACGCGTGAAGCGACAATACCCGCCCCCGGGGCGATTTGGGTTTACAAAGCTACTCGCGTCCGACATCCAGGAAACGTCGGTGATCGGACTTCCGTCGATTCCTCTCACAGTGTCGCGTGCACGGAATCGATTCAATGAATGACGACACAGTGCGTCGGCAAGGTCACGTGCGCTGTGGGAACTCCCACCTCCTCCCAGGCGTGGAAGAGTAGGCCAAAGTCACCCTCTAGACCAGTGACGTGCGCTGTGAGGTCAATGGCTGGGGAGGCACTGGCTCGTGTCAGAGCCAGATTCACACACTGAGGGTTAGACACGTCCCCCACAGTGAGGCAGATGTGACAGCTGCCTCCCCTGGTACTTTTTCATTGCAGTTTCATGACGAGACCAGCGAGCCTAAATATCTTTATACACATACGTGAAATAAGTTACCTGGAGTATGGAAGGCGAGGACATGATATGAAGGGGTCTATAAACATTACATTGGTGACATACTGAGATAGTAACAGGCACGCGCTTGTTGCCCGCGCTCCATCCAGTTACTGAGGGTTGCGCAATCAGAGGGGAGGCTGAGCTCGTCGCTGCCTCACCGCTCGTCTCTCACTGTATTTGCAGCGGAGCTTTGCAAATTTCGCGATTTTGACAAAAAATGATTGTAATCGTACAGAAATGACATAACGCAGATCAGTGGAAAAATCTTAATATTTATTTGATTTGATTATTATTTTTTTTACTTTTCGTAACAGCTATTTTAATTGGAGTTTGACAGGTGAGGCTCTGCCCTCCCCTGCCTCCCCTGACCGCACGTCCCTGCTCTAGACGGTTTCGAAGGGGTCCTCTATAGTGGAGGCTCTCCCGCCAGCAGTGGCGTGAGAAAGATATTACAGGCGGTGCGCCGCGGTGGCTAGGAGATGTTAACTACCTCGCCTGGTGTGCAGGAGGTCGTAGGTGCGATCCCGACCCTGACGCCTGCTGCTGTATAGTTCGAGTTTTCACGTCTCTCTCTCTCTTCTCCCCTTGGTCGCGTGGAGTTTAATCAGGGTCCTCCGGGTTTTCCCCTCCACATTTATAATCAACATCACGCGGTTAGAGTATTTGGCTGCCGTACATTTCCACGTGATAAGCCACCTCATTGAGCTATCATTTGCGCGCGTAAGTCGGGCGCGCGTAAGTCGGGCGCGCGTAAGTCGAGGACTCACGAGAATTTCATCGCGAGTGATTGCACAGAATCGATTCCCGAATCGAGAATCAACCACGAAGGAATCGAATCGTTACGTACCCCAAGCTCAAACTCGCGTGTGCCACGGTCACGCAGACAGCAACACGCGAGACAATTTTAAACATTTAACGCACAACTTTGATTTGTGTGTAGTAGTTGTAGTAGTAACACACCAATTAGCTGGTGATCGTGCGTTGTCTCAGTGTTAACCCGCCCGCACAAGACGAGACGCGGCTCGGGTGAGTTAGAGGCCTAATCATCATCGCAATGCACGACCAATAACATTACACTCGTACATCTAAGGGGTTATTTTCTTTGCGTGCGTTAGATCGCGTAAATATATAAACGTGTCGTCAAACCCGCCACCACCCGACACGGCCGCTCAGTAAGGTTTGTCACGTAAACAGAACGTGGCCAATTTGTGAGTTAGTACGGCAACAGCGGTGGTGTGTTGGAGAGCAAATCCCACAACATGTACAGTCTAGCGGGTTTAACGACACACATTGATGTGATCCTAACCCTCCCCCCCCTAAAAAAAAGCCTGCATTATGGATGACATCGGTCGCGAAAGCCCCACGTGTTAAACATACATTGCACTTAATAAGACATTGCACTGCTGTTACCCTTTCGTTATTCCACTGCGAATACATCACCACCACGTACTTCTTCACCACCACCGCGTACTTCACCGTGCCGATGAGTGCAAGTTGGCGAGGACGTGAGGCCCCTGGCACCACCGGTTCGTCGGACCATCGCTCCTGAGCCACCCACCCATTTGAAATCGAAATTCGCAACGCGGTTCGCTAACCGCTGCGCCACCGCTCCGCCACGTGCTTCGCGAGGTCGCAGCTAAAGTCGCGATGCGATGTCACAACAGCCTGCAGCTCCATTGGGACCTCCTTTGCCAGTAGCAAAATGTGATCATTGTTTTTAAATCCTTTATATTAAGTTCGCTTGCTTGCTTGCTTAGGACCGTGCAAATTTTCGGTCGTTTTTTAACCCACTTCCCGTGATCCAATCGAGCTGACATTTTCCACACAGACTCGTTGTGCGTGACAATATGTTCGTGAAATTTTTTTCTACAAAATTTTACACTTTTTAGGACAAAAATATATTTAATTACCAATTGCTTAATGCTGCCATGCAATCATCTGACCCATAGGTGGCAGCCATCTCAAGCCAGAGGACGAGAGGACTCTAGCCGCCACGCATATAAAGGATTTATAGTGAAAAACTTTGTTTTTACGGGTTATACTTGTTTTATCTGGCAACAAAACTGACACCGTTTTCGATTTAAAGCTTTCGTGACTGCAGGGATTCATCTTCTTGGTTCTTTCGGTAAAGTCACGTAGAAGGGAGATAATAAAATAATAAAAATAAAACAATAAAATAATACAATTCTCACGACGTTTCGGCAACAACGCAAGCAGCCGTCCTCAGGTGAAGAACAGGTCTGTCGGAAAGACAGCGTCTGAATGAACACCACCAAGCTTGGCAGCAGTATATTTAAGCTGGGTTAGGGGGGGAAGAGCGCCTTGACAAAGGAATTTGCATATCAACAAAGGAATTTGTATTATTTTTATTATTTTATTATCTCCCTTCTACGTGACTTTACTGAAAGAACCAAGAAGATGACACCGTTTTGTTGCCAGATAAAAGGGTAAAAACCCAATTATTATATTTTGCGACTGGCAAATGAGGTACCAATTGTGTAAATGCTTAGCCCGAGCTCTCATACTCTGATGGTGCATTGTCTTTGAGTTGTGCGCCTTTTGGCGTCATCTGGTCCAACACCATGTGAGACTAGGCTCTAAGGAAAGCTGTCTTGAGTGTGGACCAATCAATTTCAAGGACGGTGCATACATTATCAGAGTTGTGTTTTTTGTTTGCATTCCGACTGCAGGTATTGTGGTCAATGCAAACATGACTCCTTGTAAAAAAAGGTGTCAGTTTTGTTGCCAGATAAAAGGGTAAAAAAACTATTATCAGCCTGCAACTCGTTCATGTTGTATGCTCGCGAAAAGGCGTCGCTGCAGGCTTCCGTGTTGTTGAGTTGACGATGGTGGCGATGAGATGTTGAGGAGCCCGCAGGGGCTACATATTGGGCAGTAGAGGGCAGTGCAGCGAAACCAATTGGACTGTACTTCTATGCCCCCCCCACCTTTCCCTGACCGGCGTGTTGAACAGTACGGGCAAATAACCCCCACGGAAATTGTATTAACAATATGGGTGTGCAAACGAGATGATGATGATGTTGATTTGAAGCTTTCGTGACTGCACGAATCCATACTCTTTGGTTCTTTCGGTAAAGTCACGTAGTTAGAAAATAAAATAGATCACGACGTTTCGGGCGCAACACAAGCGTCCATCAACATGCTTTCCCACGTGATGGTGGACGCTTGTGTTGCGCCCGAAACGTCGTGATCTATTTTATTTCTATACCTACGTAACTTTACCGAAAGAACCAAAGAGTATAGAGACGATGGTGATGATGAGGTCCGAGAACCAGATGCCAGATCAGTTCATCAAGAACATCATGTCGGCAGTGATGTCGAGTGGCAGTGACGACGATGTGATGTTGATGGGAGAGAGGCGATTATAGAGAAGGCTCGGGCGGGAGACGCACGTGGCCGGTGGAGCGATGCCAGCGTACTACGAGGACAAGCCGGTGGACTCACGCCCGTGCGCGGGACTGCGCGAGGATCTACGCTCGTGTCTCGTGAAGAGCGACTGCGTCAAGGTGACAACCTCGCCCATCCGCTCGCCCACCCGCCACTCTCTCATTCACTCGCTCGCCCACCCGCTCACTAATTCACTCGTTCTCTCATTCACTCGCCCGCTCGCCCACCCGCTCTCTCTCTCTCATTCACTTGCCCGCTCACTCATTCACTCACTCGCTCGCCCACCCACTCTCTCATATTCACTCTCTCGCCCACTCACTCCTTAGCTCCCTCGCTCACCCACCCGCCCACATGCTCTCTTATCCACTCACTCGCCCGCCCACTTTTTAATGTTTTTATCATGAATAAAATGAGAGGGTCATTCATGCCAATTGCATCCCACAACGCTCTACGTGAATTATATATATATGGCCCACATCCTTTTTAAACCACAATTATTTTATTTACCAGGTATATAGCAACTACCATCTCATCCACCTGATCACTCACCCACTTGCCCAACTGCTCAACTCACTCGTTCATCCACTTGATCGCCTGCTTTGCGCGGCGCGTGCAGGCAGGGAACAGCGCCAAGGTGTGCCTGCGGACCGACAGCACCCTGGAACCCATGTGTAGAGCCCTGCAGATGTCCTTCTTCGAATGCAAGCGATCTCTGGTAAATGTGTGCGATGGCTTTTCAATTGAAACAATAGTTTTAATGACAAATTGCCCCCTTTGTTAATTCACCGCCGGGTGAAGGCATTCCCTTTGCCGCCCCGTCGGGGGTTATTTGACCATACTTCGCCATGCTGATTAATGGAGGGTTAGCGCAGAAGGGGGAGGAACCCAGGACCGGTTGAGAAATTGCTCACCACTAATAGTAGCCGTGGTTGGGAATTGAACAAGTTCATAGCGCAGTATGCCAGTGTGTGGCTTTGCCAGGAGTGAGAATAGATGTTAATGCGCACTCAGAATATGCTCCCCCACTTGCCTGGACCTGGTACGGCAGTCAAGGATGGACTTGAATCACACGCACACGACAGAAGCACTTCCTGAATGTCACTTTAAAGTCACTTTCCCGATGAACGAATCTACAGACTCGTGTTCAATTTCCACAGCCTGTGCAAATCTAAAGCAGCTATTTGTTTTTGTAATGCCTGTCTTAAGTGATATTATCACGGTTTTTTTCCGTTTCTTTTGCCAGCTGGACAACAGAACACGTTTTCGAGGGCGGAAGGGTTACTGAGCAGTGTTGAAACAAGGGGACATCTCGACCATTTATTAAACACGATGACCCAGCCGCCTCACCGTTGTCTCTTGGAATGGCTACGATTATGCTTTGTTCTGTTTAACTACTTTGTAAAAAGAAGCGTACAACCAATAATAAATAAGTGAAAACAAATGCGCTTTGTGTCCAATCTTTATTCCTTTCCGCTTCTTGTAAATTAGTGTTTGAGAGTTGAAGCAACAGCACAGTGTGACCCACAGCATCTGGACAATGATGTCAATCAAAACAAGTTCAGTGACCGTGTCGGCAGGCAGTGGTGTGAGAGCACATTCACAATGAAAATACTTTACCACCACCATCACGAACGAACACAACCCTGGTAACTTAAAGTACAACTCGAATCGCCACCTTCATTAAAACTAAACAAAAATCCAATCACCAGATCACCTGGAATGTGATGATCTCATCAGACGCTGGACATTGATCTGGGAGGCGCTATTAAGAAGAGCCACTGCCCAAAACGTCTCCAATTATATATTTTGAAGGCAGTGTTCACAAATATGTTGAGTGTTTTTGGGTCGTACTGGATGGATGATCATCGTGCATAAAATGGGTTAACGGGGCTACGTTGTGGAAAGTAGAGGGCAGTGCAGAGAAATCCATTTGACTGTACAACACTCCCACGTCTACACTCTCCGCCTTCAATCTGCAGTAAACTAGATGGTTATATAACCCACACTACGTGGGGGAGGTCTTCACTCAGCAGTGGATTTACAATATGGCTGTACATGTTCATATACACACACAAATAAAGATAGACTACAGTTTGGTGCAATGGTTATGTTCAGAACCACAATGCACCATAATGATAATTATACCACGCTCACATTGGAGTGGTCTTCTGGAGATAAAAAAACATAACCCACTCCAGCTTCATTGGAACACTTTACAAACCACATTTTTTTTGTATCATCTCCCCACAGAATGCACCTGAATAACTTATTTTTAATCCACCGAATTTACCTACTTTCGACAAAAGCCTACTTTCTGCACAATGAGATAGTGGATGAGGCCTTTATTTCAGGACAACCTTGCTCAATTAAGAACTTGCAACCAACAATTGATAACAGCAAAAGCGTGTTTGTGTTTGGCATATTCCTGCTTTGAAGAACGGGCAATGCCAGAATTTTTACCTGTTGTAGACTTCCCTTTTATTAAGTGGTGTTCTTAATGAAGGTGGCGAGTGTATCGATTCATACATCCTTAAGTATGAACTTATTGATTGAACAACACAAAACAATCATATTTTCACCAATGGTGCCTGTCTGCTCTTAAGCAGAGCCACAGTCTGCCAAAATGGACATTTCAATTTCATTGTCCTCTTCGATACAAACGGTGGTAAAGTATTCATTCAAGGACAGACGCTTCTAAGTCTGGCTATACACATTAGTCGCAAACGATGCAGATGGCAATGATAACCTTGATAAAAAAAAATACAACAGACGACAATAAATTACTACGGCGACATTGCGCATGCAACGGTTAGAGTCGGGACGCGTCCACTTAAATGTACACCGCTTTTGTGCCACACGCTGACGTTAATACTGCACGAGTTGCGTTTTAGAAAACGAGGCTGAACAGCTGCTAACGTGGCGACGGGAAAGTACACCATTGGAGGCTGCATGCAAACGGAGGTCGCTATTACGAAGTGAAATAAGGTAAAAAAAAACATTACTGTCAAAGTCCTATTCTGGCTTTGGGTGTTTAGTTGTTGGGGACTTCCTGAAGCCTTTGCTAGGCCTGTCATGGTGCAGAAAAACCACTGAACAGCAGTCGATTACACGGATCACGCAAAGCGACATTCACCCCACTGCTCAAAACAACTCCTTTTGAACAAACTCCCGCACGCGCACACACGCACGCACACACACGCATGCACACGCACGCACACGTAAAGCGCTAACCCTGGGCACACACCAGCCCGATTCATGGCCGAGCGATACGAACGACAATGCAATTGAATTTCAGTTTGATCGCACGTTAGCGGGCTTACGTGGATTCAAAATTATGAATTTACTAACATTTAACTTATCGGCAATTAAATGTTTGTATTTATTCTATAATATATCTTGTTTGATAGTTACTATGCTTTGCAAGTTGGATTGTTAAGTATTGCGTGACACCTTGGGCCTGACGGGCGCCATGTTAACGCAATGTTCTGTTATTTCTTACATTTTAACATCAATTTAGTCTGAATTTGATACAAATGTAGATACCAATCTCCAAAGCATGCTTTTAGAGATTGGACAATTTAGCAGCCGATTTGGCTTTGACATTTCGATTACGTCAGCAGCGAGCGCCGCGACTTGTCCCGTCTCCCCCCTCCCCCCCAATTTTTGATCGCGTCAGTTTAGGAACCCAAAACCCACCTAACGAATCGATCCCCAATTGCATCATGATCGCAAATTAACCGAGCCTGAATCGGGCTATATTGTACCGCCCCGGCTTAGAATCGCTTGTACACCTTCACCGCTACCCCCCACGGCTCAGCACGGGCTACGTGCTCAGCCCAATCAGCTCCCGAAGACGGCGGGGCTCAAGCGCGAGGTTGCGGCTCGGGAGGGGAGTCGTCCGCCAACTACTTGCGCTTGCTCTTCGAATCGGTGGTCTGGAAGACGCTGGATGCCTGACATGAGGTTCTCGATGTACTGACCCAGGACCTGGTTCTCAGACTTCAGCTTCAGGTTCTCCTCCTTCACGGCATCCACACGCGACGAGAGGTCTGCGGCGGAGGGGGGCGGCGATGGCGATGAGAAACGCGTACCTCCCATGGCAATGACGAATCGTTTTGGTTGTGGGAATGGATCACTGGTTTATGGTCAAAAAGAGACAAGCGACTATCTTATCTTGTATGGATGTATATAGCGCCTCAAAACGAGGCGCTTTACCCACAATTCTAAAAGTGTACATAAGACTGCGGTTAAAATAAAGTGTGGGGTTACAGGACAAGTGAGAGTGGGGTAGTGAAAGGGGTTGCGGTAGGCCTGGTCGTAGCTGGGGGACCGGGGGCAGGGCAGTAGCAGTAGTGGGGATGGACAAGGGAGAAGAGACGGGGGTTTTTAGGGAGGAACGAAAGCACGTTAGTGACGATTGTTTTAAGTGCAGGGGGAGTTTGTTCCAGTGAAAGGCAGCAATAAGGGAAAAGGGACAAAACATGTGACTTAGAGGCAGGGCTAGGGAGGCACAGAGAGGGACAAAGAGATGATAAATCCACTGCTGGATAGAGGCCTCCCCACACTGGTCTTGGAGGGCTGTTGGATGATGATGATCAGTGCTGGTTGGTAAAGGTGCAGCTGACCGAGTGGGGGGATGGAGGGGAGATGTGTGCCCCACTGAATGTTAGCCACGGGTGGGAATAAACCGAAGCTGGCTAAGTTTGTAGCGCAGTGCACACACCTTCGAGCGTGTGCTGGAGCTCCAGAACCTGGTTGATGAGACGAGTTTTCTCCTCGACCTCCTCTGGGTTCTCATAGTCTGCACCTGCACAGCAGCAGCAGCAGCATCACCACGATGCAAAGTTAGATACAGAGTTCCCATTACAAGGCAACAGATATGCCAACTTAATGCAATTAAAACCACACAGCAGTTTCTAAATTATAGTAAAAGCATTGTAATGTGAGTCTGGGACGTGTACCCATGTCCAGGGCATGTTACAGGAAGCCACCTGGTCTCCTACCCATCCTTGGATACAGAATCTCCTCACTGAGCTCACATCACGTTGAATACTCGGATTCGTCCAAGTGCTCCCAAACCAATTCTAGATCACACAACAAAGTCTTCAAGATCCTTCATGGACCTGCCCCTGCCTACCTCTCATCTCACTCTACTCCCTCCCCCTCCGCACGGCCAATGCTCCATTCCACCTCTCAACTCACTCTACTCCTTTCCATTCACTCTCCCAACCCTAGCAATCAAGGCCTTCTGTCAAAGCCTAGAGTCAGTCAACCTTCACTCAATGGGAGGCCACTCTTTAAATAAGACCCAGTATTCATAATCAACGACCCAGTATGTTTGGGCTACAGCTACAGATGTAGCTGTAGCCGAAGGGGTAAGGTTGGTTCATTGCGACTCATCTAAGGTATGTGTCTATATATTTTTGGACTAGGGTTAGGATCAGGGGTGTTGAACGATAACTGGAAACCGTTGCAAAAATATTTTACCGGTTCTGAGGTGCAGGATACAGGAATAATTTTTCGTGGAATTTTAGAAATCAATGCACCAACTGCCACACCTGGCACAAGGTAAAAGCACAGCCCTGCAATTGCTTGCTCATGCCACTGCTGTCAGAAGAAGCCTCTTCTCGCGTCAACTCCGGAGGGTTCCTCTAAGGCAGTGGCTCTTAACCTGGGGTGCACGCACCCAGTGGGGGTGCGATATTCCCTTTTTGGGGGTGCGAGACATGGCCACATTTTTTTAGAAGGTAAATCATCGAAACACCAATTAAGCACGGGCACGTAAGTACAACTATTTTGTTTCATCAAACCCATTTCTTCAGTTTAATACGTAGGCTATGTATTTCTTAACATACATTTTGAATGAATGAGCAGCAAAGGTTGTGCAAGGCTGCAGTCAAAGTTAAGAAACACTGCTCGAAGGGGTATTTGTTCCACGAGACGTTTTGGAAGAGCTGAGCATCCCCACACTTTTCCCCATCACACATGGATGGGTGGGACAGGCCGTGGTGGGGTGGATTTTAGAAACTTGCCACATTGTTTTAACCGCCGTCTTGGGAGACAGAGTGGAAGAGACTAATTCTGGATTAGCAAGTACAGTGCACCTAACCATTGCGCCACTCCATCTCATTTTGTTTCCCATTTGATTCCAATGTGCGCGGCTAACTGGGTAACTGTGTTTTTTTTACTTTTTAACACATAGGCTTTCACTACCAATAATATCCACAATACAGGTTTTTTTTGGCACGTAAGTATGAATGTGTCGTTCAACCCGCCACCACCCGACACAGGCCGATCAGTAAGGTTTGTCACGTAAACAGAACAGTGCCAATTCGTTATTCGAGTACAGCACACCTGATGTGTTGGAGAGTAAATCCACAACATTTACAATCCGAGTACGACGTTTCGCCAGGAATTGCAACTCGCATCAGGCTTTTTGTACTGTATTCATGTGGTTACTGCGACCACATGAATACAGATTCACAAAGCCCCTTTGAGCTCTCAAACATCTTTGGAATGTACAAATGCATTAAATGCACTCGATTGTTAAGCTTAAGCTACGAATGCATTGACTCGGGTGTGTGTAAGCATCCATTATTTTCTACTCATTTTATTATTTAAAGCCGATGGGCAGAACCGGGCAGAATAAGACAGTACAGTACTGTAGAGACATTGCAAACAGTACACTACGGTTTACCTGGATTCTTGTACGTGGAAATTGAGTTTCCAGGTCTGTACGGCGAACAGTCGTATCAATACGGAGACAAAAAAATGTCTGTCTATTTGTGTTTCTTCCTTGTGATGGGACTTTGTAGGATGAACGTCGAGATTTATAAGGGACACGGGGGTGACCAATAAGGTGTCTGAATTGGTCTGTAACAAGGTAGGGGCACTGATAAGGGGTTGACAGGTTTGAGACAGCATAGACAAAACAGAACAAGACACAACTAGAATGTACAAACCAGACGAAATCACCGAGCACAAACGAAACGATGCAAACGAGCTAGGAGTCAACAATGCGAATGACGCAGCATAAGACAAAGGCTGGAGTGTAAATGATAGAGACAAGGCAGACGATACAATACATACTACAATACATACTGTCATCATTATTTGGTTTTAATGGAGCGCTCTTTATGCCGGGGCGACTCAAGAGTGCTATACACGTGATGGGCGATGTACATCCCATCTCACGAGTGCTGTACACGTGATAGCCGATGTACATCCCATCTCAAGAGTGCTGTACATGTGATAGCCGATGTACATCCCATCTCAAGAGTGCAGTACACACGATGGGTGATGTACATTCCATCTCACGAGCGCTGTACACGCGATGGGCGATGTACATCCCATCTCGAGAGTGCTCTTACACGCCAAAAGCGACGTCCAGTGGGGGGCACGGGAGGGAGGTGGGAAGTTTTTCCACGCGTAAATCCCAATTGAGTAATTTGCAGTGTGATTTTTTTGTATTTGGCAACTTTGGAACAGAATGCCAGCACACAATGGCGTACTCTTGCAAAGGACTAGAGCAGTGTTCTTCAATGATTTTCAGAAGTGGGGCCGAGGCGGGGCACTGTCGCCGATAAGACATCATCAGTGAGGGCCGCCAAACATTTGAAACCATTGTTGGGTTTGACAGCAGCATAATGATGAGGTGGTGTTCACACTCTTTGTGTAGTGTCGGCGGGCCGCACGTCAGGGGCAGCACTAAAGCCCACCAGGGGCCGCCAGTGGCCCACGGGCCTTGCAATGAAGGACGCTGCAGGGGCCGTCAGTGGGCCGTGGGCCTTGCAATGAAGGACGCTGCAGGGGCCGCCAATGGGCCGTGGGCCTTGCAATGAAGGACGCTGCAGGGGCCGCCAGAGGCCCATGGGCCTTGCAATGAAGGACGCTGCAGGGGCCGCCAGTGGCCCGTGGGCCTTGCAATGAGGAACACTCCTCATTGCAATGATCTGGGTGGCCACTGCCATCAACCCTGATAAGCCTCACTGATAAGGGGGGGGGAAACCCCTTACATTAATAACACAGTCTTAAGCAAGAGCATATACTAGGCGACGTTTCGGGCAATTGGCCCTTCATCGCCGCACATAAAGAGTGCAATGTGAATAAGGGGGCCGTTGCCCGAAACGTCGCCGATTATTTTACTGGACTACTTTTCTATTGAAAGGCCACAACACAGAAGCTGTTCGTGACGAATGCGTCTAGTTCATTGTCGTTGTTGTTGTTGTTTGTGCACCGATGCGGTTGCACCCGAGTCAAGAGGCGAATGGCTCACAGGGTTATAACCCCTGAACTTGTATTTAAGGGCTTGTCTCTTGGATTTTTCCTCACTTGGCGTCATCTGGTCCAACACCAATGGAGACTAGGCTCTAAGAAAAGCTGTCTCGGGTGTGGACCAATAAACTTCAAGGACAGTGCATATCATTATCATCATCAGAGTTGTTTCTTTTTGTTTGCATTTTGACTGCTTGTGTTGTGGTTATTGCAAACATGATCCCTTGTATAAAGGTGTCAGTTTTTGTACCAGTTGAAAGGGTAACAAACCTATTTCTATTTCTTGATACAGTAAATTTAGCTGTGACGGTCCCACCTGATGACGGAGACTTGTGTTGCCTCCGAAACGTCGTGATTTATTATTTTATTTCGATTATTATTAATATTATTTTATTATTTATTTCCATTTTTACCTACGTGACTTTACCGAAAAAACCTAAGAGTACTTTACATAATAGACGAAACTGAAAACTGAAACGTTACAGCAGCAGCAGCAGCAAAAATCACTGCTTAGGCGACACGGCCATTATAGAGGCCATGCAGCGAGACGTCCAAGAAACGACAGAGACACACGAGAGAGACATACACTTGAGACACACACTTGAGACACACACTAGAGACTGACACTAGAGAGACAGAGACACGAGACACGGGACAGAGACACACACCAGAGACACACAGACTGCGTGTACTGTACGAACTGTACCACGTCACCTTCTGAATCCGCGTTCATCTTCGCCGGCGCAGGCAGATCCTCGCGAAAACCTTTCAAGACAAAGAATTACCGCCACGCCTTCTTATTTAAAACGTTGCCAACGTATTTAACAAACAATTTTTTTTTTAAAAACGTGAACATCGCAGCCGTTTATGTGCATTGCAGCAACAACAACAACAGCAGCGCGTATGGATAAAATCTTAGCTTTTGATTTCCCTGTTAGGGTCTCGCACAACGTAACAAATATTGTATTGCTGCTGTCGTTAATAGCACGCGCCAGGTGTTGTAATGTTTAATATATTTTATTTTAAAAAGGGAGAATTAAAGATCCATCATCACCTTTTGTCTGCCGCTCCTCCCGGTCGCTGGGCGTAAAAATGTCGGACAGTGGCGATGACGTCGACGCTTAAACGCAAAGTGTACCCAACAAGAGCCAAAGCTCAAAGTGTACCCAATAAGAGCCAAAACGCAAAGTGAACCCAACAAGAGCCAAAGCTCAAAGTGAACCCAACAAGAGCCAAAGCGCAAAGTGTACACAGCAAGAGCGGAAGCGCAAACTGTACCCAACAAGAGAGAAAGCACAAAGTGAACCCAACAAGAGCCAAAGCTCATAGTGTACCCAACAAGAGCCAAAGCGCAAAGTGTACCCAATAAGAGCCGAAGCCCAAAGTGCACCCAACAGCAGCAAAAGCACAAAGTGGACCCAACAGCATCGATAACAGTGTACCCAATGTTAGTGACAAAGTGTACCTAATAGCAGCGAAACACAAAGTGTACCCAATGTCAGTGAAAACACAAAGTGTACCCAATGGCAGACATAGAAAGTACCCAATGGAAGCGAAAAACTCGTTGGCTCAAAAGTGGCTTAACGCTACCACTTAGGGTGGTAAATTCTGACAATGATTTTATTTAAGAATTTTGTCTCGAGAAAATAAATATGCATGATAGCAAGGTCACCAGTAAGTAGTTTTTTTACGGGGGGAAAACCCCATGAGATTAAAATGGTAGCATAGTGTGTTTGATAAGAGTATCGTTTTGATGGAGGAAAAAAACCCGAATGTGATATGAAACATGTGGAATGACGTTAAAAAGTGTGGACCTTATATAAAAAGATTGTCTACGCTCACAAACAGTATGTACGGGGGGTAAAAATAGTGAGGGAGATTGATAGGTTTCCCTAGTAATTTCTTCCCATTTACAGCCATGCTTGCAATGATTACATGAATCAAGTTGTCGGTTGTGGTGTATCACATTGACAGTGGGTTAGAGACAGTATCTCCACAGCTTTGGTCCGAGCAGACTGCATTCTCACATCTGTTTTGGCTCAGACATCGCTTTCCCAGTGGATAAAGCAAGGTTAAGGGGCCGTCCATAAATTACGTCACGCGATTTTGGACGATTTTTGACCCCCCCCTTCCAAGAATAAAACATGCTTCAAATCGCTTTAAAGTATTGTCATTGTAGTGCGTATTTAATGTGGCGCTGCACTCTGATGTTGTAGGAGAAAACATTTATTAAAAAGTCTATTTAATTAAGTAGAACGTGTTGTCTATATTTATTTAAAGTTGCGCATTTTGAGGTGACGTCACATTTCTCACCCCCCCTCGTCACAAATGTCTGACCGCCCCCTCCCCCCCCTAGGTGCGTGACGTCATTTATGGACGCCCCCCTTAACCAACCGGAGACAAAACAGTGCACTGCAGAGCAGAGGAACACAATGTGCGACAAATACACACACACACAAATACAGGTGTGCGACATCCAATAAGGAACACGTATCATTGTGAACCCAATGGGGGAAGTGTGTCAAAGCAGAGTGAAACACATGTGAGACTAGGCTCTAAGGAAAGCTGTCTCGGGTGTGGACCAATCAACTTCAAGGACAGTGCACATTATCAGAGTTATGTCTTTTGTTTGTATTTATAACTGCAGGTATTGCGGTCTATGCAAACATGACTCCTTGTAAAAAGGTGTCAGTTTTGTTGCCAGATAGAAGGGTAAAGAACCAATTATCATATTTTTACTGGCAAATGAGGTCCCCATAGTGAAACACAGGCGTTAACAAAACACACACATTGAGTTCGCGAAGAAGACGACAGCAGAAGTGAAACCCAAATAATTATGTGTGGGAGGCACCGTGTTCAGTTTCTCAAATTACTTTATTGGATCAACTTTCAAGTCCATCAATTTCGAAAAACCGAGAACTCATTTTTATTTCTCATCTGCTTAAATAACGTGAGGGGTGTCTTCCTACACCTGCTGCCAAGAGCAGCCTAGCGCCTAGCACACACCCGTATCCGTTAAACATGTACATTCGTAAAACGCAACTAGCTAAATTGTTAAATCCAATTTCGTTGGGGTTTTGTTTCATTAATTCGCTTTTTTAAGAAACCTATGTCATGTAACAAGAGATAACGCAAAGCTTATAAGATTTCACATTGACTTAATACGGGGGAGAGGGGGGGTCCCCACGAGTCCGTTACTCCAGAGACTGGCGATTCTGCATGAAGATGCTGGAACTTCTCGAGACCGCCAACTTTTGCTGTCGTTAGACAACTTGTGACCCCAACATGGGAGTTAATTTGGATTTATTTTAGAAGGTTTAAGCAGCATCAACTTCCGATCACACTGCATATGGCTAGCAACGCGTTTGATTTAGATCCCCACACAATCCCATATTCGATATTCCTTCATCCAACAGATCATGGGGATGCCTTTCGTAGTTGTCAATTGCGCAAAAAGCGTGCAGCAATTACAAAACCTTCACAACATTTTAATCGGCGTAGGAAATGACCAATAACATTAATCGGCTGACGATTATCAACTAGAACTGATCTTCGGAGGAGTTAATTGATCATTGACTGAAACTCCAGTGGAGATAATTTTCACAGCACTCCCTAATGAAGGGGCCTTCATTTCGCTCTGTGTAACGTTTAAGGACTGGGGGAAACCCACCGTTAAGGAATTTCAAAACAGACACAAACACACAAGGAGCCGAATTTGGGTTTGGCGTTAATAATCCGATGCACCAAAGTTTTAGATTTACACGAGGGGGGGGGGGGGGGGGGGAGTTCATGATCGCTACCGATTGCATAGAAACCGGTTGTTGCCCAGACTACTTGGTGAAAATTAAGCAATAGTTGCCCGTTCAAATTGTGTTTTTTAGCATCATGATTTTATTATCTTCTAGACATAGAGCACATGCAGCAGTAGCTATTTACAAACCTATAACGTAACTAAGATTCATTGGGTCGGGCAGGTGGGTAGGGTGAGAAGCAAAAACAATCCCAAAAAAATTCAGTGCACATTTTGGGCTCAACAACAAAAATGGTTACGAATGTTAAAACATTGTATGAAATATTTTCGCTGGCTGCCAACAGCTTCCTTGACCGCACTCTGCAAATAATCCCAGCAGCGGAAACAGCAGCGTCAACACGGCAGCTGCTCCAGCTTCAAAACCACAGGCCGTACTCTGGAAGCGAGATTTATTTGGAATATGACCTATGTATTGTGCAGTGTAATCCACAGATTGGTGTTCTGCACACATGTTGAGCAACACTTATGTTGGTCCGATGTGCATCAAGGGAACACGACGTTCCTCGCTGCAAATGGAGTCAAATATTGTGGGGGTTGGAGCATTCAAAGTCGGCAGTGCAATCACCACCCACACTCACAAATGTACCTAGACATACAAAGGATAGTGATTGAATAGTCGTTTCCAGCCACGGGCCCAAAAAATGTAACCTTTGTCGCGATTAACAATGCTGCATCATAGTATACCGTGATGTAAATTCGCAAATGCAAAGCAGTCGCAACTACGCAGTTTCCGTGAGCGTCAGACTGAGTGGCTGTTGATACCCACCACCCAATCACATATTTGCAGTTGTGGCCACGTGAATTGGTAAATCTTTTGTTACAATCGCATCCCGGTTGAAAGGGTTCATCTCCCATGGGCCATCAAAGCAACGGCAGGTGTTTAGAGATTTTTAACCGTCGTCAATAAATGTCATGGATTCACTTGCAGTTAATTGAAAAGCGGTTATGATCTCGGTACCAAAAATTGTGTGTGAAATATAAGTGCACCGCGCATGTGCAGGGGGAATTCTGTATTGAGCTGGCAGCGGCAAAGTTAGGAAATTCTGGACATCCCAAAAAATTTAAACGTTCACACCAAACATACAACAAACGCCAAACGCGACAGCTTTTATTTGTTAGTCAACAAAAAGCTGCCGATCCTCTGTCCACTGAGGTCCTTCCAGCTTCACGTGCAAATCAAGTTCACGCGCGAGACTTTTCAACGTTCCTTCAATGTCCCACACCGTATTTCGTTGGTACCACGCTAATTTAATGGACGCCGTGAAAAATTGCTGACGCGTCAACTAATGAGAGGTGGAATGACATTTTTAGGGGGGGGGGGGAAGTGACTGCATTTAATTTCTCTTTATGATGCAGGAGTTTTAAACATGCACGTTCATATTATGGTACTTGCTACAGTGTCAGTGTTTCCTAACCGAGAGTTAGATTCAGTCTAGGGTTGGTCTTGGGACCACAGATGCTGAGGATAAACTCGCGTTGTAACAACGGCAAATGGAGGGTTAGGGTAGTGCCAGGTTTAGGGTGGGTGCTAGGGTTAGTATCTTAAAGTAGGCGCAACCCAAAAGAGTAGCTCTTTCTTTTGATGTACACACTTAAGCTGTGTTCATGGTTGTCCAACACGAGTTTTAATCTTAAATAAGAAGCAATAAACACTTTCAATTGACCTTCAAGCACTCCGGTGTAGTGCACACCAGTGACGTTAAAACGTACGGCAGTCACACCCCCACTTTAGTGACGTCACTAAACCGCTATGGCGTCGTGCCGACAAGTCTTTTTGCTTGATAACGAAACTTCAAACTCGTATTTGGATAGCCTGGGTCACAAAGCCTAGAAACATCTACAAGAGCTATTCTTTGAGGGTTAAAACTTCCATTGGCGGTGCAGAATTATAACGAGTCATCACCTCGATTAACATCGCTCCTCCATCTGCGCTGAGCCGACGGGCATGGCCCCCCCGTCCCCGCTCAAGACCATGGCAACGTTGTCAAGTGAAGCTGCGACACGCTGGCACAGTATTGAGATGCCGCCAGACGGCTGTCAAGAATGAGAAACCGTGGCAATCTCTAAAGCACGGACCACCGCAATCGCTATCGAGAGCCGCCTGCCAAGAAGCACTGCGCGCACAGGCAACCAAGCAGGAGCCGGCGAGCTGCATGTACGCTCATTTAAAACGCTTAATATCCGCAGGAGGGAAAAGGAGGCAGTGGATGGGTGGGGAAAAGGGCTTCCCTAGGCGTTTAAATAACGTTTGTCTAAGTGCGCCAAAGTAAGCCAAGCCATCATCCAAGGTTTCCACGCAGAGCACGCTTTCTAGGATTGCTTTCTAACGATTCGCAAAGGCGGTAGAGGGGTCGGTGGACCGGACTGCTGAACGCGTGTGCTGTGCACGTTGCCGTTTTTGCGGCCACTAACAAAAGCGGCTCTTCGCGTGTTTCCTTTTTTAAATTATAAAACACCTAAGAATGTCATCGCCTTGCGCGGCGGCTTACGATTGAGAGCGAAGGCTCTACCAGAAAACCTCGGAGGGTTTCGTCGTTGGCAAACTGGGGGGTGGAGAAAAAAAACCCACAAAAAATGTTAAAAAAATAAAATAAAACGGCGTGAAGTAGGAGGAGTTGAGGGGGGTTGGGTCACACACGGCGTTGTCCCTGCCCCCCGGGCCCCCCGTACCCCCCCACATCGAGGGGGTTCTCGTGAGGCTTTGGGCGATGCCTCCCGCTCATTCCTTCCGGGCCTTCCTTTTCCTGGGAGACGTTTTACCAGCGTCGGCATCATTCGCCTGTACCTGCTGAGAGAAGTTGAGCGCAAAGTGGTTAGCAGGTGACAAAAGCATCCCCCTTCGTCCATGTATTTACCAGTTATGCAAATTATTCATACAGAAACAAATAGGCTAATATTAGACGTGGGCTAACTGCGCGAACACAAATGTACAATTGATGCGGTGCAAAGTTTGCGAAGAATGAGACAAAG